ATCACCATTGAGCCGTTTCCATTGAGCAATCGAGCCATCACCATCGGGCCGTTTAATTGATCCATCTGTTGGTTTTCAAGGAAAGAAAAGGAACGAAAAGACTTTCTAAATGAAAAGACTTAATATTTGAGGATTCAAAGTTAAAGACATTGTGGCTTACAATTCATTGTGACATTATGTAGAGATTGAAAGAGAGAAGAGATGGACCCTGCTAAGCTCTGCTGAGTCCATCTCTTCACCCCTTCACCCCATCCCAAGCAATTGGAGTCTTTGCCCAACTCGTCGACCCTTCTTTCCCCTTTTTCTTTTTCGATCTTCTCGTCTACTCAAAGTATCTACGGGGAAAACTCTTTTCCTTTTATTGCAAATACACATCTTTTAAAGCCCTTTGGTGACGTGCTCTTTCTAGGAAACACCTCTCGATTAGCTTGATTAGCTCAAGCAAATTCCCTTCGAAAAAATCCAGAAATCGGCATTGTTTTCGTTTTTAGCTTAGCCTCTATAAATCCTGCAATCCAATGCCTTTTTCCAATGTCAATTAAGCCTTTTTCAGGGAGATTTTGTTTTTCTTTAAATCGCATAATTGCATTCCTCAAAAGCCATTTGTGCACCATGCATAAGCAGTTTTTTTTTTCTTTCACAGCCTTATTTCAAAGCGATCCACTGAAAATCCATGCGACAAGTTGACAAGTTGCAAGAAGTTTTAGAGAGAATTTCTTTTCCCGAAGCCTTTCAAGGACCACAAGCTGTCAAGAGCAGCAAGCATTTACGTAAAATCGAAACTTCTTTTTTTAGAGTTTTCCTATTTAAGGAGAGATTTCTGAAGAACGCACGGCCGCTAATCCGATTGGCGTCGGGTTTTTCAATGGCTTTTCTTGTCAAACACTTTTCTGAAAAAGTTTTTCAGATAGTGATTTTCATATTCCAAATTTGCAACACTTTTCCCAGAGAATTCAAGTTAGAAAAGGTTTAGTTTAAGGGACAATTTTCAAAGCAAAAATGGCAACAGTTAAAGCTGTCGTATTTTTTCTAATAGTAGTGCACCCCTGAGCGTTACCTAAATTGCTCGAAATCTCGAAAAGCGTTTATCAGAACCTATCGATGTGGGGTTGGAAAATGTAGCTGACGATGAGATCTTGTGGGGGATTTGAGTGTTGAGCTTCTGCGAAAACTTAAAAACCGTGAAATAGTCATCAACTCGGCTCGTCGGGTTGCACTACTATTAGAGAGAATACGGTATATATAATTGAGGTCCAATCTAGTGCTCAGTAATTGAACACATTTAGTTACCGTATTTTTTCCAATAGTAGTGCACCTTGATCGTCGTCTAAATTCCTCGAAATCTGGAGAACCGCTGATCAGAACCTATCGATGTGGGGTCGGAAAATGTAGCTGACGATGAGATCTTGTGGGGGATTTGAGTGTTGAGCTTCTGCGAAAACTTAAAAACCGTGAAATAGTCATCAACTCGGCTCGCCGGGGTGCACTACTATTAGAGAGAATACGGTATATGGATTCAAAGATAATTATGACGCTAAGCAAGTTTAACACTTTTTCAAAGCGCTCATTTTTTCTGTTATTTGTTGGAGTTGAATCGCAAGAGAAAATCGCAATTTTTCTAATTAGGTGCCGATGAGAAAAGAGAAAAAAAAGAAAAGAAAAGAGGCTCATCTCGGCTCATTTCCGTAATATCTCTCCTCTCTTTTCAAAGCCATCCGGCAAAAAAAGCCCCATATTCAGAGATAATCAAAGCGATGAGAACATTTTTTATCCCTAATATTCTTTTCCTTTCCATACAACTTTCGCAAACAAAGTAAAGAATTTTCTTTTTTCTGTTGTTTTCTAAAGATTTCTAAGGATTTCTAAAGCATTCCCAATCCCTTATTTGAATTTTTTTTCTTTTTAGCTTCTAAAAGCCAATCTCTTAAATGGAAATAGATAAATCTTAGCACAAAGTAATGCTTTTCGGTTGAGGAAATGAGTTTTGTAAGATGAAAAGGGGAAACTATAGTGTAGAATTTGTGATACCGTATTTTCTCTAATAGTAGTGCACACCGGCGAGCTGGGCTGGTGACTATTTCACGGTTTCCAAGCTTTCGCAGAAGCTCAACCCTCTAATCCCCCACTAGATCTTATCGTTAGCTACATTTTCCGACCCCACATCGATAGGTTCTGATAAGCGGTTCTCGAGATTTCGAGCAATTTAGGCAAAGCTTAGGGTGCACTATTATTAGAGAGAATACGATAGCTTTAAAGAGGCTGAATTTTATTGAATTTTCCTGTAGCTTGAGCTATGAGCTTAAACAAAAGAAAGCCAACTTTAAATACCGTATTCTCTCTAATAGTAGTGCACCGAGCTGAGCCGAGTTGGTGACGATTTTACGCTTTCCAAGCTTTTGCAGAAGCTCAACCCTCTAATCCCCCACTAGATCTTATCGTTAGCTACATTTTCCGACCCCACATCGATAGGTTCTGATAAGCAGTTCTCGAGATTTCGAGGAATTTAGGCGACGCTCAGGGTGCACTATTATTAGAGAGAATACGGTAGTTTACTTGGTGTTTTTCTTGAAAAAAATTGGTATAAAGAAGATGAAGAAAAAGATGAAAAAAATGATGAGGGGAGGGGCTTTAATAGCTCCGCCCTAGTCAAAGAGGGTCCTTGTGGGGCTTGAGGATCCCTCGACAACCTCTTTCCCACCTTTCTTTAACTCTTCAACTTCACTGTTTTTATCCTCACCTGTTTTGCCTTTATCTTTATAAACAAAAAAGCTTTTCCCCTTTTTAAATCTTCTTTTAAATTATTTTTTTTAAAGCTATAGACTCTCAAATTGTTCAGAAATTAAAAAAAGTCAACCCCGAAGTGCGATTCAGTCTGAATGTTTGTTTTTTAAAGGGAAATTGTGAAAAAAAAACGGTGGTCAGCTGTTCCAAGTCCACTAATCAAAGCCACATGGAAAGATTCAGACAAACTTTTCCTCGTTTTAAGCTTTTAAAAACATTCCAACTTTTTCGTATCGTTTCTCATTGATTTGCAGAAGATCAAAGATTGTAGATCTTTTTATAAAAAAATGATTGCAAAAATGATTGCAATACTTGTTGTCTTTTGATAAAATATCAAAAAATTAGTCGGTAGGTTAAAATTTTGCAAAATAATTTTCTTTTAAAACCCAAGAGATGAAATATTTTGCAGGAATTGAACTTTTGAAGGTTTAAAAAAGGAAAATTCGATTACTGTAAAACCCCAGAGATTCAAGGATAATAAAAAGACTCTAAATCCAGTTCAGATACTCTGTAAACAATTTCTAATTGTAGGATTTAGTATTTTTAAAAAGAGTGAGTCTGTTTTCAGGGCTTATTTCAGAATGGGAAATGTTGCCTTGTCTCCTTGGCCTCGTTTCATCTCTTATAATATAAAAGACTCTAAATCCAGTTCAGATACTCTGTAAACAATTTCTAATTGTAAGATTTAGTATTTCTAAAAAGAGTGAGGCTTTTTCAGGGCTTATGTCAGAATGGGAAATGTTGCCTTGTCTCCATGGCCTCGTTTCATCTCTTTTGTTCAAATTTTCGCACTTTATCTCTATTTAAAGCTTTTTAAGAAAATTCTCTAAAGTATAAAGTTTAATAAATATCAAATAGAAATAGAAATAGAAATAGGAATAGAAATAGGAATAGGAATAGGAATAGGAATAGAAATAGGAATAGAAATAGGAATAGAAATAGAAATAGAAATAGAATAGGAGTTTCTAAAGTTTAAAGTTTTCTAAATATCAAATGAAATAAAGAAATAGGAATAGAAATAGGAATAGGAATAGGAATAGGAATAGAAATAGGAATAGAAATAGGAATAGAAATAGAAATAGAAATAGGAATAGGAGTTTCTAAAGTTTAAAGTTTTCTAAATATCAAATAGAAATAGAAATAGAAATAGAAATAGAAATAGGAATAGAAATAAAAATAGGAATAGGAATAGACGATTAAATAGAAGCACATTTTAGTGTGTTTGTGTGAAAAAAAGCGGCTATCTCAAGCTTTTTTTTCTGCTTAATTGCACTCAAGCACGCTTTTTTTTTTAAAAAGAATTTCCGCATTTTTATATGAAAGTGTTAAATGATCAGAAAAATAATCTAGATTTAAAATTTAGCTTTAACCCTTCGATTTCTTTCATTTCTTTCATTTCTTTCATTTCTTTACCTCTTTTAACTCATTTCAATGACTTCAGCCCATTTTACGACTTTGGCACACATCGTGTTTTTATTTAAACCTTTTTTTTTTCTAAACAAAAATCAGGAAGTAGCAACCATTGTCTTTTCTCGATTTTTAAGATTGTTGGGGTTTTCTTGGAGATTTCCCCATTTCAGCAATGTCTCTCGTCTCTCATCCACAAGCACCACTAATTGTCGCCTTTCAACGCAAAAATCTTCTCTTCTCTTCGCCTTTGGTCTTTTCTTTGAGCTTAAAGATGAAAGATTTTCAAGAAATTTTCATTGAAGTATTTTTATTGAAGTATTTTCATTGAAAAAGTATGCCTAGTTTCTTATAAGAGCTTTAGATTTTTCTTTGGATGCTTTCTTTGCCATGTCATTGATCCGAGATCTGATAGAAGGGCTGCAATTCATCCAGAACTCGTTTCTCAGTTTAATTGTTCAGTTTAATTGATCCATTTGTTCGTTTTCAAGGAAAGTAAAGGAACAAAAAGACTTTCTAAATGAAAAGACTTAATATTTGAGGATTCAAAGTCAAAGACATTGTGGCTTACAATTCATTGTGACATTATGTAGAGATTGAAAGAGAGAAGAGATGGACCCTGCTAAGCTCTGCTGAGAAATTTTCAAGAAATTTTCATTGAAGTATTTTCATTGAAAAAGTATGCCTAGTTTCTTATAAGATAAGATAAGATTGTGTATAAGATTTTTAAATCTACAGCTTTAAACCTTTAAAATTTAAGCTCATCTTTTTCAACTTCAAGCCTCAATAGGTCGAATGTTTTTCATAGCTTTATGAACGGGAATGGTTGAGTTTGAAAAAGTTGAAAGACAACCCAATGGACAGAAGAAGATGTAGAGAAAGGGGAAGAGAGTTGAGCACTTCGTGGCCGTTCTTCAGAAAAGGCTGAGACGAGATTTCCCCCGAGGCACAACGATGAAATATATCGGAGAGATGGGCGGCAAAGTGTTGCCTCTTCTCCTTCTTCTCCTTCTTCTCCTTCTTCTTCTCCTTCTTCTCCTTTTTTTTGCTCGATGATTTTCCTTATTATGCGCTTTGTTTCCCGTTCTCTGGCTTCGAGAATTTGGGATTTTTCTTTAAAAGTTTTTCTCTTCAAAAGCTCGTTTTTAGCTCGGTTTTAGCTCAGTTTTAAGCTGATTTTAAAAGAGAATTTTAGAATAAAAGCACGTAATTAGCATTTGATTGTGATCAGGGAAAGGAAACGGAACACATGCTGTGCGGTCGTCGTTCAAACGGCCAGAAACGAGCAAAGAGAGCAACGAGAGCTGAGGATGAGCAAAGAGTTGAAGAGAAAAAAAAACTTTGAGGCAGCAAAGCTTTCCAGAGTTTTATGTGTCCGTTTACACATGCTCTTGTGCCCATCTATCTCCAACAGACTCTCCACTCTCGTCAAATCTTTTCTCATTCTCTCTTTTGCCGATCTCTTTCACTTCCCATTGGTGCTTTACACGGTCGAGCGGCTCGATCTTATTTTTTATTTTTTTCTGCTTTCTTGCCAGCTTTCCCATTGCTCACACTTTTCCCAGCTCATCACGAACACTTTTTCTTAATGTAAACATTCATTTCTTTTGTTTGACGTTAACTTTTAAAACTTTTTAAACTCGAATTTCTTTCAGAAAACTTTTTGGGATTTATTTTCGAGATTCGATCGTTGTGGGCGTCTGAATCGCCCAGGTTTGTTTATTAGAAGAAAATTGTTTGAAAAATATTATAATTTTTTAGGTGGATGAGGTTAGAAGAAGAAGAAGAGCTATTTTGTGAACCCTCTTGTTCATTCTTTTTCTTATTTCAAGAATCCAAGCAGACGAATCGAAAAAAGGAGAAAGTCGGCGAGGGCGCGGCGCCAGCCGCTCCCTGCACCTCAGCCGATTATCATTGTGAGTTTCAGAGATTGCCAAAAAAAAAACAATACCAATTACTGTATCTAGTAGTTAACTACTGTATCTGATTAGCAATATTTCTAGACCCTGAGATACGGCGATCCGCACACATTGCCAACGCCGAGCACTACGCGAAGCCAAACAGAATCCGACTGCGCTTCCAAAGGTAACAAATGCTTAAGATAACTTCTATATAGGTCTAAGCACTTAGATTCAATCAATCCAATTCAAATTTCAATTCATTTTTAATTCATTTTCAATTCAATTCATTCCAGCTCATTCACGATCTGTGCAAATGAAAACTTTCCTGAAAATGCTCACTTTTGTCGTGTTGCTTCTCGCGCCGACATGCTTTGCCGGCAGCGATTTCTCCGAAGAGTTTGTTTTTCACTTTTTTTTCTTTTAAAAACTTTTTCTTGTCCAAAAATCGACTTCCGTCTGTTTCTCGGTCGTTTCCAAGCCTTTTCCCTTAAAAGAATGAATTTTTCATCCTGGCTTGTAAAGAGATTCATTGAAAAGTTTTAGTTCTAGGAATAGATTCACTTTTTCAAGAAGGCCAGAGGTTTTATGGGTTGGCAAAAGATGCTGGCCCCGAGATCCAAACCCGCCACCTCCTTCTTATCGGCCGACTACCAAGCGAGCTCTTTACCAATAACCTACACCGAAATAAACCCCATTCCCGCCAGGATAGGGTCTTACTCCAGAAACTTAAAGGGGATGAAGATAAGGCGAAACTTTTAACACCAAGACTTGTTTTGAGAGTGGAGGGATTTGGATGAGTTTGAAAACGAGATGAGATAGGAAGAAAGGAGGAAAGAGAAAGAGAAGAAAGAGTGATGATACGAGCACGACATGGACACGGTTCGAATTTCCGGCACTCGCTCGAATCCTTCTTTAAAAACCCCCATTTCCCTGGTCTCTTTTCCAGAGTCACCTGTTTCAGGGTTTCAATTTCAAAAACCATTTCAAAGTACAAAGAAAATAGCGTCCAACTTCTTTTCCATTAGTTCCCAACTCTATCATTGCTAATCTTTGTAATAAATAGTGAGATTTGGAAAGAACGGAAAACTACCGAAATAGCCTTAAAAAAACTGTCTTTTTGTATCTTTTTCTACCTTAAATTCTTTAAATTGATAGATTAGATTGATCTGAAAATAGAAAGAGAAATTAGAAAGAGATTCCAAGTGATAGAGATTCCAAATGATAGAGATTCTTTTGACAAATCACCGTCCCTAGCCGATGACGTCATTTGAGAACAATTGTTTCGTCGAGAGTTTAACTCTATCTCGTTCTCTCAAATCGACAAATCTTCTCCTTTTAATAAAAAAAGGATAAACGAAAAACTATTCTTAACAAAAAGAAAACAAATAAACAATTAGATTTGATATGAAATGAAATTACAGTGTTGGCCTCGGATACGTGGATACGACAGCGTTGACGGAGATCCTAGATCGACTCACAAACAAAACCGTTTATGACAAACGTCTTCGACCAAGGTTTTTCTGAATATTAGATAACTAGCAAAGATTTTTGGCTTAAAAGGCAAAAGAATTGGCGCCAAGAGGAGTCGAACCTGCGACCTCTCCCCACCGTTCGTTTGAGAAACGCGCGCGTTAGCCACTCGGCCATGGCCATGCCGTATCAGTCCTTCCTGGTCATGCCTATGGCCGTGTGACTCCTTCCTGGCCAAGCCATCTGGTCACCCTTATGGCGCAATGCGAGCGCTCTTGTTTCTAGCTCACACGATCAGGGTTCGACTCCGGTCCGCGTCGGAACTTTTAGTTTTTTAGGAATTTAAAAACAGATTGCATAACTTCATGGAATTCTTAGCTAAAGTAATTATAAGTGATTTGAATAAGCCCAATGGGCACAGACATATAAACAGAAACATTTCTAGTATCTTTATATAGTATTATATTAGATTATAGCAACTTATTATAGCTAATATTTGAAATATTAGCTGTATAGTAAACGATTATCGTTTATATTTGAAGAATGCGATAAAATTAACTCAAAATTTCAGATATGGAGACAAGCCGGTGGATGTCGGAATCACCATTCACGTCTCTTCAATTAGCGCCGTTTCAGAAGTCGATATGGTAAATTTATTGTTGAAAACATATTACGACAGCCTAGACAGCCTAGGCAAAACATCTAGCCTAGCATTTGAATCGATTTATATGAATGGTTGTTGAAAGTGTAAGCTGACCAGTGTCTGTTTTTGTTTCGAACACTTAAGCAGTGGATGCGAAATAGATCCCCTGGGGGAAATGCGCTCTCCCTCATAATCGGCAGAGGGAAATCCGGAGATTAGTGCATAAAATTGAGGCTGAAAGTGGTGAAGGAATGGAAAGTTTCAAGGAAATCGCTTCCGTTCACATGTTTCAAGTTTAAGTTTAAGTTTTAAGTGCGTAAAGTTGACAAGATTTTTTTGTGAGGAATTCGATGAGAATTTGAAGAGTTGAGTGAAATGAGAAGGATGAGAAAAGGTATTCGATTCCATAGGGATTCTTTTGAACAAGTTGAATGGTTGAAGTGACAGCTATTGAGAAGAGGTGGGGGACTCGGTGTTGACAAGCTGGATTTTGAGCGATCGACTCTTGAATCCCTTGAGATTTCTCGATGCCCAGCACGTAGCTTTATGATCATCGCCTTTATTGGACTTTTTTTTAGCAAATAAACATAAAAAGTCCTTTCAATTTACAAGTTAAAAACATGTAAACATGTAAAAAAAGAAGATTTTTTTAAGTGAAAAACGTAAATGTATTTTTGTCATTGTTACGCTAGGCTAAGCTAGACTTTGTTAGACTTGTTCATTGGAAAGTTAGGTTAAAGCCAGCTTGTCTCGTCAGTCTATGAAAAGATGTAGATTTCGAAACATCTCACTCGTTATTATGACGTTATTTTTGACGTCAGAAAGCCTTCACAAAATTTTGAAATAATCCCATCAAGTACCAAAATAATAATGAGTGAGATGTTTCGAAATGTGCACATTTTCAAATCTCGATCTTTTCATAGACTGACTAGACAATTCATAGACTGACTAGACATAGAGCTGGCTTTAACTTATGAACTCCAATGAACAAGTCTAACAAAGTCTAGCTTAGCCTAGCTTAGCCTAGCTTAGCCTAGCTTAGCCTAGCTTAGCCTAGCTTAGCCTAGCTTAGCCTAGCTTAGCCTAGCTTAGCTTAGCTTAGCCTAGCTTAGCCTAGCTTAGCCTAGCTTAATCCTCGCCTTCATTTTCTTCTAGTTCTGAAAAATCTTTGGTAGCAACTAGATAAAGTTGATAATCGATAAATACATGACAAATATGAATTGCTTGTTAAAGCTGACAGTTTATATGAATTGATTACCGTAATATCTCTAATAGTAGCACCCGCCTCCCCCGTAAAGTCGCGTAGTCTCAAAGAATTTTTACTAAACCATCTTTTTCTAAGCACCCATAGTTTCTAAAAATACATATTTGGTATCAAAAAATAGCCCTGAATTTCAGCTTTCATTTGATACTAAAGCGCACACTGTAGCATAAACGGATGACGAGAAAAATGCGTCCAAAGCTAGACTACGCGACGCTCCGCCCGTCATTATAGAGGGGAGCGCTACTATTAGAGGGATTACAGTAATTATTAATCAAAATCAAATTCCAGGATTTCACTCTCGACTTTTACATGAGACAAAACTGGCAGGATCCTCGGCTAGAATTCAAACCGCTTGAGATCGGAAACGGACGAGAGATTCGATCACTTACCGTTTGTTTAAACCTTTCTTTTACATCTAAAAAAAGGTTAACTCTTAAGTGTTTAATTTATTCCAGAGCTCACGACAAACTCGAAGTCTACAGGTAGCACAAAATCTATCGCAAAAACAATAACGAAAACCATGTTTTTCTTTTGTTTAATTTTTACTTTTGGCACAAATAGCTTCACCAACTAAACAATGAATCTATTGATGTGTTGAAGATAAACACACACAAAAAACAAACAAAAGATTACACCTATTTCAGGTGGGAGTCGACTATCTGGATAAGTTATGGAAACCGGATACTTTTTTCCCGAATGAGAAGAAATCTTTCTTTCACACCGCTACCACACACAACTCTTTTCTGAGGATTGACTCCGATGGCACTGTAGCTACTAGTCAACGGTAAAAGAAAATATCATAAATCAAGTAGTACAATCGAATTGAGATCAGTTCTTCAATAGTATTTATAGCTTGCTAAAGATCTGGAAATCTAGATTAAATCTAGTTCCCAATCTCTTTTCTCTCTAGATAAAGTGAAGAAATTGGGGAGTCCTGGATTTGAATTGAATCATTTGATTTGAATTGAATCCTTTGATTTGAATTGAATCCTTTGATTTGAATTGAATCCTCGATTCTTTGCCTCGATCTCTTTCCAGCTCTTCCCCTTTCCATTTGTGATGAATTTGTTTTAACAAAGCTATCTAGAAAAGTAGAAAAGTAAACCTAAACTTCTAACATGTTTTCCCATTTTTCAATTCCTAGATGGAAACTATATTCAATTCCGAGCGGGGAAAGGGAAGAGTAGCCGAGTGCCAAAGAAATTCCAAGCTTTGTGTCCTCTCAAAAGCTGGTCGAAAAAGGAAAAGATCTTAAAGAAAAAGGGGAAAAGGGGGGGGTTGAAGAGGAGAGGAAAAGTGGGATCCTTTTGAGTACAAGCAATGGATTGAGGCTGGGGGCTTAGAGGGTTTTCCTTTTTGAAATAAGAAAAGGACCACCTTCACCTTCCGTACCTTCTAAATGATGCAGGGGGTTTTTTGATAAAGAAATTATATGATGAATTATATGATAGCTTATATGATAGCTTATATGATATGATAAATCTTCTTCTATATGCAGTAATAGATAAGAGTTTTGCAACTATACTGCAACTCTTTTCACATAAAATGAAATAAACTTTAGGCTAACTGTCACTGCGACTTGTCCAATGGATCTTCAGCTTTTTCCAATGGATTCACAAAAGTGCAAACTCGAGATTGAAAGCTGTGAGTTATAAAAAGAAAATAGAAAAAAAATAGACATTCCCAAAACAAAAAAAGAAAAGTAGATGAAATGGGAGTGTGCGGTGTGAAAATTTTTTCTTTTTTTTTACTTTTGATAGAAGGTAGTCCGTGAAGTCGAGTCCTTTAATAGTTGTTTTTTTAAAAAAAAAAAACGTGTTAAATGGGGTCATTTGAAAAAGTCCAAAATTTGATTGCACCGGTGTTCGCGCAGAGCTTAAAGATCGACATTTTCGGGACACTGTAACGCCAAATAAATCTTACACTCGGTGCCCGAAAATTGTTCGATCTTCAGCTCATTTCAAAGTAAAAATTTTTCTCCTCTGTCACCCGTCTCAAATTTGTTTTTCTTTTGTTTAAATTTCTTTTGAATATCTTTGAATATCTTTGAATATCTTTGAATAAATGCTTTTGATGGGGGATGATGGGGGTTTTTGTTTTTTGATAGAACTTTTCGAAGACTGAACATGAATGGATGATGAAGGAATCGATCACCAATCGATCAACCAATCAATCACCAATCGATCAACCAATCGATCGCCAATCGATCACCAAAACAGAGTACGTTGATCAGCTATGATGAGAGCAACTCTCTTTTTTTTTTGACTCAAGCACCATTTTCTTTTTGATCAAGCAGAGTTTTTGATCAAGGACACGGATTTTGATCATCTAGCTTCACTCAAATTTTTCAGACAATAGATTTCAGACAATAGACAATTGATTAAAAATTACTAAAGCCCATACATTTAAAAATAACAGAAATTCCTTTAATTTCCCCAATTCGGTGAATTTTAGTGATCTAGGTGGATCCAGATCCATAGCTCTTGATCTGAAAATCTTGCCCCAATAAGCGATCACTTTCTCACTTTTCACACAACTGATCTATCGCCAATTTCTTAAATTAGTTCTCAGCTATTCTTGAGGTTATACTAGGGCTTAGATTACTTAGTTAGTGTGTTTTCAACGCTTATCTATTTGATTTTAGAAAACTACTGTAGACAAACTTAGCCACTACCACTAGACAGCCACTACCACTAGACAGCCACTACCACTACACAGTCACTACCACTAGACAACCACTAGACAAGTACTCGATCAGTTCACTTTTTACGAGTACTCTTGATGAGGTATCACAAGGCTCAACTAATATCAATGATACTAAAAGTGGGCTAAAGGATGACTATTTGATTACAATAGAAATCAAAAATAGACTCGTTTTAGAAAAAAAGATTAGTCGACTATACTGTCAAACTCGAATCGGTACTCTTTTACTTTACTTTTTACTTTTACTGAAATCTTTACTTAAAGAGAAATTCACTATATATTTGCCACAAAAATGCATTGTTTCTATGAAGTTATACCCGTAAGATTTGAGCTTTAAAAAAACGAATCAAATTTCACAAAAACAGATTTTCATTTCGGGTATTTGATGGCTTTGGTAAGTGCTTATTTGTCGGTTTTACGGGGGTATAACTTCATTGATTCAAGTGACTCTTTTTTTGCTCTTTTTTTGCTCTAGTCCATAGTACATTGAAATAAAGTCGAATAAAATTGAATATCTTTTAGAAGTATCAAATGAAACTAGTATAACCTCATTGAAAACTCTCGCTCTCACACCCAGCCAACTCACACTCTTCCCTTAAATCAACTAAAGCCAGTTTGCTTAATCAAATAACAAAAAATTGTGTTGTGAAAATGGTTAAAAGTAGAGTGTGTTCCACGCGAGTAATGCCTTTTTTTTTAAATTAAAAATTGGCAAAAAAATTACCGTACTTTTAGCAAAAATTATTGCAAAAAAATGACGGAAAAATGACGAGCCCCGCATTATATACGACACTTTTTAAAGATACTCACTGTTTAACTGATTTGGTGGGCATATTTCCTTCCAATGTTAAAACATGATTTTTTTTTTGAAAAACCTGCCCACAAAAATTGCTTTTACCGTATTTCTTCGAATAGAAAACCGGGTAAAGAGTATGATCGCGTACTCCTGCGTAGCAGCCCTTTTTAAAATTTCTTTTCTGCATAAAAGCTTTCAATGAAGTGCTATAGAGCTGGAAAATGACTTAAAAATCTGTTAGCTCATGTCGTATTTTTGAGTCATTTTCCAGCCCTATAGCACTTCACTGAAAGCTTTGGTTCCTTCCCCCTCTGAATTTGGTTCCTTATCTCTCTAAATTTGGTTCCTTCCCCCTCTAAATTTGGTTCCTTATCTCTCTAGATTTGGTTCCTTATTCCTTCGGTAAAGAATACCGAAGACCGGGTAAAGAGTATGATCGCGTACTCCCGCGTAGCAGCCCTTTTTAAAATTTCTTTTCTGCATAAAAGCTTTCAATGAAGTGCTATAGAGCTGGAAAATGACTCAAAAATACGACATGAGCTAACAGATTTTTGAGCCATTTTCCAGCTCTATAGCACTTCATTGAAAGCTTTTATGCAGAAAAGAAATTTTAAAAAGGGCTGCTACGCAGGAGTACGCGATCATACTCTTTACCCGGTCTTCTATTCGAAGAAATACGGTATATTTTTTTCGCGCAGCCGCACTTTTTAGAAAACGCATTACTCGACAATTACTCAAGCTCATGCTGATGCTCATGCAACTGCTCATACAACTCATGCAAATTTACTCGAGTAATTAATTACTTACTCGCGAGGAACACAGTTAAAAGCTAGTTAAAAAGCTTATTTAACAATACTCAATTGCTCAATTTATTTATTTTATTTTAACATTTGCATAAAGAAATCGCATGATCGTTTAGTGTGGTGTCATTGTTTTGAAAAGCTTTTTTTTTTGACTTTCACATTTGAATTTTGTTTTTTCGCTTTAAACAAATGTAGTGATGTCGATGTTGAAAAGAGTTTGAAATTCAGCTCAAATGCAACATTTTTTACTTCCCCGAAAAACAAAAAGTTCGTTAGAAAGACTAGTTCATTAAAAAAAATATAAAAAATTTAAAAATAGGGTTAAAGTTTGACTCAAAAACGTGAAGATTTAACGAATTAAAGCGAAAAATCTTTGCTTTATGTTTAGCTAAAGTTGCAGCTATTTATTGTAAGCTTATAAAATGTTTTTTTTTTTTTAAAAACGAAAAAGGTTTGTTAAGAAAAAGTGTTGTATGTGAGCGTGAAAAAGAAAAAAAAAGCATGCTGAACAGACTTATTAGCAAAAGCATTAACTAAATATCTTTTAAAGCTTAATAAAAGATAAGATATGTTAATAATACTTTGCCAATAATTGGGGTAGGCTAATTTCCGCAATTTTTTTGCTCAACTAGGTCATTTGCTCAACAGGATCATTTGCACAACTGGGTCGTTTGCGCAACTCGCCATAACTTTCTTCTGAGTAGACGAATCTTTATGCTTTTGGTTTTATTTTGTAGATCTCAATGAGTGCAACAAAATAAAACCAAAAGCATAAAGATTGATCGACCTAGAAGAAAGTTATGGCGTCCTTTGCTGGGTCATTTGCGCTAACATAACTTTCTTCTAAATCGACCAATATTTATGCTTTTGGTGTCATTTTGTAGATCTCAATGAGTGCAACAAAATGACACCAAAATCATAAAGATTCGCCCACTTAGAAGAAAGTTATGGCGAGTTGCGCAAAAAAAATTGCGGAAAGTTAGCCTACCCCCAATAATCGTTAACTGAATATTTTATAAAGCTTAATAAAAGATTAAATATGTTAAAATACTTTGCCAATAAGCCTAATAGCAATTTGGAATTATGTCTTTATTTTGAAAGATTGTTTTTTTTTGACAAAATGGAAAACGACAGAAAAGTTTGAATTTATTTTGATTTATTTTGCTTCAGCTTTAGCTCGTTTCCTATTTTGTGGAAAGTGTGTACGATAATTTTAGACAAAGAATACTGTAATTTCAGACGGTTACTCGATCACTGACATCAATTACATTTTCCCAAAAGGGCAAGAATCAATCTCTCGTGAAGCTTTCGAATTGCCGCAATTTGTGCTCGCCGATGTCAAGATCAGCAACATCACCGAGAAGCTCAGCTCGGGTGAGATTAGCTAACTTGCTGGCTTTCAAAAGGCTTTCAAAAGACTTTCAAAAGACTTTCAAAAGAATTTCAAAAGACTTTCAGAAGATATTCAAAAAGCTTTCAAAAGGCTTTCAAAAGCTACCATAATCCCAGCTCTACTAAAACAATGCAATGGCTAATTCATGTAAATTTCTCCAGCTATCTAATTTCTATTTGGTTAAAATTAAAAAGGGGAAATTTAGCGCTTTCCTATGCATTGATCAAATAGTTTGAAAGCTATAAGAATTGAAATTATTAACCTTTTCCATTTTAGGCACATACTCGCGTTTGATTTGTTATTTTCTTTTCAAGCGGAGTCTCGGCTTTTATCTTTTGCAAGTGTACATCCCATCTGTGCTCATCGTTTCAATTTCATGGGTCTCGTTTTGGCTTTCAAGAGAGGCTACAGTAAGTTGTTTTTTATATTTTAGTTAGTTAGTTGGTTAGTTAGTTAGTTAGTTGGTTTGTTTGTTTGTTTGTTTGTTTGTTAGTTAGTTGGTTAGTTACCGTAAATACTGTAATTGACCCCACCCTTTAAAAAAACCCTCTAAAAACCCCCCCAGGGGGGGGTTAGTTAATTTAGTTGGTTATTTAGTTAGTTTGTTAGTTAGTTAAGTTAGTTAGTTAGTTAGTTTGTTTGTTTGTTTGTTTGTTTGTTTGTTTGTTTGTTTGTTTGTTTGTTTGTTTGTTTGTTTGTTTGTTTGTTTGTTTGTTTGTTTGTTTGTTTGTTAGTTAGTTAGTTAGTTGGTTAGTTAGTTAGTTAGCTAGTTAGTTAGCTAGTTAATTAATTAGCTAGTTAGTTAGTTAGTTAGCTAGCTAGCTAGTTAGCTAGCTAGTTAGCTAGTTAGTTAGCTAGTTAATTAGCTAGTTAGTTAGTTAGCTAGTTAGTTAATTAGCTAGTTAGCTAGTTAGCATAGCTAGCAAGCGTCAAATAACTCGTACAGTGTTCTATAGTTAAATCCTCAAATTTTAGCCTGCCAGAGTAGCATTGGGAGTGACAACGGTAAGTTATTTGTGTTGTTGCATGCATTTACAGTAAATATTCTAATAGAAAAGCTGGCTGAATAGCTCTATTTTTTATTTTATCTATTTCAAATACTTTTTCGTGCCCTAGCTACAATATACGCAAATTTTAAAGAGCTGTTTTTTTAGATTTTTATCCAGTTTTCTACGTTATTAAGCTTTTTCTTTAGTTTATAAATTTATAGCCTTTAAAAGTCTTTAAAGATATGGTAAAATACATCAAAAATATATTAGTTTTTTTATTAACTCCAGTTTACAGGTGTTAACAATGACCACTTTGATGACAACAACGAACAGTGCTATGCCGAAAGTCTCCTATGTGAAATCGATTGACACTTTCCTCGGTAAAATTCAATTCGCCAATATCTTTGATCGATCCTCGGCTGTTTATCACCGATAAACAGACCAATTTTGCGTCTAATGACGTCAATTAGTTTCACTTCACATTGACTAGGCTATTAATTTCGTGAGTTTAATCGTTTTCAAGACGATAAGAGGATGAGATCTATTTGAGAAAGAAAAAAGACTTGCGATTGCAATTTGCCGCACCTCAATGAATGGGAAAATAAACGAGGGACAGCTGTTTTATCTCAGTTTCTTCTCAATTTTTCTTCTAAAATGAACTTGCTAGATTGGGGGTTATTGAATGAATGAGTAGTTATCTAAGAGTACTTAATCAAGTGATAAGATAGAGAAGGAGTACGATAGGAATATGGCAAGTGTAAGGTAGTAGGGAAGGAGTACGATAGGAATATAGTAAGAGTACGGTAGTAGGAAAGGAGTACGATAAAACTATGGTTAGTGTAAAGTAGTAGGGAAAGGAGTACGATAAGACTATGGTAAGAGTACGGTATTAAGGAAGGATTACGGTAGGAATATGGGAAGTGTAAGGTAGTAGGGAAGGAGTACGATAAGACTATGGTGAGAGTACGGTATTAGGGAAGGATTACGATAGGAATATAGTAAGAGTACGGTAGTATGGAAGGAGTACGATAGAAAGCATAGGAAGCCATAGGAAGTTAAAAACTACGGTAGCAAAAAGACTAACGGGATTTGATTGACCATTAATATAATCTATTAAATCAACTTTTATATAGAAATCTATTATTAAAGAGTTTTATTATATACTTAGATGTTTTAGGTGTCTCGTTCATGATGGTTTTTTGCTCATTGCTCGAGTACGCAGCAATTGGTTATCTAAGTAAACGGTTGAAATTGTGTGAAATACGAAAGAAATCTTCCGTTAGGTGAGTAAAAAATGATTTGCTTTTTGAAAAGTTGACTGAAATACTTTCAGATCGATGCTCACCTCACCAGCCGAGCCAGCAATTCGCTCAATTTCCGTACCCGCCTATTTCAACACCGCCTATCGACCATTTTACTCATCAACTGATCGAAAATCGACTTTATTTCTTGATGAACATTCTCGGCCAAAAGTTAGCTTTATGGTTTGTTTAATCTTTACAACTTTAAAACTTTGTTTCTTTGTTTTCTAGGATTCAGAATGTGATTGCCCATTGCTAGCACCACCGCCAGATGAAAATCACTCTCCAAGAGTTGAAATTATTGTCACAAAGGTAAAGAGTATAAGAATTTTAAAAAAGTAAAAGAAAATTAACTTGTAAAGATAATTTTTGTAAAGAATGGTATAGGTGGCATAGCATTTGACCGGCTCAACCAGTTGACATTCCCTTGTAAGCAACGATTTGGTACCCAAAAGAATTGATCTGTCAGCAGTTATAAGCGTCTAAAGTTTTGCTAGAACTCTTTAGGTCATTTGGTGGCCTCCTTGCGTCTTAGGGGCCTCCTTGGGAACCAAATTCGATGCAACCGTGGCCTTACAACGTTCGTTTTCAGAACGAGACCTCGCAAGTTCTGGTCCCCACGTTGGATTTTTCTTAGGCTTTTTTCAAGCACTTCTTTCAGCAAAAGAAAAATCCAAAACGGGAGCCGAACTTGCTCTCGTTCTAGAAAGGAACGCTTTTACCACTAAGCCATGACTGCACCTAGTCTGCTTCGCAAGGAAGCCGCCAAATGATCACATTTTCAGAGTCCTAACAAGAATTTAGGCGCTTATAAGTACTCACAGATTGTCATTTAGCAAAAACGGAATAGATATTCGGAATCAGCATTAAATTCTGCGTCGAATGGTATAGGTAGCATAGCATTTGACCGGCTCAACCAGTTGACATTCCCTTGTTGACACATTCCAACGATTTGGTACCCAACAGAATTGATCTGATAGTTTAGAGTTGGTCTGGTACCCAAAATGAGCCATTGTTTGATCAAATGGCTCATTTTGATCTTGATCTAAGGCTAATTATTAGAAAAATATGGTCTTTTATTAGAATTATCCATTGCTAGCACCACCACCAGATAAAAATCACTCTCCAAGAGTTGAAATTATTGTCACAAAGGTATAAAGTACAAGAATTTAGCTTTAGTAAAAGAAAATAAACTTGTAAAGATGTGTAAAGAAGATTTTTGAAAAGAAAAACTTTAGCATGAGTTCGCAAAACAACCGTTTGAATGGCGTCAACTGTTGAAACCGTCGAATATCGATAAATACTCAAGAATTTTCTTTCCAACTGTTTGTTGATAAAGAAAAGTTTTATAGATTATCGATTTTTTTCTAGATTTATTTTACTTTCAATGTTGGCTATTGGGCTCATTTCGTTCGTCTTTCGCGAATCGCATCGAAACTTATCGAACTTCAATGAATCATCAACAAAAACCAAAAAAGAAACCAAAAAACCCATTTTTCTTTTCTTCTGTGATCTATTTGATTCGTTTTTATTGATATTTTAAAACGAATTCCTATTTTTCATTATTTATTATCGATCTTTTACACAGCGTGAACACTGGCGATGCGAAAAAACATGCGACAAAACTTTTTTTTGATACTTTTATAGAGGTTTTATTTTGGGTGTCGTTGTGTGATAGGAATAGAAAAAAAACAACAGAAGAAACACTTTCATTTTATGGGAATAAATAGAGAAATGTAAAAAAAAAAAAAAAAAAAAAGATTTTAGATGGATACGATGTTGTGGACATTAAATTCTTCTGGGGAGACAAAGTGACGAGGGAGAACGATTCGGTGGCCTTCTCGGCTTTCGTTCTTCCACAATTCACACATGAGGGCTACTTCATCAATTCGACTCTTGCAAGCACGTCATCGGGTTTGTTTTGCAGTCATTTTTGAAAATGCTAGGCTTTTTTATTCTTTCTTTGATTCTAACAATGCTCTATTAAAGCTCTAGTATCTTGTAAAATTGCAAAGAGAAGTGCTAACTTTTTTCTTTGTTACAGAAAGCTGAAAAAAGTGATTGTGAGTTGAGAAATTGACTGAAAACTGATTAAAAGTGATTCAAAACTGAGCAAAATTGATTCAAAACTGGACAAAATTGGTTCAAAATTGATTTAAAATTGATTAAAATGAAGTAAAACTGATCGAAATTGGTTCAAAATTGATTTAAAATCGATCAAAATCGATCAAACTCGACCAAAATCGATCAAACTCGATCAAAATCGATCAAAATCGATCAAAATCGATCAAAATCGATCAAAATCGATCAAAATCGACCAAAATCGATCAAAATCGATCAAAATCGATCAGAATCGATTCAAAATTGATTTAAAACTGATTAAAATTGATCAAAATTGATCGAAACATCAAAACTTATAAAATGAAAAAAAAATGAAATCAAATAGGATGACTGTAAACTTTAATCGTTACTTAAAGAGTTACGCTGGCTCATTTACTCAAAAAATGATGATCTAAACCCACAGCTAATTTGATTGATTGATTCCTTTTAGGCACCTACTCGCGTTTGAGTTTCTCGGTGTTGCTCGTGCGAAATATGGGCTTCTACGCGATGAACATCGTCATCCCATCGGTGCTCATCGTCATCATCTCGTGGGTGTCTTTCTGGCTGAATCGAGAGGCGAGTTTTAAAGGAAGAAAGAAAGAAAAAAAAGCTTTAAAGCTTTACAATTCATTTACAGTAAAGCACTTTACTGTAGAATTGATTCGAACTAAAATCGAACGGATTGAATGAACTTTGAAATTGAATTGAAAGAAAATTGAAAGAAACTTGAATGAAACCTTAATGACTACGGTACTTTTCTGAAATAGTAAAGCACTTTACTGTAGAGTGGGTTCCTTTCGAATTCCTTTTTTCTAAAATGCATCTTATTTGCGAAAAGTAGGCGTCATTAAATCGTTTTAAAAAAATACCGACTGGGGCTACCAGTGGTGAATTTATCGCATACACGAAATATATCAATCACAATACAACGACACACACAATACTAGGCTATATCTTAACTTAACCCACGTCATGACAGACGGCTCCCTAACCCTAAGCTCAATGGGGAACTAAATAGCTTTTTTGGTGGTGAAGAGAAGATGACGATGAAGGAGTGGCTTGTCACTTTAAAGAACTGGGGCCACAACCACCAGACTGCCCTCCAGAAAACCTCTCAACCCGAAGGGAAAGGAAATCAAGTTTTTTTTACATAAAAATTAGCTGAATTTTTGGTTGATTCGATGAGAAATTACAAGCCTCATTCAATGATAATAAAATCAAACAAATTGAATGAACGGTTTGACTACGGTACTTTCAGACTTTTAGACTTTCAGACTTTGACTACGGTACTTAAATAGATGCATTTTAAAAAAAACGCATTACGAGAGGAAGACACAAATCTTTACCGTTCAAAAAAATCCATTTAGGCAAGTCCGGCTCGTGTGGGACTTGGAGTTACCACTGTGCTCACTATGACCACTCTTATCACTACAACAAATGTATGTTTTTTTTTAAAGAATAACTATAGAATACCTACCGTAAATACTGTAATAGTACCACAGCCCCCTCGTACAGTCGCGTAGTCGCAAAAGTTTTTTTAGTATTTCATTTTTTTCAAAGCGCCTGTACTTTCAAAAAATGCGTCTTTGGCATGAAAAAATAGCTGAGATTCAGGGCTATTTTTTGATAATTGTATTGCTATTGTAGCATAAACCAGTGTCGAGAAAAACTCGTTCAAAGCTAGACTACGTAACACTCCGCACCGTCATTATGGGGATGGGGTACTATTACAGTATTTACGGTAGCTAGAAAACTTTTTCCTTTCATTTCAGTATTTTTATTTTAGAAAGCCCATCTCTAGAACTGATTTCTTTAGTTTTAAGAGTTAAATTATTAGGTTGTTCGGATATAAACGAGCGTTTTAGTAGTCGACAAAATTTACCTTAAAAACAGAAGCAACACAGTTTATTCGTATATTCACCAAAGTATATTCACCATTATTATTGATTGCTTCTTACCATCTTTCGCGAAGTCATTTCGGTCATCTAAAGCAAGAAAAAAGAGTCTTAAAAATAACAAATTATCCGTTTAAAAAGTTTCCAAATATGCGCAAGATAACGTCCATCGTTTGACATGGATCCGATTCGATTGCAGCCCTCAAAATATCGTTGTCTACCGCTTGAGGTTGACGAGAGTCTTCATCATCCTCGAGACTTTCATCACCATTCTGAAAGTGTTGGAGCCAGGATCGGCATCGGCTTTCGGACAAAACATCATTCCCAAATGCTTTGACCAAATCTCAATGGCGCTTCCTCAATGCGATTCAAATCTTTTGTCCAGTTTGAAGTCATAAAGTAGGCAGACGCGAACTTGATTTATTCGAAGTCGGTCATCTAAAGCAAGAAAAAAAGATCTTAAATCTTAAAGATCTTAAAAATAACAAATTATCCGTTTAAAAAGTTTCCAAATATGCGCAAGATAACGTACTTTTAAATACAGAAAGATATGTTTTAAAAGCTTCTCTCACAACAAAAAGTTTAGCAACGATTGTAGCAACGATTGTTTATATCCGAACAACCTAATAGATTTAAATGTTTATCTTTATGCTTATGCTTATCCTTATCTCATTTCGAACAGCTTTCCAACAGCAATTTCGAGCCGAATAGTTTGAACTAGGACAGATGCAAAATCTGTGCGCCGCCGGGACTCGAACCCGCGACCTTTCGCTTACCGGCCAACTGTGCTAACCATTGGTTAGCAATTGGTCAATTCCAAATATGCGCAAGATAACGTACTTTTAAATACCAGAAAGATATGTTTTAAAAGCTTCTCTCACAACAAAAAGTTTAACAACGATTGTAGCAACGATTGTAGCAACGATTGTTTATATCCGAATAACCTAATAGAAGTAAAAAAGTTAAATTAGAAGTTCAAAGGTTAAATTAGAAGTTCAAAGGTTAAATTAGAAGTTAAAGGTTAAATTAGAAGTTCAAAGGTTAAATTAGAAGTTCAAAGTTTTTAGAATGCTATGCCTAAAGTGAGTTACATCAAAGGACTCGACGTTTTTCTCAACTTTTGGTTTGTTTTATTTGAAAAAATCAAAAGAAAAAGAGAAATTTTTAGTTTCATTATGGTTTTTGCCTCATTAGTCGAATATGCAATTGTCTCATATATGAATAAAAGAATCGCATTGCGGAGAGAGAAACGAAGGAAACAAGCTGAACAACAACAGGTCGATTCATTCATTCATTCATTCGTTTAAGTGAATCAAAAAAAAAATGAAACAGAGAAAAGGATTCTTTTGGATATTTCATTGATAAAGCCGGCTAAATAGCTAAATACTTTTTAACTTCAATTCAAAGAAGAAATTTTAGCGCGCTGAGATGCCGATGTTCACTCATTCGCCAAAACAACCAAATAATAATGTATGTCGATTAGATAGAATTTATTCTAATAAAAGACCAAGTTTAACAAAATTAGGAAACGATTAAATCCAAATTAACTGATTGAGCCGGTCAAATGCTATTCTATCTATACCATTCAACGCAGAATTTTCTGCTGATTTCGAATATATTCCCCGTTTTTGCTAAATGACAATCTGTGAGTAGTTATAAGCGTCTAAAGTTTTATTAGAACTCTTTAGGTCATTTGGTGGCCTCCTTGCGTCTTAGGGGCCTCCTTGGGAACCAAATTCGATGCAACCGTGCCCTTACAGCGTTCGTTTTCAGAACGAGACCTCGCAAGTTCTGGTCCCCACGTTGGATTTTTCTTTGGCTTTTTCAAGCACTTCTTTCAGCAAAAGAAAAATCCAAAACGGGGGCCGAACTTGCTCTCGTTCTAGAAAGGAACGCTTTACCACTAAGCCACAACTGCACCGAGTCTGCTTCGCAAGCAAGCCGCCAAATGATCACATTTTCAGAGTCCTAACAAGAATTTAGGCGCTTATAACTACTCACAGATTGTCATTTAGCAAAAACGGAATAGATATTCGGAATCAGCATTAAATTCTGCGTCGAATGGTATAGATAGCATAGCATTTGACCGGCTCAACCAGTTGACATTCCCTTGTTGACACATTCCAACGATTTGGTACCCAACAGAATTGATCTGATAGTTTAGAGTTGATCTGTTACCCAAAATGAGCCATTGTTTGATCAAATGGCTCATTTTGGTCTTGATCTAAGGCTAATTATTAGAAAAAATATGGTCTTTTATTAGAATTTTTATATTACTAACTTTTTTTTTGAGTTCAAACTAATCTTGTTTTTACCCTTTTTTTGTTCATTTGTAGTGTTCATTTGTAGTCTTACGAGATGGCGATCATGTCACAGAACTCAACACCAGCAAAGAGCTACGATCGAGCACAGGCATTTCATTTTTATTCATTAGTTTTCATTTACAATCATTTACAATTATTTTCCATCATTTACAATCATTTACAATCAAAAAATTGACAAATCTTTAACCCTAATGTATACTAACAATGTTGTTTCTCTTTCTAGGAAATGGGTCTCACTCATCACGCATCTACCGTATGATTTTGCTGTGTTTAAACAGAAAAGACAAAATTCCTTTGGTTTTATAACAAAAAAAGATTTTAGAATCAATTAATGGAAATCCCGGCTGATTGTGATTGTCGAACGATTCCACTCATTCAACATCCAAGACTCGTTTCTCATGATGGACACACTTTATGGCCAGCGCCTTTCGGAAAGGTATCACCAGTGCCTGACTACTATTTATTTTCTTCTTAAACAGAATCATTATATCAAATTATATCTAAGCAGTGGAAAACGCTCACTAACGTTCGCGTTTCCCACGCAATCTAAGTCCCGCTCCTTTTTGCCAATGGCTGCGCACAGACGGACAGACGGACGAACAGACGGACAGACAGACGGACAGACAGACAGACAGACGGACAGACAGACATACGGACGGACAGACGGACGGACAGACAGACGGACAGACAGACAGCGACGGACAGACGGACGGACAGACGGACGGACGGACAGACTTCTCTTCCGCTTTATATATAATAGAACAGCGGAAAAAGAAAGAAGAAGAGAAAAAGAAAATTTACTAAACCCCACCCCTTCCTCCGCGCGCCGAGAGCTAAACCCCGCCCCTTTAGAGAATGGGTGCACACAGACGGACAGACGTCTCTTCTGCTTTATATATAGTCGATTCTATGAAATCAAATCAAATTTTATATTCTTAAGCTATTAAATGATTCTAAATTTGTGAAATTTAGGCAAAAAAACCGAAGAAATTCTTCCAAAACATGACACCGGCGAAGATCGACAAGTGCAGTCGATACGTCTTTCCACTTCTCTTTTTTGGCTTCAATTGTGAGAAATTTTCGAGATGAAAACATTTGATTTTTTTTTTTTTAATTTTATAGTTCATAGCATCAATTTACTATTCAGTTTTCTATTGGGCGATTATGAAAATCCTATCTGGATTGGGCGAGGTTTACGATATCAGCTGGTTGCCCATCGCAAAACATTAACACTCGTGAGTTCTACAAAAAAAAGAAATCTTCCTCAAGAATCATTCAAGCATTTTCTTTAGTGAAAGTTTTAAAATGTAAACGGTAAAGTTAAAGAGTTGAAATTGAATTGAATTGAATTGAATGGGAGTGGGACAAATGCGACCTTTGTTTTGCGCACCCGGACATTTGCGCACCTTTTTTTCCGCACTTAGCCCATTAGCGCACCTTTTTTCGCGTTTTAAAAAAGCTCTAAAAAGCTAATATTAACGAATTTCTATTCCAAAAGTTGTTTTTCTAGGTAATTTGAGGGTGTCGAATCGAAATTTTGACATATCAGAGCTTGTGGAAACAAACGGACGGAGTTATACAAAGAGAAAGATCGACAATTTTCTGTAATTTGATCTAGCCGTTTTGTTTTGATTTAGCGTCTTTCAAATTGGTTCCACACGCTCTGTTATGTCAAAATTTGAATTCGACACCCTCAAATTACCTAGAAAAACAACTTTTGGAATAGAAATTGGTTAATATTAACTTTCTAGAGCTTTTTTAAAACGCGAAAAAAGGTGCGCTAATGGACAAGGTGCGGAGGTGCGCAAATGCGCAAAAAAAGGTCGCATTTGTCCCACTCCCAATTGAATTGAATTGAATTGAATTGAAATGAAATTGAAATGTTTTAGTTGCACCTCTCTTCATTTTTCTTCTCCTCCCTTCCCTTCTCTTCCCTTCTCCTCTCTTCCCCTCTCTTCCCCTCTCTTCCCCTCTCTTCCCTTCTCTTCATCCAAAACACCATTATTAAAGTGTGATTTTTTAATTTTACAAATTTTCTGTTATTTACCTTTTTTTGATTGTGATTTTTATGTTTTCATCTTTTCAAATTATTCATTTTCAACATTTTTTGACTTTTTTTATATGAAAAACGCGCGAAACTCCGGTGCAACAGTAAAATGAAAAAAATTCTTTAAAAAATTTCTTTAAAAAACTTTTAAAGAAAAAAATTCCTTTAAAAAACTATAACCATTGAAAGATTCAACTAATCTATTTGTAAAATGCAAAAGTTTTTCAAAAAAAAAACGTGCCCGCGTGGTCGTGCCTGTTTGTACATAAAGAATTTTTCTTTTAAAAAAAAAATTTTTCTTTAAAAAAAGATTTTTCTAGGAAAATATGTTAGCTTTTCTTTTTAAAAAAAAAATGTGAAAACTATTGAATTTATTTCATTTTAGAATCGAAAATCTTATTAAAAACAATTTTTTTTTCTCGATTTTTAATTATTTAACAATTATTTAACAATTATTTATAAGAAATTTTAAAAATGAAAAAGAAAAGTTATCTTTAAAGAATAACCAGCTTTTTCGAATCGTTTTTGCTTTGTTTAATTGATTTAAATTGATTTAATCCCCGCTTTGATTTGTGTATTTGGTAAATAAACAACAAAAAAAAAATTTTAGACGGCTACTCGACGGTGAACATCGTTTATGAATGGTGCGGGATTGGGACAAAACCCGGTTGCATGCCGGTAAAGGTCAGTGAGAAAAGGATTGTTGAAAAAGAAAATTCTTAATTTCTTGCCTACTAGGTTGGTGCAAATGAAATTTCGTTTTTTTACAAACATTAAAGTCATCCAAAATTTTTTTTGATAACAATTTATTTAAAACAATAAGCACCATTATTATCTATGACATCCCTCCAACGTTGCTACAGATTGCGGATCCCCTTCTCAAAGAACGCTTGATTCTGTGATGCAAAGTAGTTGGTCACCCAATTTTCGACTTCTTTTGCATTCTTAAACTGGCAATTCTCAAGGGAATGTTGCATCGATCTGAAAAGGTGAAAATCGGAGGGTGCTAAGTCTGGACTATACGGCGCATGTGGTAAGACCTTCCATCCTAGCTTCTCTAGTTCCTTACAAGAGGTTTTTGCCGTGTGAGCTGGAGCATTATCACGGAGAAAGTTGATAGTTGAGGGATTTAGGCCTTTTTCACGCAAAATTTCGTCAACCTTCTTGAGTTGTTGAATAAAATAAGATGAATCGACTGTTTTTCCGGGCTCTAATAATTCAAAATGAACAAGTCCATTGATATTCCACCAGCAAGACAACATCACTTTGCGCCCATGATAATCCGGCTTTGGAGTTGGAATTGGCGCTTGACCTTTGCTCAGCCATTGTCTTTTTCGAGAAGTATTATCAAAGTGAACCACTTCTCATCCATCGTCAAGATATTCTCAAAAAAAATGGCTTCTTTTCGACTTCTGGAGCAAGATATGGCTGATCGGAACGCGTGCTCCCAGATTCTCAACACTCAATTGATGTGGAACCCATTGTCCATTACGATTTGTCTTTCCAATTATTTCCAATTGTTGAATTGGAGATGTTTGGCAAGTTCTCGTGTTGTTTGCATTGGATCAGCTTCAATTCATTGTTGTCGATGGCTGTGGCACGATGTCCATGCGATTCGTCTTCAAGGGATTCATTACCATCTCGGAATTGGGCAAACCAGAGCTGGCATGATCTTTCGGTGATAACCTGTTCTCCAAAGGCGGAACAGAGATCACGATGTGAATCAGCAGCGTTTTTGCCCATTTTGAAGTCATAGAGAAAACACGTGCGCAGAACATACTTTTGATCCACCATGATCTAAAGCAAAAATCAATTAAAAAGTGAAAGCTCTGACTTTGAAAAAATGCGAAAATAAAGTAAATATCCAAGAGTACAAATGCACAAAAGAACATCAAATAAGCTCTTCAGATTAAAAAAATAAGAACATTTTATATCGACCGAAATTTCTTTTGCACCAACCTAATATGATAGAGTTTTGACGATTCATAGTACAAAAAAAAGCAAAAGAAAGCCAACTTTTTCGAAAAAGAAGCCAACTTTGAATACCGTATTCTCTCTAATAGTAGTGCACCCCGGCGAGCCGAGTTGGTGACTATTTACGGCTTCCAAAGTTTTCCCAGAAGCTCAACACTCAAATCCCTCACAAGATCTCATCGTCAGCTACATTTTCCGACCCCACATCGATAGGTTCTGATCCGCGGTTTTCGAGATTTCGAGCAATTTAGGCAACGCTCATGGTGCACTACTATTAGAGAAAATACGGTAACTAAATGTGTTCAATTTCCCAGAAGCTCAACACTCAAATCCCCCACAAGATCTCATCGTCAGTTACATTTTCCGACCACTAGATTGGATTACTGAGCACTAGATTGGACCTCAATTATATATACCGTATTCTCTCTAATAGTAGTGTACCCCGGCGAGCCGAGTTGGTGACTATTTACGGCTTCCAAAGTTTTCCCAGAGCTCAACACTCAAATCCCCCACAAGATCTCATCGTCAGCTACATTTTCCGACCCCACATCGATAGGTTCTGATCCGCGGTTTTCGAGATTTCGAGCAATTTAGGCGACGCTCAGGGTGCACTACTATTAGAGAGAATACGATAGCTTTAACTTTTGCCAGTTTTGCTTTGAAAATTTCCCTTAAACTATAACTAGAGAGGATACGATAGCTTTAAAGAAGCAGAATTTTATTGAATTTTCCTGTAGCTTGAGCTATGAGCCTACTAGATATGTTACTTGAGAGCCATCAAAAGATGAATTGCTTGGAAAGCTATTGTAAGAACTCTAAATGAATAGCTCTAATCGATTCCTTGACCACAAAAACCCCAGCCAAATATCTTTTTTTCTCATCTACAGAAAGCCCTCAATGACTGGCCAGGTGCTCTTTGTGCGGCTTTGTAATCGCTCCTGATCTGGCAAACCCCTTAAATAAAGTGCTTCCATTTTGAAATCCGCAAAAGGGAAGAAGCGATCAGTGACTGAGCGAATTTCCCCACTCTACGCATCGCTCAAATTCCAGAATCATTACGATAGCTTTCCAAATGGACATTGTAAAGCAATAATATTGTATAACGCTGGATTGGTTAGATTATAAACTATTTTTTAAGCTATAGTTCATATCAATTAAAGCAACTTAGAAGCTTTTGTAGTTTTTAGTGCCCATGTCTACTTTAGATCGCTTAGATTATAACTTTATTTCTCTGAAGATTTTCTGTAGAATTCAGGAACTTAGAGCCTTTCAGGTGGACGACAAAATCGAGCTGCCGTCCTACAATTTCTCTGAGCATTGTATCAACAGCACAATCGCTAAGCTATCATCGGGTTTGACATTTTCTTTATATACAAAAGAAACACACAAAACAATGAATAAATACGACGTAAAGACAGAGAAAAGAAATGCTGAAAATTGAGTTTTCGGGGGGTTTGTTAGTTGATCGAAAGATCGAAAGATTTTTGTATCGAAAGAGATTGAGAGATTTTTGGTGAGAGAATTTTGAGAAGTGATAGAATTATAGAAATTAAGAGAAAGGAAAGATTTAAAAGAAACCCATTGAATTCTTTTTGATCTTTGGGGGAAATGGGAAAGAAGATGACGAGAGTTGGACCACCTATGTCCTAGTTTTCTAATCCACGTATTAGACAAAAAATATCAGACAAAAGTTTTGAGCAAATGATTCCGGTAGAGAGACAATTCGTGTCTTAGAATAGTGATCTTTCGATTAGCACTGAGCTTCTTCACGTCATAGAAAATTCTTGAAGGTTAGCTTAAAGAACTATTAGCTGAAAATCAAAAAAAAAAATCAAAAATATGACTCTCAAATTATCAAATTTTGACTTTGAACCATCAAAAACTTCAAACTATCAAACTATGACTATTAAAAATATGCAGAAATTGAAGAGGAAAGCAATCAAAGTCGACACTCGAAGCTTCGAAGTTTATCAAAATACAAGTTTATCAAAGAAAAAAAAAAATGATAACATTAGTCGGGCTCTAATCACTCGCTACTCAAAAATTTAGTCGTCTGCTTTGCTTACCGAAATTTTCGCTATAATAATCTCTATTCAAAAGGGGGGTCAGATAAATGCGACCTTTTTTTTGCTGGAAAAGGCCTTAGGAAAGGTCGTAGAGCTTCAAAAATGTTTTCATAGAAGGGAATCGTATGCGTGGATTCCGAATTTCGACAAATCAGACCTCGCTGACACATCAAATTTGGGCTAAAAGGCAAAAACTGCGGAAAAGCGTTAAGTTGCGTAGTTTTTGCCTTTTAGCCCAAATTTGATGTGTCAGCGAGGTCTGATTTGTCGAAATTCGGAATCTACGCATACGATTCCCTTCTATGAAAACATTTTTGAAGCTCTACGACCTTTCCTAAGGCCTTTGCCAGCAAAAAAAAGGTGCGCAAATGTCCAGGTGCGCAAAAAAAAGGTCGCATTTATCCCACCCCCTTCAAAAGTGATATTCGTCTACTTTTTGATGCTTATTTTTCGTAAATAATTAGCATTTTTTTCAGGTTCATATTCACGATTGAAAGTATGGTTTCTTTTCGATCGCGAATCCGGTTTTTATATGTTACAAATTTTTGTCCCTGCTGCTCTCGTTGTCGGGATTAGCTGGGTAAATTTATTTACTTACTTCATTGACTTACTTATTTAAAAACATTTCCTTTCTAATGCACTCATCATTCTGAGATCATTCAAAGGAGTGTTTAGTGCACTAGAAACAATGCGTTTCTAAGCACAACGTATATTGCTGATTGTGAAAGATTTTTAGGTATCTTTCTGGATTAATCGTGATTCAGCACCATCAAGAACGATTATTGGTGTGATGACAGGTTTGACGAAATAATTAGACACTTGAAACTGCAACTATTTTGCCTTTAAGTCTTCGTCTTTGAGCTCTCACTCTAATTAAACTGAACTCTTTAGTCTTTAGCTTTAGTCTTTAGCTTTAGTCTTTAGCTTTAGTCTTTAGCTTTAGTCTTTAGTTCAACACTTGATAACTCGAGGTATAGAAATTGAATCGACTTGTGATTGCTTTTAAAAGAATCTTCATTAAATTTGACTAAAGAAACTGACTTTGACTTTTGGCTCTAACTCATTGTTTTTATTATTTTTTAACCTAATCCCAAAATGCTAAAAGGTTATGAAATCTCGGTACTTGTTGGTTAGACATCCACACAGACTCATCTCGGTGAAGCAAGGAGCTGACAACTTGTGAGCGGTGATTATGTTCAGTGAAGTAGAGTGTTCGCCTGAAGTGATCAGTCGATCAGTCGAACGAGAATCGATAACCGAGAAGACTCGGAGAAGACATGGAGATGCTTAGCCGAGATGAGTCTCTGTAGATGGATAACCGCAAAGTACCGAAATCTCAATCAAAACTTATTTAACAGCAACAAGTCGGTGTCAATAAAGATTCAACGCTATTCAATCGGATTTTAGATAAACGCATTCTTTTAAAATCCGATAAAATGAAAAATGTGAAGCTCTTGATTTCAGTGCTCACGGAAACTCATTTGATGACGGGCACAAATCGTCGTTTACCACCAGTTGCTTACATAAAGGTTTGATCAATAGAAAGTACAAGTACAAGACAGTACAACAAGTACAAGACAGTACAAGACAGTACAACAAGCTCAGATCAGTACAATAATCTTGCTAGTCTAAATGTCTAAATCTAAGTCTAAAATCTAAAAAGTCGAAATCTAAACCTAAAAGTCTAAATCTAACTCTAAATCAAACTCTAAATCAATGTTTAGGCTGTTGATGTCTATCTGGGTTTCTGCTATCTTTTGGTGGTGTTCGCGTTGATTGAATACGCTTGTGTCGCGTATACGAAGGTATTTTAAGAAGTGAAACATGTTTAAAAAAGAATCAGTCAGCAGTTGATGCCAGTGCATGCCTTCATAGGTCTGAATCGATTTGAAAAATGATTGCAGTGATCTCCCTTTTTCAATGTTTGACTTTCTTTTGGTTTTCTTTCTCAAAAAAAGACATGCTTAATGAAGTTAAGCAAGAGATTTAGTGTTGCAACGAATACAATGAGTCTGGCACTGTCCAACAGTTCAACTCTCGTCAAAATTTTGTAAACTTTTGCCTAACACGCTAAATTATCTCCTTTCTGAGTTAAGATCGTTAAAATCTTAATCGTTAGATCAATAATCGTTAAGCATAGCTATGAACCCGAACTGTGCACAGGCTTTGATTCTACCCCACTAATCGATTGACCAACCGAGAAAAAGGGGAATTAGAAACCAGCTCAGATACAATAATCTTGTTAGATCAATAATCGTTAGATCAATAATCGTTAAGCATAGCTATGAACCCGAACTGTGCACAGGCTATAGCTTGATTCTAGCTCCATTAATCTGATTGACTCACGAGTTACAAAGCTGGTTGAATTAGGCTATAGCCTGTCAGATCTCCGAATGAAATGCACAATTTCGTTTACCATTTTTATTTTTACAAAACTATCCCAACTTTTTTCGATTTTAGGAACCGGAGAAAAAGGTTTGTTTTAGACACGAAATTTGCCTGTTCTCATTTGTGTTTTCATTGATTTTTTTTGTTAAAAGCTATCCCTTAGTTTTTTTTCTTCTTGCTTGTTACAAGAATGTTAGTAAAAAAGTGAAAATGATAAAGAAATGAAAAAGAGAAATTTTTAAAGTGACAGTAAATGTCAATCGTCGATTGGTTGATTGTCAAAGAAAAAACTTTAGAAAAAAAATGAGGATCGACGCAGGAGACAGAAAAAATCCGATTTCAAACCGCCGAGCTTGCAAACGCCGGATCTTCTGCAAGGTAAAAAGAAAGAGAAAGAAAGAGAAAGAAAAAAGAAAGAAAGAAAGAGAAAGGAAGAAAGAAAAAGAAAGAAAAAGAAAGAAAAAGAAAGAGAAAGAAAGAGAAAGAAAGAGAAAGAAAAGAAAGAAAAAGAAAGAGAAAGAAAGAAAAAGAAAGAGAACGAAAGAGAAAGAAAGAGAAAGAAAGAGAAAAAGAAAGAAAGAAAGAAAGAAGGTAGAAAGAAAGAAAAAGTTATTTAATCTTTTAAAAGCATATAAAGTTTTTATTCTTGATCAAAAGCATTTTCGAAACGGTGTGTGAGTTGATTTTGTTTTACTGGGATAACAATCAAGTTTCAGTAATGTGGTTGATAAGTTAATAAATGAGCTGCTGTTAAGATAATGCAGAAGAAAATCTTATTGTATTCTAGATGCCCGTCTGGCTGAGTGCACTTGCAACACTCAGCAATCGATTGTGGCCATCGTGAAGCGGCCAAGCAAATTCTGCATCAAACACTCGCACATCGATATCGCCGCTCGAATCATCTTTCCTGGCACTGTACGTTTAAGCTCTAAAAAACTATAAGTACTATAGTTTTCTCTCTCTTCCTTTCTTTCTCTCTCTCTTCCTTTCTTTCTCTTTCTTGTTTTCTTTCTCTTTCTTTCTTTCTTTCCTTTCTTCCTTTCTTTCTCTTCTTTGTCTTTTCTATTTCTTCTTGAGCAAAGAAAGTACCAATAGCTCAGTGGTAGAGTATCTTCTGGTAGGCAAAGCGTCAAGGGTTCAAATTCTTTGCCATTCATTTCTGAAAACATAAACTTTCAGTTCCTAATCTTCAACTTGATCTTTTGGTTGATCCTGTTGACGAAAACGAATCGAATGCCTTACAACGTCATTCAAGGCTCTCGTTGTAATCTCATGCCCGCCGAATAAAACAAAATGCTTTTCATTTGTGCTTTGCGATATGTGCATAATAGAAAACTGATAACTATAGTAAGCGATCTAAAGTAGACATAGGCACTAAAAACTACAAAAGCTTCTAAGTTGCTTTAAATCCGCCGGATTGATATGAACTATAGCTTAAAAAATAGAGAAACTCAAGAGCTTTCGAGCTAAAAGCACACCAAAAAATATTAATGTGAAAGAAAGTTACAGTGGTTTGGTAGCCTGTATCGACCGCTTTGACTACGCGTGAGTACGGTCCGTTTCGTTTCAAACCACTGTAACTTTCTTTAGCATTAATATTTTTTAGTGTGCTTTAGTCGATTCGAAAGCTCTTGAGATTCTCTATTTTTTGAGCTCTAGCTCATATCCATGCGGCAAATTTGAAGCAACTTAGAAGCTTTTGTAGTGTGACATTTCGTCATTTTTATAGCTTATAGTGCCCATATCTAGTCAAGTGTTTTCTATTTTGCACGAATTTTTTGCATAAGCACATCTCTCACATCCATTCCATTCTCAATAAAATTTTGCCTTTTCATTAAAAATTTTATAAAGTTAAGCTCATTTTCAAATTAAAAGCAAGATCTTTGCATAAGATCTTTGGTGTGCTTTAGTCCATTCGAAAGCTCTTGAGATTCTCTAGTTTTTCCATTCTCACTCAAGAAACTCAAGAAATTTTTTACCTAAGCCTTACTCATTCCCATTGATCTCGAATAGTTTTTTTTCGTTATGTATAAACAAACTTTATAAAAATCATTTATTTATTATCCAATTCATATATCTATTTATCAATCTTGATTCTGTTTTTTTTTTTTCGTTTTCGTACTGGTTGAATCTTGTTTTTTTTCTTCTTTGCAATATTTTCTTTTTGCTTGCTCAATCTTTTTTTGTATTAATGGTGTGCACTATTAGGTTACTGAATCACTATTAGAATAAAACAAAAAAATATTGTGTTATGCATTTTTTTCTTTGACAATGTTCCTTTTATTCGAAACGATTCAACGGAGAGAAAAAAAACAGAGTTTCAAGCAGAAAAGAAGGAAAAAGAAGAAAAAGGAGAGAGTTTCACAAGATGAGATCAAATGCATAGCTGCATATCGAAAAGAACGAGACAATCAAATTGCTACGGATCTTTCTAAATAGCAATTCTGAACATAAACAAACACAATTCTGATGTTTCATCATCGAGAAGATTGAAGGGAGAATGTTGATTAACGATTTTATCACAACCTTTTCTGCATATTACAAAATTGTTTAGAGATTTTTTGGGCTTTCTTGATGGATTTTTTGACACCCGAATTTTGGTCCAATGTTTAGGAAATTTAAAGGAGAAGTCTAGGAAAGGACCATTGGAATTATTCGGGTGGTGAGGGGGGCACCGGAATTGACAAGGATATGGTACAATTTGGGAGCTTTTGGGCACGGGCATTGCTTTGATTGATCATTGGGGAATGGTCTTGATAAGTGAGGAGACCTCTTGAGCCACCGACGCATAGATGAATTTGAATTGCGCTTCGGTGGAGACGAGACTCTCGCGCTGATCACGCAAATGCTCCACGGAGGCCACCACGTCGATCTCTGCAAATAGAAGAGTTCTTTCAAAGTGTGACCGTATTCCGACTTCGTTAGAATAAAGTCCCCCATGGCCAACTGGCCAACTGGTATTTGCTTCCTACAACCAACTCACCTTTGACTCCACGTTGTATTCTGGCGCAAAGCATGTCAATAGCAGAATAGGTGCCCGTTCGGCCGGCACCTTGATTCGAATGAACAAGAATCGGCGCAGCACGGCCACGGTACGAGCGATTCACTTTTCTGGAAACGAATTGGTTTTGTTGCACTGAATGATATTTTAAAGATACGTAGAAACTAATTCCCCCGCCTCACCTGCGGAACTCGAGTAGAGTCTTCGGTGTGATTGGCACTTCTCCTCTCTTCCAGCTCAAGTAATGGAATTGGGTGATGGTTCTAAAAAACTCTTACAATGAACGCTCTAGGCCAAAAGCACATGCCTTGTTTGTGCGTTCTTCAAGTTCTTCAAGTAGAACGATCGAACGATGTAGTCGTCGGACCAGATGTGCTCGGAAACGAGGTGAACCTAAAGTCAATGGATGAATAGAAGATGGCCAATATTTATAGGATTTTTAAAAGTTTACTTCAAAAGCTCCATAGATAGTAGATCCGTGCTCGGGCCAGTAGATTCCATCGGTCTTCGCCTCTTCCATTGTGGAGAGATTGACAATGAGGCACATATCGTGTTGCCAAACAGCTGACCACCAAGTCGCAGCTCCATCATTGCCAATTGGTGATTGAGCTATAGATGATAATTTTGGATTTAATCTTATATTTGATCTGCTATTTGAATTACATCCTGTCTCATGTAGGGTGCATTTGATTTACTTCCAGAAATTCGTCTCTGAAAGCATTAGACCCAGTACCCCTTTAGGAGAAAAGTCTTTTCCTCAGACAATTTTTCTCTTTCTTTCTTAGCATAAACAGCTTTTACACTCATTTCTTCTGAAGTACAAAAACTTATTAATCATTCACTGGGTGAACACTTATAAATAAGTCGATCAACTCACCGGCAATGTAGAGTGGCTGTCTCGGATCATCATCATAGATGAAAGAAGCATTCAAATACGGTGACTCATCCGGATCCTCGCCATTGATTCGAACCAAATTCACATCATCTTGAAAAAGTTGTTAGCAGTCGAAAAGATAAACGCTTACATGGTGTCACTGCTCGGTTGAGATTTGCGTGTGCTAGTCCAACGTCCCTTGATTTGCTCTCATTTCTGAAAATTTTAAATCAAATTTGAGAAAAGTTTGCTTACCTGTAGGTCTGAAGTCCTTGCCATTGAGCCTCCATTCGTTTCGAGTCATTGATATATTCTTGCAAGAAGTTCTGGAAAATTTTCGTTCTTGAACAATTTGCCTTTCTAAGTCAGACTAGCTAAACAAATTCTTATCCTACGCAAGATATCAATAAGTTAACAGAGATTTTTCAACAACAAATTGTTTCAACAAATTTCAACAAATTCAACAAACAACAAATTGCTTCCAATTTACCAAGAGAACGTGTCCCGTCGAGATGTCGATGCTCGGTTGTGATGTTCCCTCTTCGCACCTGAATGTCGGCAAATTATTTAAAACTTTCTTCATTTTTCTAAAGGGATGACTAAGAATGCAATTGTTAAAACTATTTAGAAAGGTATGAGTTTTTTTTTCAAGAAAAAAGCGAGAAACGATTGCTTTAGAATAGAGTTCGTTAAAAAGGGAATATATGTACCAGAAGAGGTCCTCACTCTGGGATGGACTCTCGAAACACGTGATCCTATAGTTATATGCAAATGTCAAACAATAATATAACCTTATGAAATAAGTATTCAATTCTAAAATCGTATTTTTAAATTTCACAACAAAATCCCTCACCAGGACGAGGTGCTGCTGTGTTTGCTGCCGGTAGGTCTATCCGTGTCTTGCAACATTCTTTGGCGGCACAATTCCTAAAATTTTCAAATTTTCATCGTTTTCTTGCTTTTAATAGTTTTGTATTCATAAAATTTAAATATAGATCTAATTTTTTTTTTACAATTTACAACCATCAAACCCACTTGATACTCTTGTCCGGCTTTTGCCTCTAAATCTCCACCCAACGATGTGATGTTGCCTTTGTAGTAGCTCCGTTGTCGATAGATGTGAACCCCGAGTACTAAATGTTATTATAATGCTAAAAGCTAAAAGAAAATCTAAAGATTTACCTGAAACAAGCGCGGTAATGGTGAATGCACAGACAAAGAGCAAAGGCACGAGAAGCCAATCACGCTCAACCGATTCCACGGGCACCGATTCCTGAATCATAATTGAAAATTGAAAACTTTACATAAATAAGATTAACTAATTAAATCTATATAGATATAAAGTTATATATAAATAAGTTTAACTAATCAAAACTATATTATTTCTTTACTCTTCCAACCTGTCCAATTCCAATCCCAGTTTCGGCCACTTCAGCGCCAGAGAGACGAGCAATATCCTTTCTTCGTTTGTCTAAAACTTTATGTAAATAAAAGTTAGAAAATTCTATATAAAATTTTATAATAGTTTGCTTAAAAAACTCACAAACAGCTTTTGCAACTCCTTCCACCGAATCGATCACTTTCTCAGCTTTATCCGTTTTTGGCACGTCCTCGATGCGGCTGATTCTCAACGAGAGTTGACCGTCTTCAAAACTAAAAATTAAAATTATATTTTAAACTTTATAAACTTATATTTATATAAAATTATATAAAACATCTAAAAAAATAACATTTAAACATCTAAACATATAAAGATCTAAACATCTAAACATCTAAACATCTAACATCTATTCTGACACAACAAAACAATTTAAATTCTTTATACTAACTTACATCTAAACATATAAACATCTAAACATCTAAACATCTAAACATCTAAACATCTAAATATCTAGACATCTAAACATATAAAAAATTATATAAACTTCTTATATATCTAAACATTTAAACATCTAAACATATAAAGATCTAAACATCTAAACATCTAAACATCTAAACATCTAAACATCTAAACATATAAACATCTAAACATCTAAACATCTAAACATCTAAACATATAAACATCTAAACATGTAAAAAAAACATATAAACATATAAACATGTAAAAAAAACATATAAACAATTATATAAACTTATAGACTTATAGATATAATAAAAAAAATTGAAACGAACTTGAAATCGTCGAATAAAAGTCCATTGGGTAAAGCGATCGTGTTTTGCAAGAATTCGATGAGTGGATAGAGCTGGCTTTCTTCTTTGATGTTCACCTAAAGATTGAAAATTAATTGTATCATTAAAAATCTAATGTAAATATAATCTAAAATATAAAATATTCATTTAAAAATATAATCTTAAATTTATCCATTTATCCATTTTCACCTTGAGATAGACTCGATTGCCGACAACTCTCGAAACGGCTGGAGTCCCTTTCACAATCTTGTGCTCAACGTTTTCGAGTCCTAAAAGTAAATAATTAAATTGATTTTCAATAAGCTGTCTTGTCGTTGTCTAATTGTTATTGTCTAATTGTTTATTTATCAGAAATTCTTGTCTCAAAAAAGCCAATTATCTCAATTTCTCAATCAAAATTGTCTTTTTAATGTCACCTGATTTTCAAAGAAACGTTTCGTTCATTTTGTTATTCTTGTTTCCCTAGGGGAAAGGGTTTAGATGAGTGTTTTGAATGAGAAAAGATCTCTGCTTACCCTTTTCCCTTTCCCATCCTTAAGGAAGCTAAAGGAAAAAGGCAAAAAGATCTCAATCAGCTACCGCCCACTCTTTCTATCTTTAAATCCTTAAAAATCGGTTTTTTTTGGGTATATATTCAGTTTCTAAATAAACTAAGTTACCAGCTATTTTAGCAGTGAATTGCTAAGATCTGGTCAAGTCATCATTGAATGGATGTTATATTTAGATTTACAGCAATTTCAAGAAAATAAACCTAACAGCTTCCCACATCACTTTATTTTTTTATTTAAACTTATAGTGTAGTTGTTTAATGTTCAGGGAGAAATTTCGAAACTCTAACGACATAATTGGTCTTTTCGAGTGAAGGGTGGTGGGAATTTTTTTGGGGAATTAGGAAATTGTTGAGATGATGTCATCGGTATTGGGGAAAGGAGAAGAGGGGTGTTGGGGCGTATTTGTTTGGGTCTCTCACTGAATCTCCCACTCCCTCACTCATTCTTGATTCTCTTCAAACTTTTTTCCCTTTTCTCATATTCTCTTATTTCTTCATGATCTTCTTTTGGCCTCCGGCGATTTTTTTTATGTAAAGAGAATCTCTGAGCTGAAAGCACGTCATTGAGGGGAACGTCGGCATTTTCTCTTTCATTCTTTTCTTTCTTTTCTTTCTTTTTTCTCTTCCCCTCTATTTTCAGCACTGATGTCAAATCGCGTGTGTCGAGAAAAGCAAATTATGAGCCAATGGCGGATTAGAGGATCACCAAGAATCACAATGATGTGTTTTTTTTTTTAAAACTCTGCCCTTTTCACAATGTGTAGACACAATTATTGAATAGTTGAGAAAAACGAGAAAAAACAAAAGAATACAACGCTGACACATTCACCTTTAACTTCCTATAGCTTCCTATAACTTCCTATAACTTCCTATAACTTCCTATAACTTCCCATAGCTTCCTATAGCTTCCTATAGCTTCCTATAACTTCCTATAACTTCCTATAGCTTCCTATAACTTCCTATAGCTTCCTATAACTTCCTATAACTTCCTATAACTTCAACCAAAAACAAAAAGCGTTCCATTTTGTAATTTCTAGCAACTTTGAACTTATTATTTCAAGAAACCGACCAAGATTCGTTTCCCCGACATGCTCTTTGTCCTTTTTCAGCACATCCACTTGTCGACCTTCAACAGTCTCAAGGGGAATCGCCTCTTCGGCTTCTCCTGAAAATTCTCTCTTCTCTTTCTCACGTCAGAATTCAAAAATGAATTAGCGGCTCTTTTTCATGAAAAAAAAATTTCTTCTACATAAAGATAATCAAAGAATTGAAGACGAAAAAAAAACTTAGTTAAACAACAACTTATGCGTCAGTGATTTTCTTCAAATACGTATAAAGGAGTGTACAAAATGACTAAAATGGGGATTTATTTTCACGCCAAAAAAAAGGAACCATTTGAAATTTGGCTAATTTTATGGAGCTATACTTTTGTGCAACTCATCCATAGATCCCTTTTCATAGGATTTATTCTAGAGGATAAGTAATTAGGGATGGCTGAGCTGGATATGGAGAATTTTCGAATAGATTATTAGCTCTTTATTAGCCCGAGATCCGGTCTGGCCTTTAGAAATGAATTTTTGGGGGAAAGGATGGACCCGGAATCTAATAGATTCTCCCATCGAATGGGATTCGCTAAATTCTTGAGAGCTCGGTTTCGTTTCACGGTATAAATATTTAACACCGCTAAAATACCGTAAATACTTAGACTATGCGACTTTACGCCAGTCATTACAATTTACAGCTTTACGCCAGTCATTACAGCTTACTTTAAATCCCTAAGTAAAGGAAAATGTCAGTCTTGAATAGTTTTTTTTCTTCAGTTCTTCAGTTCTTCAGTCTCCAACTGATTCACTTCCGTAAAGCACTCGATTTAAAAGTTTCTTTCATTTCAATCATACCTTTCCTTTTTTTGACTCAATAAACTTTTAAGAACTATACTATTTTCCGTTTTGATGGGCTGTATATTTGATGGATCTTCGTTTAGTTTCACAATGAGATGGAAGAGAAATGAGAGTCCAATTGGAAGGTCCCAGAAAGGAGTCTGCACAACAGCCTAATGGAGAACCCATTTTCGTAAAGGACAACGACGATCCCTTTTTCGAAGAGAATTTTTCTTTCCAACTCCATTATTAGTCCTAATGGCTTTAATCTTGTGATTCATCAATAATATTTCCCGATACTTAATTGAAAGCTAAATCAGAACCCATTTAGGCAAAAAACTTTTGTACGATGGCGTGTTCTTTTTTTATTTAGGGAAATCGGTTACCCGAATAATTGAGTTCGATAGTTATTTTGTGAAAGAAAATAGGGGCTGGCTTTAATTGATTCGTTTCAAAGAAGAAAATAAAAATGAAAGAATGAAGGAAATGAAAGAAGAAAAAGAAAAAAGGAAAAAGAAACTCTCGATGAATAAAAAGTGTAAAGTATAGCCATAGCCTTTGCTAGTGCTAGCAGCCTTTGCTGTAAAGCATAGCCATGCTATGTAAAGCATAGATATGCTATGTAAAGCATAGCTATGCTATGTAATGTATAGCTATGCTATGTAATGCATAGCTATGCTATGTAAAGCATAGCCATGCTATGTAAAGCATAGCCATGCTATGTAAAGCATAGCCATGCTATGTAAAGCATAGATATGCTATGTAAAGCATAGCCATGCTATGTAAAGCATAGCTATGCTATGTAAAGCATAGCATAGCCAAAGTAAAAGCATATATTCTCATAAAAAATATGAGATTAATTCGTGGAAATTCGTTGAGAATTTCAGGAAATGAATAAATAATTAATTATTAAGAGTAAAGCATTTAGAGTTTCGTGAAAGAGGAAATAGAGATGAAAGGTTGAATGGATTTTAAATGACGTCATTTAAAAAACAAGTCAATAGATGCTGTCAATAGTACCTGTTGTACTTTCAGTGGCATTGTTTTCATGAGCGAGACGAAGCGCGTAAACGGTGGTTATGAGGCTGTCGAGTTGAGCATCGGAAAGACTACTGGAATTTGAAAATATATATATTATAGCTAGACTACAGTTTGCGATCTTGTGCAAAGATCTGTTATCTATTTCTTCTACATCACATTCTCCAGCGGTTTTTACTTTACACCAAATTTTTACCGCTACTTTACGCCAAAGTTCTCTCGCTTTTCAACTCGCCATAACTTTCTTCTAAGTGAGCTAATCTTTATGATTTATAATGTCATTTTGTTGCACTTGTTAAGAGCTACAAAATAACACGAAAAAATGATAAACATTAGCTGAGTTAGAAGAAAGTTATGGCAAGTTATTTAGCGTAAACTTTTCGCCCAATTCCCCCACCTCAAATCCGGATTTCTTCCCTCCAAAACTTCTTCAATCGCCTCTTGAACGACTGGATCGACGAGACTCGGCTCAAGCAGTAAAAGTTCTAAATTTTCTCTTTACTCTTTCTTTTTCTTTTTCTTTTCAATTTCAAAGTACTGATTTTTCAACTCTTATCTGCTCGTCTTTTTGAAATCGAATTTACCAATCCCCAAGGGCTTTTTTGCTCCATAAAACAAAAAAAAAACACTCAAGTGAGTCGCGTTTTGCACACCCATTTTCCCCAGGTTCTTTTTTTTTATCTGCCTATAAATGCAGCAGGCTCCAGCAGGAAGCCAAAATCTATTTGATCTATACAAGTTTGACTAGTAATGCCGAAAACAGCCGTATTTTGAGTAAAGAGAGAAAAGAGGGGACTTCAGAAGGGGCGCTTGTCTCGGTTAATTGAGTTTTGTGTGGCTTCTCTTTTAGTAAAAAGGTGAAAAGCTAAAAAAAGAGAAGCTAAAGAGGCTAAAGAGGCTAAAAGGGAACTAAGGACCCAGTTACGAGAAACTCAACGAATGGAGTGCCCAAATCGATGTGCCATGGATCCCTCTTCAATCTACTATACGAATAATGCCAAAAAGAAACCAAGCCTTTCCTTTTTTTATCACATCTGAAAACCAATTTTCGCCGATAATTTATGAATCAAGAGCAGGTGCATTTCTTTCCACAAACAGATCTAGAACACTTAAATCTTATCGAAAAAAAATCGACTTTTCTTCAACTATACAGCTTTACTGTTAGTTGGTTTTCTGAAATCTATAGTGCAATTGTTCATTATTTATGTTCGTTTTTCTCAGACGGACTTCAAGATTTCTTTCGGGTGGTGAGAGCTTCTGGGAATAAAAAGTAATTAGATGGATGGAAGCTGGGAGAAAGAGAGGGGAGAAAAAAGGGAGAGCAATTGGTTGAAAACAACGCCAAATATTGAGCCAATTTTCCCCATTTCGACTGTTTTTGACACCAAATATACTATTGATACAAAAAGTCAATCAAATCATCAAAGCTTTTGGTAGAATCCATTAAAAATGACTTTAGAGAGGTGGGCAAAGGTTTTCGGAGATTATTTTCTCTGATTTGAAAAGGGATTTACGGTCGAATTTCCGGCTACAGGCTTATTTTTTTAGAGATTTCATTTTAGTTGAAAATAGAATGAGAAAAGTAAAAAGAATAAAAGAATAGAGAGAAATAGAGATGAAGAAAAGAAGATGAAGAATAGAGATGAAGAATAGAGATAAAGAATAGAGATGACGAATAAAGATGAAGAATAATCAAATCAAACCATCTTCCTCGATTTCCGGTGGCGGCTCGTTTAAGTCACGAATGAGGTTTTCGATCGGCTCGTCGAGTACCTAGAAAGTGATGTCAATCTTATAAAAGAATATATTTATGACAAGGTGCAAGAAAATAAAACTTTATGCTGTACTTTCTCTAAAAAAACAATTAACATACTTCAATTTCTGATCCATCAATTGGCTCGAGAATCACGGCGTCGTTGCCCGAGAGGAGCTCCTCAAGGGCGCTTGGCTGAAATTTGAAGTTTTTTTTTGGATTTATCAATAGAAATTTGTAATTTAGATTGTTTAGCTTTAAAATTGACCTCTTGTCCACCACCAATCTCTTGCTCATCAACATAATCATCAGGCAATTCAATGATTGATCGCTTCTCCATCACCACTCCATCATCCACCTCTTCCAAGCCAGTTTTTTGCTCTTTTAAGCTCATATCAACCAACTTAATATTAGAAAATGAGAATTTCTTTAAGTTTTTAAGAATATTTACTTGAATAAGTGCCCAAATGTTTGCTGGTGCTCGAACTTCGCAAAATGTTGGATCATACTGCAACTCGTAAGCCATTGTTAGCTTGAAATAAGCAAAAACACATTGCGCTTTCTAAAAGAAACACTTTTTAAGAAAAAAGTTTGAAATGAAAAACTTGATCAGGCCATTCGTAGCCCTCATTCGCTAATCGAGAGATCTCGAGTTGAAGCAATTCAAGTTGGGCCTCGTCGAGTGCGGGAAGCACCGACGGTCGGGCACTGTTTGAGTCCGGTGCCCAGCATTGACCAAAAAGTCCATCTAGATTTTTATGTCCTCAATGTATACATTCATAGTACAATAATATTATCGATAATCTTTTGCATAGCATACCATTGACACAAGTTTCCCCATCCTCGCACAGATCCTCGCTGAGGGAGCATCCTGAAAGATTTATTTATTTCCTCATTTATTTCCTTTTCTTTCTCTTTCTATTTCTATTTCTCTTTCTATTTCTCTTTCTCTTTTTATTTTCTCTCACTTTCAGCTATTCAAGCTTTCACAAATTACGAAAACTATACTACTTTTCTCATTTTATCTTTTTTTCTTTTCTTTGAAACCCTAGAAAATGTCGATGCAGTGAAGTGTGACTAAAATAGAGGAATTTCCTTTACCCTTTTCTCATTCACACTTCATTTTTTGCTCTTCGTAGTCTACCGGGAAAAAATATGACTCTCTCTTCGTAATTGTTTCGATATACTCATTAAAATATTTTCAAGAAATCAGAAAAAAAACTCGATATTTTTCCCATATGGAATCACAAAAAGTAAACGAAATTTTTTTTTTGTGAAGAGGAAATGATTAATTTTCACGGTTCTCTAACGAAAGCGAGAACGGTGAAATTGAGAAATTTTCTGGTTTGGATGGCTAAAGGAAAAGGCTTGAGCAAATGCTTCAGGAAATGCCTTAGCAAATGCTTCAGCAAATGCTTCAGGAAATGCTTCAGCAAATCCCTTAGCAAATCCCTTAGCAAATGCCTTAGCAAATGCCTTAGCAAATGCTTCAGCAAATGCTTCAGCAAATGCTTCAGCAAATGCTTCAGCAAATGCTTCAGCAAAAATGCACACGATTTCCCCATTCACTAATGGCACGCGAGCTTTACTTTCTAAAAAATGAGCTACTGATTTTTAGATTTGTACAATAATATTAGGCTACAATCATCTTCATTTTTACATCTTTTTACAATAATATTAGGCTACAATCATTGTCGTTTTTATTTAAAACTAATATTTCCAATCCTTTCTCTTTTTTAAAGCCGACTATAGAAATCCAGAAAAAATAACAGACGATACGTAAAATGGGAATTTTTAGAATGGAGGTTTCTTTCGGAAGGCGTGCTATGGGGGTTTTTTGAAGAGGAGAAACGTGAGATGGAAAGCCGTTTCCGATAGAAATCGAAAACGGAAAGAAAAAAGGAAAAAGAAAGAAGATGGAAGGGCCTTGCTGTGAGAGTCAACCTCCGCTAAACACTAAAATCTCCCACTCAGCTCCATCCATCTATCTAAAATGGGCAAAACGTATAGCTATTTGATTTAAAGAAAACCCATTATCAATTAAATGATTACGCTTTTAATTATCCGATTCAAAGGCTTAATTAATCTTTGTTGTTCGTTGTAGTTCATTGTTGTTCATTGTTGTTTATTGTTGTTTATTTCTTAATCTTTTCTAGCAAGTAATAGATATTAGCAAGTAATTTATTTCTTTTTCCCTTTCTCTTCTTTTTTCTGTGACGCACGAAACAATTTGTCGAGATTTCCCTAGAGAAAGAAAATAGAAAAATGAAATCATTAAAAATATGAAAAGTGAAATAGTTTGAACTAGGGCAGATCAAAAACATGTGCCCCGTGGGAGTCAAACCTGTGACATTTCGCTTACCGAGCAACTGTACTAACGATTACCCCACAACGCTGTTAATCTCTTTTATTCTAGAGGGAGTTAACTAAATGTTTCTCGGGAAATGAGTCAGTCAATGGTGAAAATGGTAAAGAATCTCTTTAATCTTTAATAAAGAAAAATCTATTTAAGAATGAGATTGATCTTAAAAGTAAAAATGGCAAAGCTGGCAAGGCAAAAAGGCAAAATCAATCAAAAATCGAGAAAAAGCTAACTTTTGTTTTTTCAACACTTAGAAATCAAAAAACTCAAAAACTAAATAAAAAGAGTTCATTGATGAAATAGAAATCAAAAAAAAAACAATTCACCGACCATAGAGGAGAAGTGGTGCCACAAGTTGGGGACCGAGTAGAAGCAAGACGAAGACGCGCCTCGATGACGTCATCTTCGAGATGAGCACTCGCGGCCTACCAGCCGAGCCCCATAGGCACGAGAAATGAGATGTGGGCTTTTTGGGAAAGGGAGGCGGGCCGCACACATACCTCCTCTCTTTTTTCTCTGCACTTTCTCCGCCAATGGCCCTTGTGGGCCCTCCACTCTGCCACCTCTTCTCCCATCATACTCCACTTTTTTTTCTTTAAAACGCATCGATTCTTTCCCCTCGTTTCTTCATCTTTTCTCTACTTACTCTTTCCTTTACTCAATTCTTTTATCCATTTTTATCTAGACTCTCATTCTCTACTGAAATGTCAATGGCCTTTATAGAATGCTTTCTATTTCCCTGGACTCTGACATTTTCCTTTTCTTCTTCTTCTCTTCTTCCTCTTCTTCTCCTTCTTCTTCTTCTCCTTCTCTTCTTCTTCTTCTTCTCTTCTTCTTCTTCTTCTTCTTCTTCCTCTCTTCTTCCTCTTCTTCTTCTTCTTCTTCTTCTCCTTCTTCTCATTCTTCTCCTTCGTCTCCTTCTTCTTCTCTTCCTCTTCTTTTCCCTTTCACTCATTCGTTTGTTTTTTCAGCAACAATAAATTAAATCAAAGCTCTCCTTGGTGCTTATTACGTAAAATTCTTGTTGAATTCCAGCTTCTTCCCGGCTTTCCTTTTTCATCTATTTATGCCATTTTATTAGAGCCAGATTTTCACTATAGAATCCTGATAATTGTGAGGAAAAAAATGAAAGAGAAAAAGAGGAAAAAGTGACTAATTAGAGTGAAATCAGAGGCTTTCTACATCTCGCCTTCCTTTCTAAATGATTCATATAAAGATTTTGTTTTCGAAATGAACAGATGAATGCAATAAATTACTTTGGCACACAAACATGTCAATGGAAGTGGTAAAAAAAAAAGCTACGCTTAACAAAGTTGTTTTTCTAAGAAATGAGAAATGTAAATGATGCAAGAGTTTAAAGAAATCATTCATTTAAATCTTTTAATACAGTAATTTGTGAAAAAGATTTATTCGACAACAAGATAAAAAAAGATTTTATCAGAGATGACATCACTTTATTTTTCGCCTTTTTCGATCGATCGTTTCCAGAAATGAGTTCTCTATTGAGTTTCAATAATTAGCGACTTTTCTCACCAGTTGCCAATCGTCTTTTTGAAGGAAAAAGTGGTATAATTGTGGCTCCTTGACAGCAACCGGATCATTGCCTTCAAGCCATCCTTCAAGGCATCCACCAGCCTCAATCTCACCTCTACCTGTAAACTTTATAACTTACTTTAAAGCTTTTACTTTAAAGTTTATATTCTCTATAATGAATTTAGACTTTTGGCTTTTGTTTTTACGAAACGTTTTTCTTTTTAGTGGATTTATCGTTGAAAAAGTACATTAACTGTTTTCTATTTAACTTTTTACAAATTTCTAACTGGGGAAGATTCTTGCCAGTTAGGGAATTCACAATGGTTAGTTTGAATTCCCTAACTGACAAGTATCTTGATAATTCTGAGGAAAAAATGAAAGAGAAAAAGTGGAAAAAGTGACTAATTAGAGTGTACAATGGTTAGTGTGATTTCTCTAACTGGCAACAATCCTCCCATATTTATGCTACGATATTTATGCTAAAGTTTAAACATAAGAAAGTTTTTTATTTACTTTTTTAAAGTTAGATTATATTATATTTATTAAAAATTCTATGAAATTCTATGAAATTCGAATAAATTCTATGAAGTTCTATAAAATTCTATGAAATTCTATGTGATTCTATGAAATTCTATGAAATTTTATGAAATTTTATGAAGTTCTATGAAGTTCTATGAAATTCTATGAAATTCTATGAAATTCGAATAAATTCTATGAAGTTCTATAAAATTCGAATAAATTCTATTAAATTCTATGAAATTCGAATAAATTCTATGAAATTCTATTAAATTCTATGAAATTCTATCTACTCTTTCTATCTTTTAGTCTTCTATCCAGCTAAGAAATTTCAGCATTATGCAAAAAGCTTTTGAAGGGTATCGAACAGTTGAAAGAGCTGCCATTCTCATCTCATCGATCTCTATATTATTCTCGGCTATTGGTTACATATGGATTGTGAATGAGCTAGAGACACAAACAGACGCCTATCGAGAGGCACTCATCGAATACGAGGTGTCAAATTTTTCTTTTTTCTCTTTAAAAGCTACATTATATATAATTGTAATGATTTTTTTTTTGATGACTAAAATAGAAAATATTAGATGTTGATGGCTGACTCGATGCATTGGTTGGATGAGATCGATTTTCATGAGAGAACGCCTCGTGCTGCATCTGATTATGTGCTATATGCGAATTTCAAGCAAAAATCTCGGCAAAGACGGAAGAATGATGGAGTACGGTGAAAGCTGATTCGAAAGAAATGATTTAGCGAATAAAATTTCCCCAGGATTGGTTAAATTTTGCTTATTTTTAGTACAACGATCGACCGATACATCGCCCGTCACTCCCCGATCTCGGTGTTGAAGGAAGCGAATTTGAAGAAGAGGTTTAACACTTGTAATAATATTCAAAGAGTAAAAAAAAAGCTTAAGAATGACGCAGAGTCAACTGAAGAGCCAATAGACGAGAGAAATGAAAATGAAAGAAATGAAATCACGGATTTCAGAGAAACGAACCGAAAAAGTGGACAAAGAGAGAAACTAAGAATTTGTGGTAATGGGATAGCTTTCTCTAGTTATATAGTTGTTAAATTTATCGTATTTAGATTGTTCCCGTATTCGTTGCCCCCGTGGACCAAGAGGACCACCTGGAGATGATGGAACACAGGGAACGGTAGAACTTTTCTCAATCTTATTTTTAAAAAGCTTTTAGACTGGAGATCCAGGTGTTCCTGGTCGACCTGGAATTGATGGAATCTTTCAACAAGAGTTTCCTTGTGATCCATGTCCTCCTGGTTTAAAGGGACCACTTGGGGCCCAGGGAGAACCGGGTAAGTTGGACATGGGGTCCTAGGAACACAAAACACTGGCGCCGGGATTCGAACCCGCGACTTCTCGCCTACTGGGCGCTTGCCAAGCGAACGCTCTACCAATGTGCTACACCGACACGTATTCCATTGCTTTATGTCTTACTTGTATCTCTGTAAAAAATTAAAAGGAAATAATCACTTTGCAGGACCTGAAGGGAAAACCGGAAAGATTGGTCGAATCGGACGTGATGGGGTCAACGAGAAAGGGCAACCGGGTGAAGATGGAGCAAGGGGAAGAACGGGGAAACGAGGAAAGAAAGGAGAAGTTCATTCGATTGTTCTACTTGTTTAAGAGAAGTTTACAGGTTGGGGAAACTGGTCAGGATGCAGTTCATCTCATTGGTGTACCCGGGCCAAAAGGTCGTTTGGGACTTCGCGGATTCCCGGGTCCTAGAGGCGATCCTGGTCTCAACGGAAGAAATGCTCAACCAGGTCAACAGAAATTTCTAAATGTTAGACAAATATTTTCTGATATTTTAGTTCTTTTTAGAATGTTTTTTTTTAAGGCAAAGAAGGTGCTCGTGGTATACAAGGAGAGCCGGGTGTACAAGGAGAGCCAGGACCTCGCGGTCCACCGGGTCGACAAGGTGCTCATGGAAAAGATGGAGGTTATTGTAATTGCCCTAGTAGGAATGGTGAGTTCTATGAAATCTATGCTTTTGAATTTGTTATTTAGGAGACACTCCGCTAGGTTTCAATGGCGATTTTGATCCATCCGAGTTTCCTGAGGCAGGTCATTATGAAAAAGAGAAAGAAAGAGAACGAGGACGAGATAGAGAAAGAAATAGAAATGGAGATGAAGAAAGAACTCGAGAACGAGAACGAGAACGAGAACGAGAACGAGAACGAGAACGAGAAAGAGAACCAGAACGAGAACGAGAACGAGAACGGGAGAGGCAACGAGTAAACCAAGGAGCACCAGCCATTCCCGATGAAGGACCCGGTGAAGCACCCAGTGAAGCACCCGCTGAAACGCCAAGTCGAACACATCAGTGAGTGAATGAACTCTAGAAATTCAATATATTATTGTTTCGGTGGACTTTGAAATCAAAAATATATTACCAACTAACTTTTTGAACTTTATGATCTTTGTGAAGCGCTAAAAAAGCTCAACCGTTTCAAGTAGAGATTGTTCATTTGTTTGGCGCTCCCCACAAATCGTTTTCAGGTGCTTGGTGCAACAAAAATTAAATAACTAACCAACGAATTGAAAAAAAAATAGAAATAAAATCTATCTAGAAGTGTGTCAAGTAAAGTAAAGCATCAAAAATGTATAAAATGATCGAAAAAATATTTGCGTAAACACTACAATTCTCAAAAAAAACAATTATTCTATAAATATTCACAGATTTTTCAAATAATAGAATCATTTTCTAGAATAGAATGATAAAAAGATCATTGCGAATATCAAGAAATATAATACCGTATTTCTTCGAATAGAAGACCGGGTAAAGAGTGTCATCGCGTACTCCTGCGTAGCAGCCCTTTTTAAAATTTCTTTTCTGCATAAAAGCTTTCAATCAAGTGCTATTGAGCTGGAAAATGGCTCAAAAATCTGTTAGCTTATGTCGTATTTTTGAGTCATTTTCCAGCCCTATAGCACTTGATTGAAAGCTTTTATGCAGAAAAGAAATTTTAAAAAGGGCTGCTACGCAGGAGTACGCGACGATACTCTTTACCCGGTCTTCGGTATTCTTTACCGAAGGAATAAGGAACCAAATCTAGAGAGATAAGGAACCAAATCTGGAGAGATAAGGAACCAAATTCAGAGAGATAAGGAACCAAATATAATAATACTCTTTACTGCGATGATTCTCTTTACTCGGTCTTCTATTCGAAGAAATACGGTAATAAAGCGAAAATTTTTATGTTTTGTCATTTTGGAATAATGATAAATTTCGAAAGGTGTAAAGAACTCGAAATAACAATTTTCTTAAGAAAATTAACAGCGAATTGTAAAGACAACAAAATTTCGCAAGTGAAACAAATCTAGATGAATAAATGAAATTAAGAATTAGCAGGATTATAGAGAATAACTGATACTTTATAGTTCATCGTCGATCATACATCGTCCCAGACCGCGTCCCAATCTCATCACAGCCCCGCCCGTCACTCCAACTCAAAATAATCAAGAGGTAGCTGTGGTTGAGTCAAAAAAAGACAAAATTCTTTCAAAATACTCGACTTTAAACAACTTTAAACATTTCCTCTTCAACAAAATATTATTTCGTTCTCTTTTCCTTTTCTCAACTTGTGAAATATTCGTTTCTTTTGGCTCAATGAGTAGTTTATTTTCAGTTCACCGAAGATGCATTTGTGTCAACAGCGATTGAAGAGGACGATAATGATGATTCAGTTACTAATGTATGATTTGATTTTGAAAGAAAATATTTTGAAATTTTAGCATGCTATCTCGGAACATCGTCACCGATTTCAGAGCACCACTGAGCCGTATTTTGTTGACGGAGAAAAAGTGTGTTTGAATTTGATTTCTAAATGTTTTTCTTTTTCAGAATTTCAGAAATTTGATTTCTAAACGCTTTTTCTTTTTCAGAATGATCGTACTGAACACTTGACAACTGAGGGTTATTTTGTGGCAAGTTTATATGAAAAATTTGAAAATGACTCGATTTTTAGCCAACGAGACCTCATAAGGTGAGGGCCATGATTCGTGGCCGAAGTGGCGGTGAAGTCGAGTTCGATCTACGATAGTTTTATTTGAAATTGTATTGTAACTGAATTGTAATTGTATTGTAACTGAATTGTAATTGTATTGTAATTGAATTGGAATTGAATTGTAATTGTATTGGAATTGTATTGGAATTGTATTGTAACTGAATTGTAATTGAATTGTAATTGAATTGTAATTGAATTGTAATTGAATTGGAATTGTATTGTAATTGAATTGGAATTGTATTGTAATTGAATTGTAATTGAATTGTAATTGTATTGTAACTGAATTGTAACTGAATTGTAATTGTATTGGAATTGTATTGTAATTGTATTGTAATTGAATTGGAATTGTATTGTAATTGAATTGTAATTGAATTGTAATTGAATTGAAATCAAATCAAATCAAATACATTCCATCAACAAAAAGACATTAAAAACCGAGAAAATCCTTAGCTCATCCTATGCCAATAAGCTTTTTTTTCTTGATGAAAAGAGAACAGCAAATAGTCGGAGATGGTTGAGGGATATGGCCAAATCTACAAACAGATCGGTTTGAAGGAAAAAGGAAAAGTGAGAAATGAGAAAATGAAAAGAATGAGACGATCGGGCAGGGATCTCCCGGTTACTCGACTACTTCTTCTGACTCATCGAGACCATTTCTCATCCTTTAATCCTTTATGAACTTACTTTAAAGAAGTTTTACTTAAAAGCTTTATAAAGGTGAAAAAGAGGGATTTCTTTAGTTTCTTCAATTCTTTTAGTTTCTTTAGTTCCTTTAGTTCCTTTAGTTCCTTTAATTCTTTTAGTTCCTTTAGTTCATTTCATTCCTTTCGCTCCTTTAGTTCCTTTTCATTGATAAACCATTTTTTAAAACTTTTTGTTTGTTCTATGGTTGTTCTAAACTCTCTTTTTCACTCATTCATGCAATTCACCCTTTTCTTTTCAGTGCCACTTTTTTTTGTTCTCTTTCCATTGTACAATACAAAAAGTCAAATAGATAAATTTTTTTTTGGTGACTTGGTGATTAAAGGTGTTGATTTTGATGAGTGGTTTACTGCGTTTGACTCAACTCAAAGTTTTGAGTTGAGTCAAAGTTGGTTTAAATGACTCAATTGACTCAACTCAAAGTTTTGAGTTGAGTCAATTGAGTCATTTAAACCTTTCAACCTTCACTTTATTATCAAACCAAACTTTTTACTTTTAAAAAGAACGATTTGCTTCGATCGATTTTCGATTAACTTTAAATTTTATGAAAATTTAAAGCTGAATTCAATAAAATTTAGATGACAAAATGGCACGAACGATCGTTTATTCTCTTTTTTCTTCTATTTATTTTTGAAATTACACTTTGTGAAAAATTTGTGAGTGTACAAACGGCTGAAGGAGTTGTTCAGGGAAAGCGGATAGATTTGGGTAAATGAGAGAAATGTTATGGCAATAATTTGATGATAAAATCCTAGGCACAAATAAGAAATCGCTGTATCGGGGAAGCGCCGATGTGTTTTTGGGGATTCCATATGCTCAGCCACCACTCCGGGAAAGACGCTTTATGGTGAGTGTTGAAAATAATGTTGTTTTAAGTTTGAAAATCATGTTGTTTTAAGTTTGAAAATCATGTTGTTTTAAGTTTGAAAATCATTTTTTTTCTTATCATTTCTTAAAGATCACATTTGATTTCAGCCACCAGATAACCCGGCTCCCACAAATGGAATCACAAATGCAACCGTTTACAAATCGCTTTGCATCCAGCCAAATGTCACAAATGCCAGCGAAGATTGCCTCTATTTGAATGTTTTCTGTCAAAATGTAAATTTTGAAATTGTTAGCTTTTTATCAAGCTTTTCATTGAAGAACTTTTGAACTTTTAAACCAGAATACAATTGTTGTATAATTCTGTAATTAGTGACCAATTAAATCTCAAACAATTTCTTTCAGGCGGTCAACTACACGTCATTATCGGCGGTAATCGTATTTATTGACGGAAATCCGCAGCTTTCCACTGGTGGACTCGGGTCTCAAGAAGAAAAAGTGGGTCATGATTTGATGACAAAACCAGAGCGTTTAATGAAAAGAGCAATTGTGATTTCATAATGACGTTTGTGAAAACGTTTGATTCAAATCATGATTCAAAGAACAAAAAAAAGAACAATAAATCGCATCGAATTCGAAAAGCAAAACTTCAGGGAATTGTGAGCAATCTTGTGCAAAAGGGAGTCATTGTGGTCACCGTTCAATATCGACTGGGACCATTAGGTGATCAATGAAAATTCGATCAAATGAAATTTCGATCAAATGAAATTTTGATCAAATGAAATTTCGATCAAATGAAATTTGGATCAATGAAATTGCGATCAATGAAATTTGGATCAAATGAAATTTGGATCAATTTTGATCAAATGAAATTTCAATTAATGAAATTTCAATCAATAAAATTTCAGTCAATAAAATTTCAATCAATAAAATTTCAATCAATAAAATTTCAATCAATAAAATTTCGATCAATGAAATCTCAATCAATGAAATCTCAATTGAAAAGAGCTAAAAATTCAGGATTTTTTGCGACTCCATCAACTGATATCCAAGTCACGTCAAATCTAGGAATGTTGGATCAGGTTTTGCGGAATTTAAGCCAAACAAAAAAAAAACAACAGTGATTTTCAGGTAAAAGCTTTGCAATGGGTGAATCGAAATATCGCCTCATTTGGAGGTGATTCTACAAGGTTTGTGATTTCGAGTTTTTAGAAATCATAAACAAGATACAGGTAATTCACTTTTAAAGCTTTGATCATTCTTTTAAAAATCGAGTTTAGAGTGAGTCTTGCTGGGCAAGCGGGTGGTGCTTGTGCGGTTGCTGCGCACACTTACAGCCCTATGTCTCAAGGTGATAATTCTAAGTTTTGACTTTTATATTTTTTAAAGTTTTGGCTCTTTCCCTGAATAGTGGTCTTTTAAAAAGTTTCATGGTCTTTTGAAAGTTTCGTGTTCTTTTGAAAGTTTCATGGTCTTTTTTCAAAAAAAAAGTCCGTTTCCTGGTCCTTTTGCCATTTTTTATTTTATTTTTTATCAAAAAACTCTTTTGAAATTGTTTTAACGTATTTTATTAAGTTCCACATGCATTTTTATTTGATCAGAATTTAAAGAACAATCGTAAGAACAACAATTTTAGCATCAGCAAAACAGCAAAACGCAAGGCTTGGCACGGCTTGCGTTTCCTCGGACACGCAAATGTTTGTGAAGCTGGGCTTCACATACAGCCAAGACAGACATCCTTGCCAACTTGAAGAGATCCTTTTGAAACCATGAGGAATCCTGTGTGATCTCGCTCAACGTCGGCCCCCGAAAGTGGCTACGGCACAAACGAGAGGCTTTCTCTTTGTGAGTCGATGTTTGCCGTAAGAGTGCCCAGTCATCGAGTTACAAGTCTCGCATCTTTTTTGATTTGTTGTTTGATCTTCCTTAGTGCCTCTTGAACTCGAGCCCATAAAGGTAGAGCTTATCGTTATCGTTATCGGCCGGTCATTATCGGCTTCAGCGTCCATCTCGTCATCAGTGTTTGCATTATTGCGTAGTTTCTTTAGTTTCTTTTGGTGGTGGCTCGACGCCTGTTCGGCTAGCTGGCCGTCTTAGCTCAGCAAAGCACAAATCATCACAGGCTTCTCCGTCCATCACGGCCAACATCTCTGCCATTTCAGTCGGACCCACAGCGTCGCCTTATTTGAATATATGTTTAAGAGAGCAACAGAGAAAGGTCGACTCAACATTTGTTGCTCCGCATGGAGGTTGCTTATTCCTTTACCTAGGATTGTTCTTTAAATTTTGATCAAATAAACTGGTGCATGTGGAACTAAATACAATCCGTTAAAACACTTTCAAAAGACTTTCAAAACAAAAAATTGCAAAAGACGACGAAACGGACTTTTTTTGACAAAAGACCACGAAACTTTTAAAAAACCACGATTCAGGGAAGAGGCAAAGTTTTTTATAATATTTTTCTTCTGACTTTTATATAAAGTATTTTCTATAGTATTTCAAACTTTTATCGATGATTTAGGACTCTTCCAACAGGCCATCCTACAGAGTGGATCGATCCAGAGCTGTTACACCACAGATCGAGACTACGTGGGAGTCGACCCGAGTAGCACAGCCACAAATACACTACAATATGATCAAGTTCGAAATTTTCTTTTCTTATTTACCAGCAGAAAAACCCGCCTAACGGCTGTAGTGGCCGTGGCGCAGACGAGAGCGCTTTGTGTATCGTCTACGGCCCACATGGCCCGGGATCGACTCCCGTAGTGTCACTCAATTTTACTTTTGAATTTTTAAAATTTTGAATGGCACAACTATATTAAATTTTCAGACTTTTTTAAAAATTTCAGTTTTTTTTTGGTCCAAAGACGGCTGAGAAAAAGCCCGTACAGACGGACGGACGGGCAGACACTTTTCTTTTATATATATGTTGTGTCCGATTTAGATTTCCGTCCGATTTAGATTGAACTTATCGCGGACATCCGATTTAGATTCAGTCTAAATCTTATATAGATTGAAGAATAATATAAACATGCTTAATATATGTTCTTAAGCGTTTTCTGTAGTTTTCTGCATTTTTCAAAGGTCTGTTACTGTCTTTTTCTGTTTTACTGTCTTTTTCTGAAAAGAAAACCCAACTATGAAATAATCAATAAAAGACCTTTGAAAATGCAGAAAACTACAGAAAACGCTTAAGGGGTGTTATGGGGGGTGACGATAAAAATTTTTTTTTTTGTTTTTGTGTGTTTTTTTGTTTTTAAATTTATCGCAAGGTCGGGTCTGGTGTGCGGGTTTTGTTTAAAAAAAAAAAAATTTGGGGGGGGTTTTTTTTTTTTTAAAAAAGGGAAAATAAAAAAAAAAGGGGGGGGGGCTTGAACATATATTAAACATGTTTATATTATTGTTCAATCTATATAAGACATCCGATTTAGATTGAATCTAAATCGGACACAACATATATATATAGTAGATTTCTTTTGCCTTAGGGCCTTCCATATACATCAATTGGTGGAAACGGCAACTTTCAACAGCCAACAACACAGCCACCATTCCAAAACAACAATCCAACAACGGCAATCACAAATCCGAGTCAACTTTTAGCGACTCAAGTATGAAGAAGCTAGAAAGTCAACTTTTTTTTTATGCCAATTTTAGTTATGCAATATCACACCCGATCAATGGAGAACTGGACAATTGGCTGGTTTACGAGAGTGTCTTCAAAATTACACCGTTGATGTGTTCACGAAAACTGATGGAGTAAAGCGAATTCCTTGATAAAGCAAAAAAAAAAATCTTTAGATTCATACAGCTACTTGGATGATTGTTAGAGACAATCTTTTCATGAATAGCTCGTTGGGTGAACTGGCTACGAGGCGACCGCCAATTCCGTTGATTATTGGCACAGTGCAGGATGAGGATGCCGATTACGGTAGGGGTTTTTGTTTGTCTTGTTTTTTTTTTGTTTTCTCCAAAAATAAAAGAAACTATCAATTTTCGTAATACCGTATTTCTTCGAATAGAAGACCGGGTAAAGAGTATGATCGCGTACTCCTGCGTAGCAGCCCTTTTTAAAATTTCTTTTCTGCATAAAAGCTTTCAATCAAGTGCTATAGAGCTGGAAAATGGCTCAAAAATCTGTTAGCTCATGTCGTATTTTTGAGTCATTTTCCAGCCTTATAGCACTTGATTGAAAGCTTTTATGCAGAAAAGAAATTTTAAAAAGGGCTGCTACGCAGGAGTACGCGATCATACTCTTTACTCGGTCTTCGGTATTCTTTACCGAAGGAATAAGGAACCAAATCTAGAGAGATAAGGAACCAAATTCAGAGGGGGAAGGAACCAAGTTTAGAGAGATAAGGAACCAAATATAATGATACTCTTTACTGCGATGATACTCTTTACCCGGTCTTCTATTCGAAGAAATACGGTTTCTTTCTCGATAAACAAATTTTAGCTTTCAAATTGGTCAACAAGGCGGCTGGAAATGGTGGCACTGAAGCGGATGCTTTCAACGATTGGTATTTTGAATCTTTTCTCACAAAAATCATTTCAAATTTAGGTTTTTGGATTTTGCCAAGAAGAATAAACTCACTGGAAACGCGGAGCAACAGGTTTTGTTTCATTTAGATGCTATTCATTTAGATGCTAATCAATTTTCTAATAATAATCTAGGCAAAAAACATCATCACCACCAATTACAATGTCACTCTGCCAAACGCACAAAATAATCAAGTATTGAACATGAAACTTGATTGTCAATTGGTCAATTTGTCAATTTCTAGAATCAATTCCCCTCTCAACCAATGCAAGATCAACAAAATAGTGGTTATTACGGTAAAATGCAAAGCGTTTACCTAAAAAAAAACTTTTATTTAGCCTATGATCAGAATGGGCAATACAATTTCAATTCAGCTACCACTCAAGCATCGTTTCAAGTATGGTAATACTTTTTTCTGATTAACTGTGCCTTTTAGACAACTCCACCGATGATTTACGGGCCACCCCCAAGCACGAATCAAAATTTGCCAACCCAACCTTTCACCAGTCAACCATTTTCTCAACCGCTTCGTGATTCCAATGTAAACTCAAGTGGAAATTGGTGTATTAACGTATCTTTTCAGGGACATCTGAATAACTCAGCCATCTTTCACACATTGTCCGTCATCACAAACGTAAGCCACTTGTAGCAGCTTAAAAAATAGATTTATTTACACGAATAAAAACGATACACAAGCACAACTTCTAAGCCCGAAATCTAGGGAAGAAAAAAACCAATAAGCTAGCCCGGGGGATTGAACCCGCCGCAACAATGAATCCAGCCGTCCTCGAAACAGGGCTCTTAGCCACTCGGCCATGATGGTAGCTAGAGGGTCGAGCTTTAAAAAGCTTTTCAGGTCTCCTCCGATGCAGGCACCGTTTCGCAAATTGTAACTGAAGTTGACTCTTGGATTCAGGTTAAAGCTTTTAATTTTTAGAGATAAATTTGTCTAGGGTGGAAATCGATATGTTCATGTGTATCGCTTTGAGCATCGCTCAAAACTTGGCACTCCTGCCGCTTTCAATATGCTTAAAGGATACGAACGTGAGTTTCTAAGGAAAAAAAAAATGACGAACACAATGTTGTGTTCATCTTTCAGCTATTCAAAAAGGACAAGACAAATTGTTTTTGTTTATGCGAGAGGATGTGTGGACCCAACAAAAGCCGACATCAGCTGACAAGGCGATGGCTGACACGATGGGGCAACGATGGACTGATTTTGCAAAACAAGGGTGTGCAAGTGCAATGAAATTATAAGAAAAAAAAAGATCTAAAGGAAACTTTGAGAAATTTGTTTTTAGTTCTGTGAATAACTGGTCACCTGTTCAATCTGGCCAAGCTGTTCAATCGAACCAGGTTTGAAAACCAATTCCCAAAAACATATAGCTTTTTTTAGACTCCATATTGTGCATTATCTACTCAACCAACTATGCAAATGGGTTACGGGAATGAAGCAAGACAAGTCTTCAATCAACAAGTTTATCCACTAGCCACTCAAGTAAAGTGCAACATGCAAGCAAAAAATTTTTGAAAATTTAGGCAAATTCACAAAACTCTCCTCAATATGATCAACAAAGGTCTCAAAATCAGAACTCGTTTGGGAACAATCAAAATCAAAATGGATACAATGGAAACACCAATCAGCAATCCAATCAACAACCGCAAGTTCATGTGAGCTTAAAGTTTCCGTTAACAATCTAGGCACCTTCTAGGGTGCTTCACAATTATACTTCACTTCAGAGAGCCTAGATTGGTCAAAATTGAGTCAATTCTTCTGATTTTTCTAAAAATAAATCTTAAGTATATCTCCTGCAACGGTGCCAATTATCTAAACAATTCAAGTTTTCAACTTTTTTATATGGCCTTCCAAAGTTGAGAGTCAAGTGTCGCTCGGCCCTCATTTATGGGATTTTGAAAGTTTCATTTTTTTTTAGAAAAAGTCTATAAGATTTTAATAATTTTCAATTAATCTAAAATTTAAAACCGATAGCTTTTGAAAAAATCACATTTTCTTGTTCTTTAGTGGCTTTTCCAAAGATTTTCTTGTTCTTTAGCGCCCCATAAATCGTTCAAATGAAAACCGACCATATTAAGTAAGTTTTAGTGGCCATTTCTTAAGAATTTTTGCACTTAAACTGCGTAGATTATGTGAAATTTCGTTTATTAAGATAATAAATACAATCTCAACGAGATTTTGACAAGATCACTCTCAAAAATTCTACAAATGCGGCTCTCAACGTGCGTGCGGCTCTCAACTTTAAAAGGCTACATAGAAAAGTTGAAAGCTTGAATCGATTAGATAATGGGCACCGTTTTAGGATACGTACTTAAGATTTATTTCTAGAAAAATCAGAACGATTGAGCAAATTTTAGTCAATCTAGACCCTCTGAAGTGTGGTCAACCTAGGCCAATCTAGGTCAATCTAGGCCAATCTAGGCCAATCTAGACCAATCTAGACCAATCTAGACCAATCTAGATCAATCTAGGCCAATCTAGGCCCCATAATTGTGGTCCACTCTGTACTTTCTACAAATAAATATTAGATTTCAAAATTTGATAACCTTTATTCATTTTTAGGTTAGTAATGAAGGTGGTAGCGGTTCTTCGTGGAGCATGAGCTTCAGCCTTAACAATTTCCAGATCCCAGGCACAAATCAATGAGTACAATTAATCAATATTTGTGATCAATAATATTTCTGAGCTTTCAATTTGATCTTTCAAAAAGTATTCTTTGGTCATCACTTTTTTTTTCGAAATGTTTCGTTAATTTCTTAATTTCTTGCTTTTACATGTATAAAAGATAAAAATCGTGAACAAAAATAGAGCTTAAACCATTCAGAAACGGAAAAAAATTTTCTGTAAAGATAAGCTTTTACGGCCAAAGTAGCAAAAGGGTCATAAATTTCAATTCTAAAAATTCAGAAACCGAGATTTTCGATTCAGAATTTATTGCTGTCAGAATTTATTGCTGTCAGAATTTATTGCTAAATCATTATCATTATCTCAAATACAAAGTCCATCATCAAAGTGTGAATATGCTGAAAAAGTTGGCACTAACACGTTTACACATATTTTTGATGATACTGTGGCAAGTTGGTGAAATGATTTATCCCCCATTAGAACATAAATAAAACATAATTTCTGAAGTTTGCGATGATTTTTTGCACTCAACAAATCTTTCCCGTTTTCTACAATTATACGCCGAAAAGAAATTGTGAAAATTTTGATATTTATGGTAAGTGAAAGGGTTTTTGTTTTTTGTTTTTGTTTCAAAAAATTTCTTTATTTTTTTTATTCAGCAAATGAATCCTCTTGTTCAATGTCGAAAAAAGATGAATGTAAAGCGTTGAAAGATTGCGAAGAAATTCGACTTCTTAAAGAGCCACCATTTCATTCAGCTGTTGAGGAATTTGACCTTTTTTGTGATCACAAAGCTTACTATGCTACTGTGGTAATTGTTAGAGATAAAAGGAAATCTTTTTTTCTATACAGGTTTCTACGTGTCAATTCCTTGGTGTACTCTTTGGAACGGTAATTTATGGACATTTGGGTGACCATTTTGGGCGACGAATGGTTTCTTTTCTGGGAATCACAATTGGAATCCTTTTTGCGATGGCAAGCGGTGATTATCTCTACTATACAGTCGACTCTCTCTATAACGAAACTCTATATAGCGTAAAACTCTATATAAAGGAATGGGATTTTGGTCTTGGTCGACGCTAAGCTATCTATAACGGCACTCTATATAACGAAAAAAATTTTTGGTTCCTTCCATTCCGTTCGTCCGACTGTATATAAAAAAATAATCCCTGTGCGTCTGTGCGCGCACTACACGCGTCCGCGTTGAGTATTTTAAAAACGCTGAAACACTTGTCTAATGAAATTCATGTAGATGTGCCCTTTAAAAAAATTTTACAAAAAGTCAAGGTAGGTGGTCACTGGCGGGGGTCGAACCCGGGTCGTGTGCATGTGAGGCGACCGCGCTATCCATCGCGCTATCCATCGCGCTATCCATCGCGCTATCCATCGCGCTATCCATCGCGCTATCCATCGCGCTATCCATCGCGCTATCCATCGCGCTATCCATCGCGCTATCCATCGCGCTATCCATCGCGCTATCCATCGCGCTATCCATCGCGCTATCCATCGCGCTATCCATCGCGCTATCCATCGCGCTATCCATCGCGCTATCCATCGCGCTATCCATCGCGCTATCCATCGCGCTATCCACCGCACTATCCACCGCACTATCCACCGCACTATCCACCGCACTATCCACCGCACTATCCACCGCACTATCCACCGCACTATCCACCGCACTATCCACCGCACTATCCACCGCACTATCCACCGCACTATCCACCGCACTATCCACCGCACTATCCACCGCACTATCCACCGCACTATCCACGGTGCAATTTGCATTTTACGTCGAAATTTGCATGGTAGAGTTTTCCAACATAGGGAATTCGTTTCTGGCAATCATTTTAACGATTTCTGAAGCAGCCCGCCGTTAGACGGGCTGTTCTGCTGATGGATTGAAAACCAAAACAGATCGCTCGAATTCAATCGCTCTATTCTCTGTTTTGTAGAAAAATATATCTATATGATTAATGCAAATAAAATATCCGTATTCTTTCAAGAGCTTTTCAACCCAATTTAATAGTAAACGCTAGAGGCTATAAAGATAAGAAAACCCTATCTTTTCTCTACAAAGCACCTTTTGAGTAAGACCGGAAAACTTTTGTTTTCACACTTTTTCAAGTGATCGAACTTAAGCAATCAAAAATGGGTTGATGAAGAGTTGATCGTGAAGAGTTGATCACTTCAAGATTTCCATCCAACAAACCTACTTTGGTGTTCAAATAAAAAACGTAGAGAATATTTAATTACGTCTACACTTAAATTTCCAAATCAATCTGTTGAATCGTTTTCTCTGAATGACTTTTTCGTTGGTTTTAAAACAAAATATGGGTTTTCTCGCTTTTTATTATGGGTTTCAGATGAATCTGTAGAAGATGTATAAGGCTTTTATAGAAAACATCTATGAAATTTCGAGCTCGCAACAAGGATAAGAAATAACCGACTATTTTAAAATGCCTGCCATAGCAAGTGCATTGATCCTATAAAACTAGAATAGTTTTATTGAAGTTTTAGGTTTATCTCCATCATGGCCAGTTCTGGCAGTTCTTCGCTTTATTGTCGGCTCTTCAATCGCCTGTGTGCTTGTCGTTTTTTATACTTTCATTTGTGAATTAATTCAGCCGAATCAACGCGTTTTTCTTCGAGCTTTTTTCAATTGGGTACTTTAATTTAATTTTAATTGGAGAAGTATGAAATCAAATCAATCAATTCTAGGGTTACGCCAGACTAATCTTTACTCTAATTTGTTTTATCTGTGACCATTGGAGGAGTGCAGCCATAGGTAAGTTGTAAATCAAAAAAAATCAAAACTCAGAAAAGCTTTCAGCTACGGCGGCAGTAGTGATCCCTGTGCCACTGGCTTGTTTATTCATTCTTCCCGAATCTCCCAAATGGTTGATCTCAAAGGGGAAACCAAAAGAGGCTAAAATTGCTGCACAGAAACTTCAAAAGTTTGCCAATGAGGTCACACTTTTTACAGGTATTTAAACTAAACTTTGATAAAGCTCTCAAAAGTATTACTTATCAAAACAAAGCCCAAAATATTCAAAATTTAAATATTTATTTGATATTTTACAAACTCAAAACTCAAATCTAACTTTTCTAGAAGATTTGCAACGAGAAAGTTCGAATCAACAACATATTTACACGATGAAAGATCTACTCAGTGATCGAAAAATTGCAAAAAGAGCAGCTGTTCTCGGCATTTTGTGGTTTAGCACAAGGCAAGTCCATGCTAAAGAGAAAAATTTAAAAACTTTCGCAGATCTTAAAAATTTAAAAACTTAAAAAAAACAAATACTTTGAAACATATAGAACAGATCTAATAGAAGATAAGTTTATAAGATAAATTTAATCAAAAATGATTTCTAAAAGACTCCCTAGTCAGCCTGAGCGCGTTCGGCTCCGATCTAAACTCGAGGAATTTGGCCGGGAATTTTTATGCAAATCAATTCGTTTCTGGAGCTGTAACTGCTTTGGCAAAAATTGTATGATCTTTTGAAAAAGATTTAACCCAATAATTCGACAGTTTATCTTCATTTTCGATGAAAAGTTACCGACTTTTGATCGAAGAAAACTTTACTACATTCCGCAGATCTTAATGGTAAAAATAAACAAAGATTTTCATCGAAATGACTAAAAATTCAGATTTCATGTTATGCTTCGATTATGGTGTTGATGATTTTTGTGAAAGAGGACGATTGTGATGAAGATTATTGGGCGAATTGGGGTGGTTAGTGAAAGTTGAAGTTTTCAAAAAAGAAGTGCTTCAGTCATTATCCTGAATATCATCGGTGTTTCTTTAATTGAGATCACTTGGGATGCTTGTTATTTGGTGGCTGTCGAGTGTTTCCCTACAGAAATACGGTGGTTAAATCAAAAATTTGAAGAAAACTCGTATTTAGAACGATTGGCATAGGCACTTGTTCATTGCTGGCACGGTGTGGAGCTTTACTAGCGCCACAAGTTAGTTTAAAAATGAAAAACGCATCCTTTCTGTCGCACTCAAGTAAGAAATAAGGCCCTATCCTGGGGAATGGATGCGTCTTGGTGTAGCTCATTGGTAGGGCGTTCGCCTGGTAGACGGCCGGCAAGCCTGAGGTCATGGGTTCGAATCCCGGTGCGGGCCATTTTTTTTGTCAGCCAAAAAACTGTCAGCTAAATAAGTCTAGATGGCCTATCTCTCATCGGTTGCTCGATGGGCTCCCTATGGAGTTGTTGTTTCAATCGGGATTTTCTCTCTCATGATTGGATTCTTTTTTCTTCCCAACACAAAAGGCGTCGATCTTGGCAACGTTGACGCTGCAAATGATGATTTTGAGAAAAAAAATTCGCCACATCGGCTAAAATGTGATTCCCCAGTGCTATAGTGATAAAATTTCATCCGTTTTTATGCACACAAGTCATGACAAACTTTTTTTTTATCATTATTTTTGAGTTACCATCGGCAAAAAGTAATCTATGGACAAACAGTGTTGTTATGATGCCTAACACTTTTTGCCACATATTGTTTTCATTTTTGATAAGCGAATTTTCTCGAGACTCTCTGGTTAATTCCCTTTTCTTTCACCAAAACCACAGGAAACCAAAACCGAGAAAAGAAAAACTGAGAAAAGGTAAAAATGCGGAAAAATAAGCAATACATTGTTGTCTCGTGACTCAAATCTTTTCATTTTCCTCTTATTTCATTTGCCAAACAGCCGGGTTTTCGATTTTTGTTCAAAGTATTTCTTTAAAACCAGTTTTTTTTCACTTCCAAATCATCTAATCAACACAAATTGATTGGTCTTTGAATCACAAAGTGATTGTATTTTCCTTTCAACCACCAGCAATTGCCAGTGTTGTTACCCAAAGTGCATATTGCGGCTTTTACATGTTTTTTGTTTTGGAAAAGAGCTGCCCCACAAATGTTACATCATTTTTTTATGCGCTATATGTACAGTTTTCTACTCAATTAGAGAAATTTCGAGCCGAAATCGAAAGTCGAGAGGGTTTCCCGGAAATTTCTTTTCGCATTTTTCCCCTCGGACAAGACAGAGCACCATCTGACATTTTTGAGTGAGTGAATTGAAGACGGGAAAAACTCTCTCCTTTTTGCTTCTCCTGATTGCTTCCTTTTCCTCACCACCACGTGGGAGATGCGGCTCACACGCACCACACAAAAAAATGGCGCCCCGATTTCCACCTTTGCTCTCTATTTGCTCAATTTCCGTCTCAACCCCTCCCCCTTCCCGATTGTTGACTATTTGAAATCGACAGCTGTTTTCCTATTGGCGCACTTGAAAGTTTAGAACACCGCTTACTTGTTTGATTTTGAATTGAAGTCGGTGAACATTTTGCAAACTATTCCTTCATTCCTCTCTTGTTTTTAATTACGAGATGATCGTCTAGATATGCCACAATCCCCTAGAAAGGCGCTAATAATAAGGCTTTTCTCTGCTAGCTCAAAGGGTCAAAGTTCAAAGTCAAAGCGATTATAAGTCGCAAGATTTGACGAACGCAAACCCGTTCGACGAATCTGTGACACGGGTTATCCCCTCTTTTTTGCTCACTGATATCTTTCAATCAGACTCTCTCTGTGTAACACACGCAATCATGATCAACCCATTCCTCTTCTCAGCTATTTTCTTTTTACCCTTTTAAACTCCTCCACGTGAGTCTCTTTGTTTTTGTCAGAGCAAATTTTCATTTATACATTTCCATCCTTCTATTCAATTAAAAAATTACCGTGCGAAAATTTAGCGAAAAATTTATTTGATTTTAGCAGCTACAAAGCTTTTCTTGTTAGCCCCCCTCTTTTCAATTCATAAATTGATTAGCTAGCTGTAAAGTTGCGAAAAAGTTGACGTGTTTGCTAGACGGCACTGATTAGGCAAAAAGAAATAGAGTGTGGGTCAACAAAAAGACTTCCTCGGCTCCACTCTGGGATGCGAAGGAGAGGGGGTTTCGGAAGACATATCCGGCCTAGCAAAGGCGCGGCCTAAATAAGTCAATACCTTAGGGGCCTCCCACGACAAGCCGTCAGAGCTTTCCCCCACCAATCGCTTCTCACATTTCCATTCAAATTGAATCCTTTTTTGAAAACCCCTTAATTGTTTTCATCGTGAAATTCACTTCACTTTTCATCAAAAAAAAAACAATTTCATAATGGCGTCGGGTCTCTATTTTTTTTCACGCACTTGATCTATGATTCTTTCCGCGTGTTGAGCGTTTTTCGTCTGCGTCTCCGCATGTCCCTCTAGTCTCTCGGTGTATTCAAATGTGCATCCACTTTTTTCACTCCTATTTTCTTCGCCTATGTTTTCGCGAACTTTCTATTCGTAAGCTTTTTGTTTGATTTCAGTTAGTTAATCTTTTTTCTTGAAGATCAAATGTGAATGGAGCTGCTCGCAATCATCACCTATCCTCTTAGCTTTCTTTATGCACATGTAAGTTTTTAAAAAGATAAATTCTATTCTCTAAAGATGATTGTGTAATGTGGCCGGAATGTGATTATTTTTAGTTTTGGCTGGTTTCTTTCCTGTCTTTGATAGCGGCTGTCGTTTTCTGGATTTTCTTTTCAAATCAGGATACTTCACCTTCATCTTCTATTTGTAATACACCGGAAAGTACGTATTGTTGTTGTTTTTAATACTGTTGACTTTTTCAGACGGAAGTACCCCACGACGGGTATCAGTTATTCGAGAAATTGACGAAAATGATCCCACAAAGGTTTATTTTGTGTGTTAACTTAATTTAGATCTTTTTAGCATTCCGAGCACCTCAATGAACAACTACAAAAACGAAGAATGCGAAAGCGGGATTGGGCGAAGAAAATCTACAGGAGTTTTATGGTAGTTACCGTCATGTAAATATTAATTATTGTAAATTTTAGCAATCGGATTCAACCGGGAGATCAACTCCATCTGATGATGTAGGTGAGGATCGTGAACGTCGCAAGCTTAGTCGTCGGCATTCAACTGCAAATCCGTTACAAATGGCGCGAGAGTGATTATGATTATTTTTACTATTATTAACATTTGATTCAGGCTTATCAAACGAGGAAGAACACGGTATTTTCGGCAAAATTCTGAAATCAATCGAGAGGTATTTTGCACAAAGTAAAATTATTTTCTTTTTAAGGCTTTACCACGTCCTCCAATGGAATTCTTTGAACCAGCTGATTTACCAGAAATTCCGCAAAATCTCAAACCTGAAGTTTTCTATGTGCTGCATAACTTAAAGTAAGTTTCCTCTGTGTATAGGCTAGACTATATTTTAATTGCTAGGATGCTTGAATTGCCAGCGCAGTGGCGATTAGATCCGAAAGACATCAACGTCTCCGAATACGCTAAAGATCAATATATCATTCGTCCCGGTGATGATGACGATAGCATGTTTGTCCCGATAGAAGGCACTTTGGCTGTATATATTGCTGTGAGTTCTATTAAGCGTTAACCAACTTAATAAGCAATTTAGTGTAATGAAGGAAAGGATAGCAAAGAATATTTGGTGAAGAAGATTTCTCAAGGTTCCGCCTTTTTCTCGTTACTTTCTATGCTCGACATTTTGATGAACTGCCCATCTGTATTCAAAACCGTTTCGGTAAAGGCCATAGAACCATCAAAAGTTGCTCAGTAAGTTTTTAGCTGGGTTTAGAGTGCATTTTTGTTTAGATTTTCAATTCGTTGTTTTGTTGAAGCCTATAAACAAGACCCTCAAGCGTGGTCTCGGCCAATTCAGGTTGATTTATTTCTTTCTTTGAGAGAAATTTAGTATTTAGATTGTTTGCACTCGCTTGCTTCACGTGACAATGACGACATTGCATAATTACATGGGATTGAGTTCAGAATTGATGAAACCTGTAAGAGCAAATCATTCCTGTATTCTTTTATCGCTATTTTAGCGTCTACGAGAGCCACGACCACCTGCAAACTCAATACCGAATCAAGAAGAAACACGAAGGCGCTATCCATCCGATCATGCTCACCCTCGTCCACCCCGAGCACAGTCACTTAGCCGCAAGCCGGTTCAAAGTGAATTCCTTGAAGGTACGTGTAAGCAAGTCGAAAACATTCATATTTACAAAAGTTTGCAAAACATATAAAGCATTTAATTTTGAATCGTTTTTGAAAAGCTTCTTTCTATTTTAAAATTTTAGCCAAACCTGAGCAACAGTTTGAAATGGCTTGTCGTTGGCTAGCTGAAGCTCTCCAATTGAAGGAAAACGAAGACTGGCGCTTTTTACAATGCATTACCATTCAAGTATTACTAGTTAAAATGCTCTTGACCATTGTCTTTTATAGAAATTCGAAGAAGGCGACACTTTGGTGGAGCAAGGCAGTGAAGAGGAACAATTGGGATTAGTTTTAACTGGGCAAATTCTCATGAAGCAAGACCCTGTGTTTGAAGTTGAAGACGATGATACTGAGGCAGAAGAAAAATGGACCGCAGTAGTAAACCCGCGAGAGCTTATCGGTGGATTACAAGTACACAACCTTATTTGTTTTATTCATAAAACCAATTAAGGTTCTGACAAATGAGCCGTCCTTTTACACCTATAAAGCCAAAACGGATGTGACTATTGCGATTCTCCAAAAGCACGACATAGTTACGTGAGTTTTCGTATCTAAAAATGTGTGTATATTTTCTTCAGATTGATTGAAAGACGACCGATGGTGTATTTGCCAATTGCACACTCTGTTCTGTCGCGTCTTTCACCATTTGTGCGTGGAGTTGACTTTGCACTTGATTGGGTGCTTCTTGACAGTGGACAAGCCGCATATAGGCATGCTTCCTGTTACAGAATTAAATTTATGCCACGTTTAGAGCTGGGGATATTGCTGATTCCTTGTTTGTAGTGCTATCTGGTCGATTGCGTTCAGTGGAGAAGAAGACCGTCATTGAAGAGTTTGGCCGTGGAGACGTACTTGGCATGGTAACGATTAAGTGACTATTTTATTTACTTATTGGCGTACAGATTGAATTGCTGCAGAAGAAGCCACGGTCCACAACCGTATTGGCCGTTCGTTTTTCGCAACTCGCCCGTGTTCCCGAAGGGTTGCTCAATTTTATCAAGCTCACTTTTCCACAGGTTAAAACTAGGAGTTGAGGCATTAAAAATTGGCAAATTTTAGGTTGGATTTCGGCTGGTTCAGTTGCTAGGCCAATACTATACGTCGTCACATCGCCGTTCTATGCTTTCACCGCCTGGAATGCCACGATTTAACGATCAACCAGGAGCAGATCCGATGAGTCATATTAAGGTAACTTTCGATTTTTAAATTGAAGATTTCATTTCAAAGTAAACAAAATCTTTAGAACTTGCATACCATTGCTGTTGTGCCTGCGTCTTCTGATGTTCCTTTGACGTCGTTTACTTGCGAATTATATCATACTTTGAACGTTAACTGCAGGTCTTGTCTAGGTTTATTTTTTTCTTAATGTATTCATTTTAGGGTTTTGCGTTTGAGTTCACAAAAAGTTGCTTCTTGTCTCGACGCTGGAGTTCTGGAAAAGTTCGAATTTTTTAAGATACCATTTAGTAGATGCTTCTTAGACAAGCTGATTTTCGATTGATGCATTGGCTCAATGTGCAAGAAGACACTTATCCACTTGTAATTTACGAGTGCGACTATACGGCGACAAATTGGACTCGAAGGCATGAGCATAAATTAAACGTTAATTAATATAGTTCAGATGTCTACGTCAAGCTGACGCTATTTTGGTTGTAGGAATTGGCACTCAAAAGCCGCCAAAGCAATCTTTACTTGATGAGGTTTGATTAGCTTTTACGCTTTTAATATGAACCTACAGGTTTTATCGATGAATCAACAAGACGGGTTGCGAACCAATAAGGAGTTGATTCTTTTGTGGCCCGAAAATACAGCGATTCCAAGCGGGACATACGAATGGCTCAAAGGCTCGTACTTTTCTGGTCACCACCACATCCGAGCTCCTGCGCGCATGTTTTTGTGGAAAAAAGTGGATGGCAAAGCTTCTCTCTCAGAATCCGACACTGTAATTTATTATGGTTTTCCAATTTAACCAAGCTTTTTAGACACTGGAGCGCGATGTGATCGGATATTATGAGCAACATGTATTTTGGGAAAAAGTGGATTTTCGTTGTGATTTTGCTCGGCTCGCTCGAATTCTTACTGGCAATGCAATTGGTCTCGTTCTTGGTGGTGGTGGAGCCAGGTGAGGAATTTTTCAACGAAAAGTATAATAACGAGTCTAAAAATTTAATTTAGAGGTGCCGCGCATGTTGGAGTAATCCGTGCTATGCGAGAACTTGGAATCCCAGTTGATGTTGTTGGGGGAACTAGCATCGGTTCTATGATTGGAGGTATTTTTGCAGAGACACCCGACCCAAGTCTTGAATTGAGGGCGAAAAGTTGGTTTATGGTGCGTTGACCAAAGTCTTTTATAAGCATTACTATCTTTTATTTAGGTGATGTGTTCTCTATGGAGGAAAATTTGGGATCTTACTTATGCTCATACAGCTATGTTCACGGGTGCCGGCTTTAATCAGGTATCATCATATTTTTATGTCAAACTTAACCAAACCTTATTTTTAGTCCCTTAGTACCTTATTCGGCGACCGGGAAATTGAAGATTTATGGATTCCATACTTTTGTATTTCCACTGACATCAGGTTTGGCGGTTCATCATTTAATTGTAAAATAATACTATCTGTTTTAGCACTTCAGAAATGCGGGTTCATCGTTCTGGACGACTCTGGACCTACGCTCGAGCATCAATGTCATTAGCTGGATATCTGCCACCAATCTGTGATCCACGGGATGGGCATCACTTGCTTGACGGAGGTTATGTCAACAATCTTCCTGCCGATGTTATGCGGTTTGTCATGGGTACTCGGGTCGTCATTGCCGTCGATGTCGGATCTGTCGAGGAAACAAATCTATTCAACTATGGTGACAGTCTATCAGGAACATCCCTTCTCTTCAGGTATGAAACCCAGTGGTTATTACTTTAAGCACAATATAGAAAGTTCAATCCTTGGGCTGAGCCGATTCGCATTCTAAACATGGAAGAAATCCAGGTAAACTAGTGAGATCGATTGGTTTATTTGAGTTTTATAGACAAGATTGGCCTTTGTTTCTTGTGTACGGCAACTTGAAACGGTGAAAAAAGCTTCATATTGTTGTTATCTCCGTCCTCCAATCGAACCTTTCAAAACGCTGGATTTTGCGAAATTCGACTTAATCGCGGTAATACTTTTAAACTTTTCCAATTTTAACTCAATTTTTATCAGGAGACTGGGTATAAATATGGTACAAGTATTCTTGCTGATTTGATGCTTAACAATGAAAACTTGCGCGAGGCTTTGGGTGGAATTATTGCCGTGAGTGGTCTTACCCGACAACAGAGCAGGAAGGAGCGCCGTTTGGACAGGTAATAATTAGTTTTCATCTCAATGGTCTTGTTTTTAGATCCATTACTTCGTCATTTACTGATTTGGCGGCGGCTCTTTCAAAAGTTCCTACTTTTGGACGACGAAGAAATTCAATGTCGGCTATGGATCAATTCGATCAGCAACAAATGGATGAAATATTGGAAGATTTGATGTGCTCAGAAGGTTACTTTTTGCTGAACTACCTTACTAAATCAGTCGTTTAGATTCTGAAAATGAATTTGGCCTTTCATCTGAATTTGGAGACACTTCTGAAGCAGAAACTGAGCCACCGATGAGAATGACCACACCCCGTCCTAAAAAGATTTAGTTGGTGGCAAGCATTTCTTTTTTTTGTTAGGTAAGTTGTCGCTTTACTCTTTTTGCCTTGTTTATTTACTTGGAATACAGGCATTAGATGTTACTTTAGTTGATCCTTGTAGAAATCTCAGTAAATTTAGCGTTGTTATTTTTTTTGCATTAAATGATATGTAGCAATTATATAAGCTCCATTATGCTCGCGGGAATATTTGCCTAAATTACAATCTCTTTCCTTTTTGGTGCTGTAATTCAAAGCCAGCTTGTACTTTCTTTCTAGTGTTGTGATTCATATTTTGCACACCAAAACAAACTTTCGATGATAATTGTGCCGATACTCAACAGGCTACTTTTGTGAATGTGTATTTAGTTGTTGATTTTTAGTGTTTTCTCTGCTTTAATTTTGACAGGTCATCTCGGTTACAGTATAGTGTGTGGTCGCTAGTTATATCGAATTTGTGACTTCTAATAAATTTTCTTGAACAAAAAAACAATGGAGCACTCGGTGTTTACTGCTTTACAACAAAGAGAAAAGTGAGCAACAATGGAATCATGAAAATGTCAAAATTATAAAAACTGAGAAAATCTTTCTTTTGTGCTCCTTGAAGGGTGTAATAACCTCGCGGTCTCATTGCAAGCCTGCAAAAATCTGAAATCGTGAAATTCTAATTAATGCACCTCAAAATGTAAGCAAGCTGATTGTTTGGACTTGTACTATCAGGCTTATCTCGAAGCATGGCTGATAAACGACGAGCCGAAGTTGTATAACTGAAAATTGTTCAATTTTTCTGTCGAATTTGCATTCATACTGTTTATTTTCCAATACATCACGAATAGCCTCTTCGACTTTTTCCGGCGATAGACTCAATTTATCGAGCACTCGTGCGATTCCGTAACGCTGTGCCCGTTGAGCATTAATCTAAATGATTTTTTGCTCTCAATTCTTTTCCATTTCACAACTTTCTGATCGGCAAAAAGCGGCATTAACACTGCTGGAACACCGGCTTGAGCTGTTTCGAGAAGGGAATTGTATCCACCGTGTGCGATCAGTAAACGAGTCGATTCATGAGCTTTATTTTATTTTAAATAAATCGATTTATCCCTTTACCCATTAACATCTTTTGTGGTAACCATTTCAATAGATGAACGTTTGAGTGCTTCTCGATTCCGGGAATCTTCTGTATACGCATATTTTCGCTTTTCATTTTCTACATCTTTTCTCTCTTACCTTTTCCATTCTCCAAAGAATTGTATAGTCGGTGAGACGAGCGAATGCGTTGGCGAAACTTTTCTGAAACAATTTTTAATTAAAATATTTTTTTTTTTAGAAAACTCGCTTACAATCATAATCTCTGGCATGTTGGTTGTGTTGGAAACAGTGCCAAGAGAAAACAAGATTGTTCCTTTACTTGGTTTCCTCAAAATCTCCTCGATTTCAGCGCCCAGAGAAGCTGATTTCACTAAAATCGAATACATTCACGAAACTCCGAAATACGATCCCTTTTTTAGTGGAAACACCCAGTTCACCGCTGAAAGCAATGTGAATCGGAAGCGGACGAGGGAAATCGAGCAAGCGCTCTCCATTGATAAGCAATGCCGATACGCATTGTGAAAGTTCCCAGAGATCCGGCTCATCCGAGTCGACGAGTCGCTTGTACATTTCATTCTCTTCGCTTAAAAGATTTTCGGGGAGATTTACGAAATCGAGCAATGAGGCATGCCAGAGAGCATTTTGAATCTGAAGATTTTTTCTGAAAACTCCGAAAAATTTGACTTACTCTATCCCAGAAGCTCAACGAAAAACCGGCATTTGAAAGTGGATGTGGGACGGCTGATGGCTGAGTGCGGAGACCTGTGAACTTGTGATTCGTCTAACTTGGATTAAATTACCAAGTTGTACTCCGGCAAAATCATAAACCGATGTCCCGTGAGTGATCCAAACCATCTGTGCTCATAGATAGAGAAAGTTTTTTTTAGCAAACAAACTTTTTGAACATTTGCTTTTCGAGCAATTGCCAATGGACAGAGATCGTGAAAATGACCGATTGCCAAATCGAAATCCTCTTTTTTAAGCCTATCAAACTTGTCTGCTGATTCAGCTTAAAAGAATTTAGATGAAAGATTTAGAAAGCAGCTCTACTCAGCATTTGTTGACAGGCTTCAAGACGCATTGATCGAAACTCTTGCCCAGTCCACCACAAATCATATGCATCACCAGCAGAGAACATCATCGATTGAAAGACCTAGAGTTTTTCGTATTTAGTTTTGCTTTCTTTTGATACTCTTCGTGAATCCTCACAGAATTCCGTGAAATGTACACTACTGGACAATGAAATATCATATTTGAAAAACGATCGTCACTTTCGCACGTCTGTAACTTCCTTGTCTTTGACGTATTTCTAAATATGAATATTACCATTGTGTAGCCCTTGAAAAGAGCTTTCAGAAAATGTATAACACCAATAGTTTAAACTTAAAGACAAGGGAGTTACAGACGCGCGAAAGTGACGATCGTTTTTCAAATATGATATTTGATTGTCCAGTACTGTAAATCGAATAAAATAGAGACAAGGCTACTGCAATTTTCGACAAAGGACGTTTAACGATTGAGACAATTATCGTATTTATTAATGTATATAATAATTATAGCCTAAAAAAAAGCTTAATAACGTCGAAAAGCGGATGAGAATCCAACAAGAACACAAATTTTGAGCTTTTGAGCAAATTTTGAGCACAAATTTTGAGGTACGTAGCTAAGGCATGAAAAAAGAATTTTAGAGGAATAGAAATTGAAGAACCACTTCTTAGAATGTTTTTACGGTAGTTAGACTTATCCTGTACAAAAAACAAACCTTGAGCCCTTCTAATTTGAGGGAATCACTGAAATGAATATTTGTGCGATACTCGAGAACTCCGGGTGGAAGTAGATTGTTGCCCGTGTCCAGCATGGCCATTTCCATTTGGGTCCATAAGGTGACATTATGTCCCAGATAACTTGATTTGGTTTAAATTTTTCATCTAATGAAGTAAAGAATGACAAAGAAAGATGGGGGATTGAACTCTGGCAGAAGCTTTGGCAGCAGAAGCCAAGTAGAAGCTCTAACCATTGAGCTATCCGGTATCTTCTTGCCACAGAAGAAGAAGGGAAATACAAGTGAGAAGAGGAAAGAAGAAGAAAGATGAGGCAAATTTCATTTACCTCAATGTTTCAGCTAGTCGATAATTAAATAGTACATGGCTGTTTGTAAATCCGGGTACAATTTGTAGAATCGAAAAGAGATATTTGAAAGAAATTTCGATTTCAAGCACTTACTTTAAGAGCAGCAGATGATTGAAGAAATAATATTGAAGAAATTAGGTGAAAAATCCATTGCTTTAAAAGCATTTTATTGATTTGTCGATAAAAAGCAATGATCGAATTTGTTTGTCTTTGAAAAAAAGACAAAAACTATCATTTCTCGATTTGATAATGATCTCAAAAAACTACAAACTAGAGTTACTGTCAAGTAAAAAATGAGTAACGAGACGCAATGACCTTTCCAAATTTAATCTTTCCAAACAATGACCTTTCCAAAATTAATTTTCACTCTGTTTCTTTAAATCTTTGATATTTTGTTTAAAATCTTTTAAATAACAATATTTTTTTAATCAAAAATGTTGAAATGTGATAAAAAGGTATGATAAAAATATGCTTCATAGATATTAACCGGGAGGAAAATACTCACGCGTAGTTAAGCAAATTGGCATAAACAAGAGAATCACAAGAGAACTCAAACTGAGCGAAATGGGAATATTTTAAAGAAAAGACACATTTTTACAAACAATGTTTATATTTTAGATATTTTAGATTTAAATTGATAAAATGAATAGAGAATAGATCAAGTTTTCATTTTCTTTTTATTTCTTTTATTCGAATTCGAATTTTTTGGGAGTCGGACAAATGCGATCTTTTTTTTGCGCACCCGGACATTTGCGCACCTTGCCCATTAGCGCACCTTTTTTCGCGTTTTAAAAAAGCTCTAAAAAGTTAATATTAACCAATTTCTATTCCAAAAGTTTTTTTTCTAGGTAATTTGAGGGTGTCGAATTCAAATTTTGACATAACAGAGCGTGTGGAACCAATTTGAAAGACAAAACGGCTAGGTCAAATTACAGAAAATTGTCGATTTTTCTCTTTGTATAACTCCGTTCGTTTGTTTCCACAAGCTCTGATATGTCAAAATTTCGATTCTACGCCCTAAAATTACCTAGAAAAAGAACTTTTGGAATAGAAATTGATTAATGTTAGCTTTTAGAGCTTTTTTAAAACGCGAAAAAAGGTGCGCTAATGGGCAAGGTGCGGAAAAAAAGGTGCGCAAATGTCCGGGTGCGCAAAAAAAAGGTCGCATTTGTCCCACTCCCAATTTTTTTATCATTTGACTTGATTGAATTTGATTTATTAGTTGTCACAAAAATGAAAACTCGATTTTAAGGCATCATCTGCGAATAAAGCAGTCGAAATTTCTGTTCATTATGTCGATTACGAAAGTCGAAATCAGATTTACTTTAGATGATATTATTTACATTTTGTTTGAAAAGTTTTATCGTAAACTTTTTACTTTAAACTTTTAAACAACGCATAAAAAGAAACCTTTGGCACAGAATTGAGGATTTAATTTAATAAAAGAAATTTTATATCAAAGTTGTTAAGAATGGGCACATTTAAAACAACTATTTGTGATTTTACCCGCATTTGCATTTCTTCTTTCCGTTTCCATTCGAGCGCTCGTTGAGGTTAATACCGCGGCCACTTTGTGCTGAAGGATTGCTCGACGGTTGTCTCAGTTTCGCTTCGAGAACGAGACGGGTGATACAAGAGAACATCTGGAAAAAGTTTTTGTTTTTCTTTTGTTTTAAAGCATATAAATTTAGATAGTAGATAGTAAAAAGGCCGTTAAAAACCGGCTGAGAAATGTTAAGCTTTATGATTTGGGTAGATGCGGAAATTAGCCTACTGGGGGTACAGAGTTGAGCAAAATTACTTGGACAAGAAACTTGTTTTGAATGTTATTCGTCAACCGTTCCATAAAACTTCTCTAATTCTTTTTTCCATAAATTTCCGAAAAAAAATAGTCACACTTATCTAGTTCTAATGTTGTTTTTTCACAAGTTTTTTTAGAAATCAAAAAAAGCGCTGAAAAGGAGGGAAAATGAAGCTCCGAGTTAGAATCAATTTTACCCGATAATTTGTGATTCGAAAGAAAAGCCGGACAACATCCAAATAGCTTAAGGAATGAATAAAGATATTATGGAGAAAATTATACGGTTAAGTTGACTGGCTGCAAAGTTACAACAAAGAACTCTTGTCCGGGTAATTTTTCTCAACTCTGTACTGGGGGTAGGCTAGTTTCCGCAACTTTTTTTGCGCAACAGGGTCGTTTGCGCTACTTGCCATAACTTTCTTCTAAGTGGGCGAATCTTTACGATTTTAATTTAATTTTGTAGATCTCAATAAATAGAACATATTACTAAATAAGACTGGGGTAGGCTAGTTTCCGCAACTCGCCATAACTTTCTTCTAGGTCGACCAATCTTTATGACTTTAGTGTCATTTTGTAGATCTTAATAAGTGCAACAAAATGAAACCAAAATCATAAAGATTCGCCCACTTAGAAGAAAGTTATGGCGAGTTGCGCAAAAGGCCCTGTTGCGCAAAAAAAAATTGCTGAAATTAGCCTGTACTATTCATTTCATTAAAAACTAGCAATTAAATTGCATGCTAAGAAACTTTTAATCTAAAAAAAACTGAATTAAAGCTTTAAGTGACCTCTTCAACATTTCGATTATCTTTGGCACTGGTTTCGAAAAATCGAATATTCATCGTTTCCGCAAATTGTCGAGCGTCGCTTTCCAACACGATTCGTTTTGATGAATCCTCACATTTGTTACCAACTGTAATTTCCGATAATTTTCGTTTTGCACTGTATTATATACCAAGAATCTTTTGCACATTCTCACAATTCGAGTCAATCTCGTGAAGCCATCGTTTAACGTTTCCAAAAGATTCTCCGGAAGTCACATCATAAACGACGATCACTCCGTGAGTGCCACGATAATAACTAAATATGATCATAGAAAGTGAAGTTAGACATTTGAAATACGTTGATGTAATAGTCCGGAAACGTTCTTGGCCAGCTGTATCCCATATTTGAAGTTTCACCCGTTGTCCATCGACATCGACCGTTCGAATTTTGAAGTCAACGCCAATGGTGGTAATGTAGTTTTCTGAAAAATTATGACAATCAGTGTAAAAGCCTGCTAATTTTTTTTTTCATTTCTCCAGCTTTTCACCTAAAATGTACCTGTAAATGTGTTGTCGGCAAAACGTAGAAGCAAACTGCTCTTCCCGACACCTGAAATAATGATAAGTTTTTAAAAACAGCGCTTTTCTCTATTTTCTTACTACCGTAAATACTGTAATATTACCCCATCCCCAATAATGACAGTGCGGAGTGTTGCGTAGTCTAGCTTTGAACGAGTTTTTCTCGACACTGGTTTATGCTACAATGCGCGCTTAGTTATCAAAAAATAGCTGAAATTCAGGGCTATTTTTTGATACCAAAGACGCATTTTTTGAAAGTACGGGCGCTTCGAAAAAAAATGAAATACTAAAAAACTTTTGCGACTACGCGACTGTACGAGGGGGTGCGGTACTATTACAGTATTTACGGTAGGTATGACGATAAAATTTTAAATCCCCTTTTTAAATCTAAACCTGAGAAAATCCCGTTTCTATAAAACTTGTCTTTTTGAGATCGATTAGAAAATAAATTTGGGAAATAGATAAGTTTTTATCAGTAATTACTTTGAAAGCTCTTTTCCGGGACATTTCTTACCAGCCAATATTACAAACTACACAAATACTTACCGCTATCTCCGATTATAAGAAGCTTGAAAAGATGATCATATTCGCGTGGTCCGTGCGAAGTCATAACTATAATAGCAAGAGGTTAATTAAAATTATTCAAATTCAAAAAAAACCTCGTTTAAAACTTGCATTAGAAAACTTTTCTATCATATGTTCAAAATTCTCGGGATAGGCTACTTTGCGCCAAATTTTTTGCGCAAAAGGGTCATTTGCGCAACTGGGTCTTTTGCGCAACTCGCCATAACTTTCTTCTAAGTGAACCAATGTTTATAGTTTTGGTTGTATTTTGTTGCCCTTATCGAGAAGTACAAAATGAAACCAAAATCATAAAGATTGGTTCACTTAGAAGAAAGTTATGGCGAGTTGCGTAAAAGACCCAGTTGCGCAAATAAAATGGCGGAAATTAGCCTGCCCCAAATTCTCTACAAGCCAAATTTAACTAGTTGTCAAAATTATAAAATGATATTCAGTTGTACAGCTGAATATTTTCACTTTTGTCAAGCAAACGTCGAAACTACTAAAGTATTAAACGCTAAAGTTATCGAGAAAATCCCATTATTTTTCTTGTTTCGTCCGTGTGCTGACAGATTTATAAGTTCTATACAGCTAGTATTGGCTCCCTTAATACACACAACAAAGTTAAAACAAAAAGGCAACTAAAAGTTTTGATTCAAAGTCAAATGATAAAAAGTTGAGGGATTTGTGGTTCAAAGTCGCATTTGTGTCATAGTCGTTCAATAACGACTACGCAGCTGAACAAATCACCCGTGCGCCTTTCGATTGATACTGTAACAGAAAACGAACAGAAGATTTTGTTGGAAGAAAAATCACAGTTAATGCTTGTGTTTCATAAAGTCTATCGTTTAATCGACCTGATATCTTCCCATTAGCACATTCGAGTGATTTAATTGTTGTTTTTTCAGTTTGCTTTCTATTTTTTTTGGCTTATTGATTGTTTATAACTTCTATTTTTAGGTAATACATCTCTTCGCGATGGTCGCTGACATCAAATCACCTGCCGGCCTTTCTGCCTTCAACGATTTGCTGGTCAATCAATCGTTTGCCAACGGGTTAGTTTTCAAATATTTACAAGATTGCTAATGCTAGTTAAAATTCTGTTGAGGGGATTTCGATTTCAATGAAATAAGTCTAGCGAGGCACCTGGTTAAAGGGGCCGTTCGTCAAAAATCTTTTTTCTTGATAGAGCTTTTTAATTTCCCGTGCATATGTGAAGCTCTTAACTCTTATAACACTGCAAAATTTTTTAAAGGAAACGCGGTGGTATTTCAAAAGAACTAATTTTGATTTTCAAAGTTTCTGTGCATGATTATAGTGCTTAAATTTAGTTACACGCATTCGGGTGAGGACTCGTCTCTCTTCGAAGCTCTTGGAAATGCCCCCGATGCTGCGAAATACCCCAATGTCGCCAGATGGTACCGAAACATCGCCAGCTACGAAAAGAACGAGAGATCAGCATGGCCATCTGCGGGAGGATCTGGAAATGCTGCTGCTAAGGACGACGATGAAGACATCGATCTTTTCGGATCAGACGACGAGGAAGATGCCGAGAAGGCCGCTATTGTCGCCCAACGTCTGAAGGTAAATCTAATTTTGTCTACTCAGCGTATTTATGAATGTTTTGTTTAGGAATACCAAGAGAAGAAATCCAAGAAGCCCGGCCCAATTGCAAAATCATCCGTGATTCTCGACGTGAAGCCATGGGACGATGAGACTGATCTTAAAGAGCTCGAGGCCAAAGTTCGAAGCATTGAAATGGATGGACTTGTGTGGGGAGGTGGCAAGCTTATCCCAATCGGTTATGGTCAGTTTATCTTTTTTTGATAAATAATCTTTTTGGTTTTTAAGGTATCCAAAAACTTCAAATTATCAGCGTGATCGAAGATGCAAAAGTGTCCGTTGACGACCTCAGTGAAACAATCACCGGTTTCGAAGACTTCGTCCAGTCGGTTGATATTGTTGCATTTAACAAAATCTAAATCTGAGCATAGTCGTTATCCAGTGTGTTTTTGAAATAAATCTTTTATCCAAACCAAAAAAAAATGCGTATAAGATATAAACGATTGGCTTGTGAGGGCAGAAAGTTTCGGGCATGTTACATTACGATTTTTTGAGTTCTTGCAGCTGATGAAGAAAACCCGGATTTGGTCTGACTCCTAAAAATCATGAAATGAAGTGCAGGTAGCGACACAAGCCTGTCCGTCTGCTCTTAACCAGCGCAAATGCTTCGTTGAACTGCATGCCTTGATGAATCAAATACATGATCACTATTGAGGGAGCTCGAGAAATTCCAGCATTGCAATGAACAAAAACCTGAAAGAAATTGTTTAGTTTTTGAAAATTTTGCTGACCCTTCCTTTAGCTTCAAATGCACGTGAGAGAAACTCCAAAACTTTCTCTGAATAATCTTCTAGTTTTGAGTCGGGCAGATCCAGAATCTTTAAGATACAGTTTTTGTTTTGTTTAAACAGTTCTCAAAACCTCCAGGTTGAGATATTCAAAATGTTTAGGAAATGAATTCTTGACACCCGTCGCACAGTTAATAATATGTGTAATTGAGACAGCTTTCAAAAGATTGAGTTCAGCTGCAATATCTTGGCTGCCTAAATTGTGATTGACACTGTTTGAATAATATGGACGATTAATTGCTCAAATCACAAACCTAGAAAGATATTGTCTGTGATTCTCGCGAGCTGAAGATCGGGCTTTTCGTCGACCACAAATCCCAATCGTCGTTTATATTCAATCTTTTTACGCTGTCGATTCGAAACCTGAAGATTTTCGTCGTACTTCATCACGTACATAGAACGTCGTACTTGCGTACCTGAGCATTTGTTGATTCGTCGGCGCAGCCATTCGACGTTTGTGGCTCTTCAATTCGCACAAAGGATCCATCTGAACTTCGCCTTTCCACCACCTCCATTCCATTTTCAAGCATGATACTAAAGTATTATCTGGTTTACAGATTAGTCAATAAGGTTATACTTAACGTCGACCGGCCGAAGTGATTGTTTTTTGCTCTGAATTCGCTCTAGTAACGACATTTTACTCCACAATAATTGGAATCTGAATAAAGCTAAGATTTCGATGTTTTTTTTGTTCAAGAGCTTTCAAAATGCTTTCAGAGTCGCATTTAGGGGGAAACGAATTAGCTGTTGTAATAGCCGTGACGCGGATACAGAAAGACCGCATTGCGTGCTTATAAAAAAGTGGGCTCGAGTAACATTCAAATGTTGATTATCATAGAGTCCTCTACTTGTTAGTGTTCCTAAAGTTTTTTGCTTAAAAATTTTCGACCAACATTTTGTCGAATTCTTCATAAGGCTATGCTTTATTTTTTCACTAAAGATCTATTAAAGTCAGTTTTTACTTTCATAGCTTTCCTTTTGCTAACTTCAGCGTGGCGCGATAAATTTGTATTTAATTTTGGCCAATTTTGCGAGTCTAGCATTGTTTATTATAGTTTTTGACTCAAACTTTTCAACAAATTAAACATCTGCCTTCAATTAATCCGCTGATCTCTGCCAATATTAGCTAAAAAATGTAAAAATGGCATCTAGATTACAAAATATATCCTACAAACAATTAAAATCAATAATTTCCCTACCAGATGCTCATCAAGAAATTTAAAAGCTTAATAAAAGCATTACCTAAGGCTCAAGTTCCTTCAAAAGAACTTTTAATGTTTGTCCACCTTTTTTTATATTTTTTTTATTGAGTTCTCTTGTCTCGCATATAAAAAACTAGCTTGCAATTTGAATTTGCTTTCGTTCCCGATCTTTGATTTTGGATTCGAATCGAGATCCCGACTGACATGACTCGAATCATCAATAGTCGAGATTTTAAACTTTTCAGCTTGGATTTGTTTTCAGAATACTTTTGCGAACTTTGAGGTCTGGACTTTTTTGTATCGCAGTTCACATCCCTTCTCTCTACTCTTTTGCTTCTTTTTTAATCTCTCACCTTTTCATTTAAATGTTTACTCATTTATAAATAGGCCTCAAAAAAATCGCCTCATTACAGAACGATTCTTTGGTGTCAATGGTGAAAGCTGTGGCGCTTTTCACAGGGAAAAGGAAAAGTGGCAAAGATTATATTAGTAATCGATTGAAGGAGGCCCTTCTCGCGGAGAAAGCGATCATTGCAATCGGTAGCGTAAGCCACAGTCTCAAAAGTGAATACGCGGCATTGAATGGACTCGCTTTTCAAAGTCTTGTATCTGATGGACCGTACAAAGAGCTTTATCGACAACAGATGATCAAATGGAGTGAAGAGAAACGCGAAAAGGACAACGAATACTTTTGTCGGCAAACCTTGCCAAAAGATCAAGATAAGATTGACATTTTGATTATCACTGATTGCCGGCGACCAGCTGATATCGCTTTTTATAAGAAGAATTTTAAGAATATTGTTTTGGTAAGGGTTAATTGTGAGATAAAGGAGAGAGTAAAGAGGGGATTTGTTTTTACGAAATCTATTGATGATACTGCTTCCGAGTGTGCTTTAGACGATTTTCCTCATGATTTTTACATTGACAATTCGGGTGATATCATCAAATTACAAACTGCTTTAGATAATTTAGTGTCTTCAATTCTAGGCTTTATTCATTGAATGTTGTTTGAGTTTTTTTTCGATATCAGTATTACATTTCCGAGTACAGGTCAATGTCCCTTTAATATCTGATGAATAATATAATTCGCTTACCGGTGCTTTCTTTCTTTTCTTTCTTTCCTTTCTTTCTTTCTTTTCTTTCTTTCTTTTCTTTCTTTCTTTTCTTTCTTTCTTTTCTTTCTTTCTTTTCTTTCTTTTCTTTTCTTTCTTTTCTTTTCTTTTATTTTTCCTTGCCCAAAAAAGATTTAAAATAAATTTTCAAGTTATGACATCTCGAGAGAAAGAAACGAAAACGGAGTCTGTTTTTGGAGAAAATCTCAGGGTGACTTGTGCAGCAAATCAAGTGAGTTCAAATGATACAAAAGATTTAAGAATTTATTTAAATATCCAAGCCAATCCAAGCCGTTTACGAAATTCAACCGCTAACGAATGATTCGTTAACGGTTGAATTTCGTAAACGGCCACGACATATAAACATTTAATAAACTTCAGGGTGGTCGTGATTATATGGAAGATCGGATTCACATTGAATCGGTGAGATATCCGAACGGACGACTTGATTTCGTTTTCTTTGCCATTTACGATGGTCACGGTGGACAAGAGGCGAGCACGTTTGCCAAGAAACATCTGCTAAACAATCTTCGGGTTAGTTTTAGTTAAAGTTTGTTTTAGTTTAATTATGTACATTTGTGTACCTTTAATTACGGTATATTTAATTGTGTGTAATTATGTACATATGTATTATGTACATATGTATTATGTACATATGTATGTAATCTTTACAGGAAGACCCGGACTTTCAATCAGCCGATGACGAGACAGTGCTTCGAGCGATTACGAATGCTTTCCTAAAAACCCATAACGCTATGGAGGACGTTGTTGGTTAGTAAAAAATTGGATATAATTCAAATCACTATGATTCTTAATCACTATGATTTAACAGAAAAAAAGAATATATTGTAGCACAATGGAAACGAACAGCTTCTGGTTATCAAAGCACTGCGGGAACCACTGCCAGTGTTGCGATTCTACGAGAAGGAAAGGTAAAACGACAAGATTTTAAAAGCTAAATAGAATTTTAAAAAGTATATACTGGTTTATTCAACCAATCAATCCAAGTAATCAATCATAATACAGAAACAAATCCAATTGAAACCCTAACCTAAACTCCTTAACGCCATAATAGGACTTCAATTCTTAACTTAAGCATAATCTTAAGTCAATGGTCATTATTTTGTGGGTGACGATGCTGGTCAATGAAAGGAAACAACCGTTTTTAATGGCTGCAGTTTATGTGCAAGCTAACCTGTAGTTTAATTTTAACGAGCACGGTGCTTTACATTGCTCTGCGGTTGGGATAAAACCCGTTTTTTTCTGCCTGGATCTTTTGTTGCCATGGCGCAGCCGGGAGCGTGCTCGTCTACAAGATCAACCCCAGGCTCACACGGTCCGGGTTCGACTCCCGGCTTTGTCGTGATTTTTGCGATCTGCGACTAACCTGGCCCAACCTTGCTTAAATTAGCAGATCGGACGGGAATTCTTAATATATAATATGTAACATAAGATATCTTTCAAGAATTCTATCAAATAATTCAATAAAGTTAACAAATAAATGTTTAGATTTATATGGGTCATGTCGGCGATTCAGCAATTATTCTTGGCAAACGTGTACGAGAAATTGATGAAGGTGAAAGAGAATTTTTGATTTTAAAAGTTTTTATTCAAGTTTAGCTGGTAAAATGAATATTCGAATGAAAGCAATTACAATGACGGTTGATCATAAACCTGAAGATATATTGGAGAAAAATCGGATCACGGTTTGAAATATTTTTCAAATAGAAAAAAAGTTTTTTGTTTTTTCTTAGGAACATGGTGGCTCGGTGGCGATGAAGCAGAATTGTTTACGTGTCGTTTGGGAAAGGAAACCGCACTCGAAACCGGAAATGATTTATGTGAATGGGAAATTGGAGCTTTTCGATGGAGAGCTCGCATTGCAACGCGTTCCATTCTTGGCCGTCACTAGGAGTCTTGGTTAGTTGGTCTGGATTTCTGATCTGATCTCAAATTTTTAAATTCTAGGAGATTTATGGTCGTGGAATGAGCGAACAAAGCAGTACGTCGTTTCGCCGAAACCCGATGTTTCCGTCTACGAATTGAATCCCGAAGAGGACGTCTGCTTGGTGATTGCATCAGGTTGAGAAAATGAGAAAATCAATCGTAAAACTCAAAATCAAAATCAAAAAATTTTAGATGGTCTAACCGGTGCAATGAATCCAATTTTGGCGACAATTCTTGGTGATATGTGTGAGCAATTTTCGATGGAATACACGGAAGATGATGTCAAAAAGCGACCGGTAACTCTTTTATAAGCCAAACCAGGTGAAAAACCCCTTTTTTTTCTCCCTGGATCATTTGTTGCTGTGGCGCAGTCGGGAGCGTGCTTGTCTGCAAGCTCAACCGCCGGGTAACACGATCCCGGTTCGACTCCCGGCGGCGTCGTGACTTTTGCTTTTTAAAAAACGAAATACCACATTCATAACTATATTGAATTCTAAGCCTAAGAAACTAAAAGTCATGTAAATCGGCCGATATCAAACAGACGGACGGACGAAAAAACGGACAGACACTTCCCTTTTATATAGTAGATGGTTTATGCTTTTCAAATTTCCACTATCTCTGGAAGATTATAGATTTTAGTATCAAGCCATTCAAACGAACACATCTCGAGTGATTTTGCAACACGCACTTCCGATGTGGGAATGGAAGAATCCGCGTGCCGACAATGTGTCCGTCATTACGGTAAACCTGGCTAAAAATTGATACCGTATTTTCTGTAATAGTAGTGCAGTCTATAATAGTAGTGCAGTCTATAATAGTAGTGCAGTCTGTAATAGTAGTGCAGGCAGGAGGGGGTTGAAAAAATGGTAGTCCGCACTACTATTACAGAAAGTACGGTATCTTTTTTTATCAAAGCTTTTCAGGTAATTTTTGATCACAAGCACTCGTTGAGGCCGCCAAAAGTTCTCGAGCGAATCAATCCATCAGAGACGAGCCTCGAACAAGTCTTCACACAGCATCGTGATGATATGGTTTGTCAAAGGGAAACAATGACAATAATGACAATGACAACTGGATATAATGATCTGATATAATATAAAACATTATAATTCAGGTATTGATTGGACCTGAAATGGAGGAACGTCTTCTCACGATTTACACTCCTGTTCTGTACTCTGGATATAATGATCTGCCTGGGACTTCGAGTAGGTCACAAAAGAGACATCTTTGAAATATTTGAATCAATCTTTTAAACACGCTTTTAGATTCCATGTACTTTGGACCCGGCTTTTATACGCATGATGAAGAAAATATGAAAGAGGAAGAAATTCGCACGACACTCAATCTACCAACAACCCGTTTACTGTCAATTGAAGAGATCAACACTTTATTGGAAGAGAGAAGAGCTTATACGGTACTTTAAATTCCTTTAAATTTATTCAATTTAAAATTTCAGAAAATGGGACCAATCTTTGCTGGCTATGTGAGCATCTACTCAGACGATGATATGGTAAGAAAAAGAAAGGAAAAAGAAAATCAATAGAATTTTAGGAGATGAGTGATTACACTAATGGAGATTACGAGAGCTTTGGGCTCATGATCGAGGATACGGTAAAAGAAGCAAGTTTTATTTGGACACAGGGAAAGTTTAGGAGAACAAGCCAGCGCTTGTCGAAGAGACGCCAAGTCCCGCTCGAGTGACTCGAAGCTCGGCTCGTCGTCTTTCACAGGTAGAATTTCCTAATTCGATGATTTTCAAAATCCAAATCTTTATATTAATTAGTCCTTAGTCCTTAGTTTTGTCTTTTTGTTTGCTCAAACGAATACAAGAGCTTATTAGGTGACTAAAACCGAATCACCGCCGCTAGAGAAGTCTCCAAAATTAACACAGGAAACAAAAACTCGAACACCTAAACGATTGCTGCGAAACACTGGTGAGTTTTCCAAAAAAAACCCTCAAGATATAAATACTCATTCAGCAGATCAACAAAATATTCCCAACACAAAGACGCCAACAAAGGAGTCGCCAAGCGCCTCACAAGTTGTCACACGAAGCAAGAGTCGCGATAGGAATTATGAGACGCCTGAGATGACACCATTCCCCAGCACGCCAACAAAGTATCTAAAATTAAAGAAACTTAGAATTTGGATAAAACAACATGGGCAAAGAAATATTTCCGGAGAGGGGATTGAACCCTGACCTTACTTGAGTCGCTCGCTTTACTTGAGTCGCTCGCTTTACTTGAGTCGCTCGCTTTACTTGAGTCGCTCGCTTTACTTGAGTCGCTCGCTTTACTTGAGTCGCTCGCTTTACTTGAGTCGCTCGCTTTACTTGAGTCGCTCGCTTTCAGATGCTCTAACCACTGACCTATTCGGCAACTATTTGCCTGAGAAGAAAGAGGAAATACATGACTTTTCATAACCGTGAGCTTCCGCTTTACTTGAAGATCAAAAAACGGGTATTAGTAATAAAAGTAAAGAAAGGAATGGAAAAAGAAAGATTGTAGATCAATTCATCTAAACAAGAAATATTGATGAATTTTAGGCAAACAACGATCAACTCTTGACTTTAGCTCTTTCAAGTCTAGTCATTTAATCAGTTTCTTCAGTCTCTCACTAATCCGTTTCAGATCTGTCAATCGAAAGCGTCGTGCATCTGATTATGGAAATGAGTCAACGTCGGTCACCCCTTTATTCCGTTCTTTTAATATGGTAAGCAAGAAAAAGATTTTTTTTTATATTAAAGCATCTTTCAGGAAAGAAGGGTTATTCAACGAGAAGTCGAATTTCAAGATGATGACGATTTAGAGGAAATGAATGGAGATGAGCCACAAACTTCTCGAAGTCTCCGATCACATTTCAACTTGCATCCAAGCAACAATCACACAAATGGGCAAGGTAAAAAAAATGATCTAATTATCAAAAAATAAATCTTAAATCTTGCTAGAAAAAGGATAATTTCTAAAATGATTTAAAAAATAAATAATAAAGTAAATAATAAAGTAAATAATAAAATATAAATAATAAAATAAATAATAAAACTTACGCATATCGCATAACTCTTTTCCAATAAGAACTGCCAGAATTTGGAATCGACTCCCCAGAGTTTTGAGAGAGTTCAATAGTCTCGAAACCTTTAAATTATCTGTAGATGATCTTGATCTTGAAGCTCTAGTGGATCCTTGACGTTATCTGTGCTATCCACATTTTACATATATTATATCGTGTTTCTTTTTATCGGCCCTTTTCGTGTTATTTGTATGAATTCATGTGTTTTAACCTTAAATCTAGCGCACTTTATCTCAGGTCATGAATAAAGTATCTACACTACTGGACAATGAAATATCATATTTGAAAAAAGATCGTCACTTTCGCGTGTCTGTAACTCCCTTCTCTTTACCGTATTTCTAGATATTAATATTACCATTGTGTAGCCCTTAAAAAGAGCTTTCAGAAAATGTATAACACTAATAGTTTAAACTCAAAGACAAGGAAGTTACAGATGCGCGAAAGTGACGATCGTTTTTTCAAATATGATATTTCATTGTCCAGTACTGTATATATGTTGTGTCCGATTTAGATTTCCGTCCGATTTAGATTCAATCTAAATCGGACGTCCGATTTAGATTGAACTTATCGCGGACGTCCGATTTAGATTACAATTTATATCGGACGTCCTATTTAGATTCAATCTAAATCTTATATAGATTGAACAATAATACGTCTTATATAGATGTGTTTGATAGCTTGTCTAAAAACGTTCACAGACAACCGAGAACATATATTAAGCACGTTTATTATTGTTCGATCTGTATCGGACGTCCGATATAGACTGTAATCAATAAAAGACCTTTGAAAAATGCAGAAAACTACAGAAAACGCTTAAGAACATATATTAACCATGTTTATATTATTGTTCAATCTATATAAGATTTAGATTGAATCTAAATCGGACGTCCGATATAGACTGTACTCTAAATCGGAAGTCCGCGATAAGTTCAATCTAAATCGGACAGAAATCTAAATCGGACACAACATATATATCATGGGGGGGGTAGTCAAAACAGCGCCATCATAGAAAACGTTCAAAATAGCGCCGTCAAATTTCTCAAAATCCAAAAAACCAAGCCGGTTCAAGTTTTATATCAAAAAATTCCTTGCGTTCTTGGCTACATGATGGGTGAAACAGTTTTTAAAAAAGTTAGTATTTCATAGATAAAAGGAGCACTCAAAATGTGTGTCGAGTGATACTCAGTTGGTTAACTGAATATCTTTAGGGACCCATTTTGAGTGCTCTTTTTATCGATGAAATATCAACTTTTTTAAGAAACTGTTTTACCCATCATGTAGCCAAGAACGCAAGGAATTTTTTGATATAAAACTTGAAACGGCTTGGTTTTTTGGATTTTGAGAAATTTGACGGCGCTGTTTTGAACGTTTTCTATGATGGCGCTGTTTTGACTACCCCCCATATCATGATTTCCAAATTTCAAGAATCTTTATAGAAGTCAAAATTCAAATTTTGAAAAGAATTCTTAGCAATCAATATGTAACTCTTGACATTTACTATTATAGATTTATAGATTTATTGTTTTTTCAGACCATGACCGTGACTGGGATCACAAGGAAATCGAGCCAGCTCCACCAGCGCCAAAACGAAGCAAGATTTGGGGTTTCATCAAAAGAATCGTTGGCATGTAATCGCCCAAAAGAAATGCTCAACTCACTCAACTATTCTTTTTTTTACAGGATTTTCGAATTCTATTTTAAGATTCCATTGCCGATTTGTACAACGTTTCTTCTTCGATTTTTCGTTGCTTATTTCTTGTTACAAAATTGAATCCCAATTGAATCCCAATTTTGAAATTTATCTCTAATTTATGAAATCCCATCATTAAACCCTTTCATTTAACCGAGACTTTTTGAAACTACTGGTGATAAATTGCTTTACGGTAGATTCTCTGAATAATTGTTGTGGCCCGTTCTTTCTTCTGATTTCTCCATTATCTTTCAAATAATCATTGTGCTTTTTTTCTCTCTCTCTCTCTCTCTCTTCCGGGTTTTTTTTAAAACTTTCAAATAAAATAATCATGAAAAATTTTCAGATATTCCCGATTTTTATTAATTTATTTATTAATTTACGATAAATCATTCAAAAAGCTGTTTAGATAATTTCTTTTTACAAGTTTGAACCTTATACTTTTTGAATTTTACCGCTTTTACAGGCTTTTACAGGCTTTTACAGGCTTTTACAGATTTTGAGCTATGGAAACTTTATTGTAAAAGTGGTCTTTTAAGAGGAAACAGAACTTTTCACGTACCCCCTACAAACCTTTTGTTATGGCTATGAAATAGTTTTAATGATTAACTAGGTTTACAAAATTTTTCAGAGATTCAACGAGCAACCCAGCAATCAGAAATGATTCCAAATCATCGTTCAGGTAAAAAAGTTTGCATTTTAATAGTCCACCCTCTTCCAAATTACGTTCCTATTTGCATTTAATCTGCGTCGTTTTTTGGTCTCATTCCCATCCCCGATGATAAGGCACCGGGAGTGGGACAAATGCGACCTTTTTTTGCGCACCTTGCCCATTAGCGCACCTTTTTTCGCGTTTTAAAAAAGCTCTAAAAGCTAATATTAACCAATTTCTATTCCAAATGTTGTTTTTCTAGGTAATTTTAGGGCGTAGAATCGAAATTTTGACATATCAGAGCTCGTGGAAACAAACTGACGGAGTTATACAAAGAGAAAAATCGACAATTTTCTGTAATTTGATCTAGCCGTTTTGTCTTTCAAATTGGTTCCACACGCTCTGTTATGTCAAAATTTGATTTCGACACCCTCAAATTACCTAGAAAAACAACTTTTGGAATGGAAATTGGTTAATATTAGCTTTTTAGAGCTTTTTTTAAAATGCGAAAAAGGTGCGCTAATGGGCAAGGTGCGGAAAAAAAGGTGCGCAAATGTCCGGGTGCGCAAAAAAAGGGTCGCATTTGTCCCACTCCCCACCTCGATCTTTTTTTTATTTAGTCTTATGGGGTAGGCTAATTTCAGCAAATTTTTTTTGCGCAACTCGCCATAACTTTCTTGTAAGTGGGCGAATCTTTATGATTTTGATTTCATTTTGTAGCTCTCAATAAGTGCAACAAAATGACACCAAAGTCATAAAGATTGACCTACTGAGAAGAAAGTTATGGCGAGTTGCGCAAAAAAAGTTTCGGAAACCTACCCCAGTCTTATTTAGTAATATGTTCTATTTATGATTTTTTATTATTTATTTATTTATTTTCATTTTTCAGGTTATCCGGGCGTTTTTGATGCGTCGTCCAGAAAAACGACAAATTCCACGGCAGGCAACTATGCAAACAACTACAATCGACAGCCGAGAACCTACGATCAAACAAATGGTATTAAAAAAGAATAATTTTTAAAAGCTCAATCTAGGTCATTATCAACAAGTCTATCAACAACCGCAAGTCGTGTATCAACAACAGAACTACCAGCATGGCGGATATCAACAAGGAGGTTATCAAGGACACCAACAGCAACAATACCAACAACAATATCAATATCAACCTTGGAACCAGCGCCAGCCGTGTACTGAATTTGTGTAAGTTGAAAGTTTTGATAAAAAGTAGGACTAGTGCTATATTTCGAATCAAGAGACTCAGTGAAGTTTTTCAAAACTTGCAGAGGTCAAACTTTTATCAACTTCAATCACTAATTTTACGACTTTTAGATAATTTTAATTGTTTCTAAACTAGAAAGTTCGCTAATTCTTTTAGAGAAGTGATTGAGTACATTGATTTGCCTGTAAACGAGCACAATCAATATCAACAACAGACAGCTGGACATTCGCGTAACATTCTCGATCGGGTTTCTTATAGTAAGCTTTTAGAAAAAACAGTTTATTTGATTACTTTGCTTGATTACAGTTTACTTGATAAAACTTGCTTGATTTCAATGAATTTAAATTCAGGTCAACCTGTGCAATCGGTCGGCAATTACAACGATTATATCAATGATCAGAAACGCGGCAAGAATCAGAGCTACAATCAGAATAATGGAGGTAAATAACGATTTTATTCAATAATAAATCGATACTAAGATAATCGATACTAAGAAAAATCATAAAAGGATCTTATTCAGGTTATTATCACCGTGACTACAGCACTTCGAATCACCACACTTCAAGCTCATCTAGAGGAGATCATGGTAATTTTAAAGTTAAAGATTGAGGCTAAAACTAAATTAGAAAGATTTTATGTTTTATATTGTAGCAATTTTATTAAATTTACAGCCCGCTACCACTATGACGGACAAGGACAACAGAGATCTCAATATCGCCCCGGATATCTACGTGGCAGTGAACGAAAAAGTAAGTGAAAATCTTAAAGCTATTTGAAATGTCTAAGCACTAGTGTTTTTAAGCTACTTGTTTTTTAGATCAGATATAAAACTGATTATTTTAGCTGCACCAATTGCTCGCGAGAATGGGACTGAGGAGGTGCCGGCTCGTATTCGTTCACCCGCCAAAAGTCCGCTCGAGTTGAATAAAAGTGGGGAAAGTTTGAATTGTAAACTTGTAAATAAATTGGACAGTTGATTGAGCATTTAGATTTTAAGAATTCTATTTAGTGCTGAATCAGATGAACCTCTCGAAGCAAGGGACATCGCGAAACGAAGCCAATCGACTCGATGAAGTCTTCAATCCAAGTATGTTTAGGAAATGAAATTTATTAGATTAGAAAGTTTATTATTCAAATTTATTGCATAGATAAAAATTCTAGAACTCGAATTACTCTATCAAAAGCTGAAAGATAAACTCGAAGTGATCACCGGCGATGCTAAAGACAAAGTGCCCAAGAGGTGATTGAACAATCAGAACAATCAACTATGAAACAGAATTTTGTAATAAAAAAATGTAATCTTATCAATCTAATTTAAGTTTATTGTACTTAAATTAAGAAATGAAAACTCAAATTTCAGCTCGAAATCTTGGACCGAAGTGGGTTTTTCGAGTTTCGCTGAGAAATTGGTCGAACTCGGCATGCCAATGGAGTATTTTCACAAGGTTAACCATTTATTTTTTTTTGTTATTGGCTTTATTTCCAGAAATTGATGATGCAATATATGGCTCACGTTGCTTCAATATTTCCCATGTTTGGTTTCGTCGACATCGGCGTTCTCACCTACGTGACGGTGATGCTTGCAGAGAAGGTGAGGCTTTAATTTGAGAAGCTACCGTAAATACTGTAATAGTACCCCACCCCCATAATGACGGTGTGGAGTGTTGCGTAGTCTAGCTTTGAACGAGTTTTTCTCGACACTGGTTTAAGCTATAATGTGCGCTTAGGTATCAAAAAATAGCTGAAATTCAGCTATTTTTTTGATATCAAAGACGCATTTTTTGAAAGTACGGGTGCTTTGAAAAAAATGAAATACTAAAAAACTTTTGCGACTACGCGACTGTACGAAGGGGGTGGGTACTATTACAGTATTTACGATAAGTGTTGACTATAAGCTAAATTTATTACAAATTGATTTATATTATAGATGACTATCTGGTGATGATTTTTCCGAATTGATTTCATTGAATCGTTTAGTTGAACCGTACTCGCGATGGCCCAATTCGAATGATCGTTGTCGCCGACGAGGACTACTTACTCAAAGATATTAGCACCGTTTTTCGCTACCTCGGTAAGCTTTGTAACTAGCTTTTTATAACAAAATAAGCTATCTAAAAATTGAAGCTAAATTTGAAGCTAAATCTTGAATCTAAATCTAAATAAAATATAAAGCACAGGATACAACTCGACACTCATCAATGGACGCTACGATACCCTCCGAAAGCCCAAGTCAGTTTTGTGAATCAATAATTGTTGTTCGAAAGAACTTAAAAGTTAAAGTCCGACCCATATTTTTGTCATTTCAGTACTCCGATCGTTCTCGTCAAGCCTCACGTTCTTAACGAAATGGTTTGCTGATTGTTGATTCATCCAATCATTACAAAAAATATTTCCAGGCTTCTGAAGAATTCCCAAATCTTTCTTTTATTTGGGTTCTCACCTCGGATTCGATGAAACCCAATCAAGAAATGGAAATGATGCAATTCTACAAAACGTTTACATTCAAACATTTGTCGAATAAAGCCCCAAGAAGCGCTCAAATCAAAGTATTTCTCAACACGACTGAGGAAAATCGAGTGCTCATTGATTGTGTCACAAAAGCGTAAGTGGATCACTTTTTGGAATTGAGGAAAATGGTTTAGAGAAACAAATTTCAACTCGAGCGATGACGCTCCTGGCTTCCGGTTCGTTCGTGAAGAGGATGGGCATATGCAGATTTGTGTCTCACCAAAGACATGTGGCAAGGAGGAAAACAAAGTAGTTTAAAAGTATCAATTTTTAAGATTCAAAAACTTTTAGAAGCCTTTACCTGAAAAGCTGAACTATTTGGACACATCAAATCAAGAAGACGAGATCGCGATTGAGCCTGAAGTGATGGCACTGAGTGAAACTCTTTCAACCACCTCACCTTCAGAATCGCCTAACAATGAGTGAGTTGCCTTATAGCCTAAATTCTTGACTTTTTACAGCTTATCCAACCGGTCATTACTGTAAAAATGTTAAACAATGAGATGGAAAGCTAGTACGTAAAATTGTTTTTACAAAAATAGAAAAACATTTTCAGATCGACTCCACCAACACCAGAAAAACCGAGTCCAAACGCAGGCGCGCTTTTCTCATTCTCCGAGCCACCACCAAATTTCAAACAAAAAGACAATGAAGCGAACGGGAAATAAATTAGTCCAAAAATTTTGCCATAAAAGAAAAATGAAAGAATTTCACAATAGAGCACCGATTTTACTATTTATTGAAGTGAGAGATCGAGATTCTTTTTTACAACCCAATTTGTTTTCATTTTCATTTCACTATATTTACTTTCATTTTCGGTTTTTAGTATAATTGATTATTTTTTGATGTTTTTGTTGTGATGGTATAATGTGATTGACTCAATTGCTGAATAACAATTAGAAGTTTATCCAGAATAACGAAATAAAGAAGCGCAATTGATTCAAAGAACAAAATCGTAGAATAAATGGGAGCTAAAAGAAAAATAAATGGCACAGACGATTTCTTTCGCTTCATTCGAGTGGCTTCAATATCAGCAGCTTGTTCGGTGTTGTCTCTTGCATGAACGGTTATCAGTCATTTTCTGTGTGGTAGTAGTCGACTAGACATCGAGAAATTTCAACACCGACCTGATTCCATCTTCGTTTTGTCTAATTTCAACTTCCTAAGATGAGCGATCTCGACAATTCAACAACAACAACTCTTCCTGGAATCCATACCGGCTTACTTGGATTGCGATAATCTCAACGAAGAATCATTTACCAGAAACTTTTTCGGATCTTTATTCGAAGCAATTAATGAGAGTTAACGAGTCTTTGAAGAAACCGGAGAGAGTCAGATTTTTACACGACAACGCAAAACCTCACACTGCAAAGATCACTTATAAGAAAATCGAGGAACTTGGCTGGAAAGTGCTGCTCCACGCGCCTTACTCTCCCGACTTGGCTCCATTAAGCAAGTTGTTTTGCACTCTCATCTTTCTTTCTTTCTTTCAAGCCAAGTTTCCTTTTCATTCAGTCACTGATCTTTTGTGACAACATTGACAGGGAAGTGACAAAGCGTCTACTCAAAAATATTTCTGCCAGTGACTTGTTTTGGTGAAGAGGGCAAAGAGTTGAACGATAAGTAGTAAGAACTTTCTTAATGCTTGTACACCATTCATCTAGCTCACTTTTGAACATTTTCAGACAATCCATCTAACTGTGAGTGCAAAGGTGATGTTTGAATGCAGTAAATACTCTAATAGAACACCATAATGATGGGCGTAAAGTCGCGTAGTCTAACTCGCGCTGCTTTATGCTACAATGTGCGCTTGGGTGTCAAATGATAGGCCTTGAACTGAGCTAATATTGCTAACATTTACATCTCTATTTGTTCTCGGTGTTCATAAAGCATTTTCAGCAATCGTTTTTGTAGAAGCTTACAAACAATCACTTTTGTTCAAAAGAAAAAAGCAAAATTTGTTCACAGACATGTTCGTAACGAGACTTTTATATACCGTAAATACTGTAATAGTACCCCAGCCCCCTCGTACAGTCGCGTAGTCGCAAAAGTTTTTTAGTATTTCATTTTTTGCAAAGCACCCGTATTTTCAAAAAATACATCTTTTGTATGAAAAAATAGCTGAAATTCAGGGCTATTTTTTGATAATTATATTGCTATTGTAGCATAAACCAGTGTCGAGAAAAATGCGTCCAAAGCTAGACTACGCAACACTCCGCACCGTCATTATGGGGGTGCGGTACTATTACAGTATTTACGGTAGGTAAGCCTAGTTTACAATCAAAATACAATCAAATCATTCTCCAGTATTGATAGAATCAATTATTTGTTAAATTATTTCTTTAAATAGTAATTTAAATACAAAAACATACCAATAATAAAGTATTTGGGTGAATTAAAAAGAAAAAAAAAAGCTTTAAATTGAATCACTGACACTGGGCACCATCACAAACGTTTGGTGTCCCGAGTGAGAGACTCTATTCAAGCTTTTACTCAATATTTTACTCTATTCAAGCTTTTACTCAATATTTTACTCTATTCAAGCTTTTACTCAATATTTGAGCGGGATATTTACAGAATTTTTACACTTGAATAATCATTAAAAATTGATTCTTTTCAGTAGTATAGGGGAAAATTTTGTGGAAAAAACGAATTTTGAAAAATTTTTGATTCAATTGCTTTACTTTTTGTACAGGAACACACACACACACAAAAAGGCCTTTGAAATGTCTTTGAAATTTGAAAGGCCTTTGAAATTTCTTTATCTGATCGACATTTGCACAATCATTGAAAAGAAATGTGACAAGATTGCTTCTTGAGAAAAGATTCGATAAAGTACAAGTGGAATTGGGAATTCTAAAAAGAATTTTAAAGTTTAACTCCTCAACAGCAAACTGAGATAAAGCACACAAAAAGTATGTAAAATGCCGTATTCTCTCTAATAGTAGTGCACCCTGAACGTCGCCTAAATTCCTCGAAATCTCGATAACCGCTTATCAGAACCTATCGATGTGGGGTCGGAAAATGTAGCTGACGATGAGATCTTGTGGGGGATTTGAGTGTTGAGCTTCTGGGAAAACTTTGGAAGCCGTAAATAGTCATCAACTCGGCTACAACTCGGCTGCGGGGTGCACTGCTATTAGAGAAAATACGGTATATGGAAAAAGAATCAATAATCTAGCTGGTGGGATTGAACTCGTGACTAGGATAGGATCTAGGATCTTAGCCAGTCGGCCATGAGGCTCGTTTGCGGTTTACCTGATTTCCCACATAACATCCCGCACATTAGTCATAGATTTTGTGATGTGGGTGAGCCGTTGTGTAGTAATAATAGAGGGGTCGGCTCCCGACGCCGACGTTTTTTCCCAGTCCCAGTAAAGGAATTGGCGTGTCTAATGGCTGACGGTCTAATGTTAGTTGTCTGATGGCTAACTATCTAACTACCACTTAAAAGCCAAGTTTGCCTTTGTCTTTACTTTTACTCTTTTTCCAAATTTTCATCAAGACTTCAAGAAGATCGTTAGATGTAGATGGGCAAAATCTGACTATAATAGGTTTCTAAATTGTCTACCATTTAGAAAACTCATTGCTCGAGAAAAAAAAAATGAATAACTCTAATGATGAATACGGTATGTCGGTATTGTTCACAAGTTACAAAACTCTTGCGATTTACCCTTTTCCAAATTGTTGATAAAGGAGTGCTGGATTTTGTGTCGTGAGACGGCGAATTTCTATTGACAATGGAGATGACAATGGAGATGACAAACAAGTGACCGATTGACCGATTGACCAATTGACTCTTCTTCGATTGACCGAACATTCTTCACAAAAAACATCCCACTCATTTCTTTGATCTCAACATTCTCCACAAATAGCAAGAGTTGCAATAAACATTTTTTAAGAAACTTTAGCAAAATATAAATTTTTAACTGATTTAACTAATCTTATTAATCATCATGTTTTGAAATTGATTTTTTTTGGTCTTAATGTGATTTTTGATCAATTGAATTCTTTTTCGAATCAACACAAACATCTAAAAGCAATATCGTTTTCTTTTGGTTTATTGTGCAATGCCTGTTAACAAAATAAAGTAGATTACAGATGAAAACTAATAAAGTAAATGAGTACTAATGTAAACTAGTATTCGAAGTACTTCCCGATCTCTTAAATGAAAGTATTGTCGGTGTAGCTCACTGGTAGAGTAGTACTAATGTAAACTAGTATTAGGAGTATTTCCCGATCTCTTAAATCAAAGTATTTTCGGTGTAGCTCACTGGTAGCGTAGTACTAATGCAAACTAGTATTAGGAGTATTTTTCGATCTCTTAAATGAAAGTATTGTCGGTGTAGCTCACTGGTAAAGTAGTACTAATGTAAACTAGTATTCGGAGTCCTTTCCGATCTCTTAAATGAAAGTATTCCATTGTGGTGAGCCTGGGAAAGTTTCGGATTCCTATTCCTTTCGGACTAATCGAATTCCGAGTGAAGGTTCAGATTCATGCAGCCTTCCCCTTCTTTTTCTTTTCTCACTAAATCAGTCCTCATTTTTCTTATCAATTTCTTTTCGATGGATTCTTCTGAATTATTTGATCGCTCCTTTCGTCTGTCTGATTTCTCCTCACCAATTTCTCTTATTTTTTTTCCTTCACTTTCCCAAATAAATCACTTCTTTATTGCTTTGAAATGGTTTTTAATCAAAAAAAAAAAAATGAATGAGTTAAGAATTTCTAGTTTTAAGCAAAATCTTTCTAGTCTACTGTTTACCTTTTAGTAAACATCTTTCATTAGTAATTTCATTATAAACATTAGTAAACATCTTTCATTTTGAATTTCTTCTTTTAGAAAATGAATTGTTTGCTTAAATGTAGAAAATAATTTATTGCAAAGCTTACGAAACTCCTGTACAAAGCCTTTAACTTAAAGATTGTTCTGTATTGTCAAATCATTGTGAATTCATTCATTTCAGAATACTGTACACTTGAATATCTTTAAACAATCTTCAGACAGATTTCTTGACGAGATTTCTTCACTCATCTAGTTACTGGGTTTTCTCGGCAAAACAAATTACCCATTCGAATCCTTTTGAATGACTCTTTGTCAACTTAAAGATTGTTCAGTATTATCAAATCATTGTGAATTCATTCATTTCAGAATCCTGTACACTTGAATATCTTTAAGCAATCTTCAGACAGATTTCTTGGCGAGATTTCTTCACTCATCTAGTTACTAGGTTTTCTCGTTTTCTTGGTGAAACAAATTACCCACTCGAATCCTTTTGAATGATTCTTTGTCATTATTCAAAACACATGTGGTCAAGCAATGTAAAAACGATCACTTCAAAGATTTTAAAGATTGAACTTTCATTTAAACAAAAACTGTCTCTTTTGATAAATTGCTTTTTAAGGTATTCGTGAATCTCAAGATCTTTCTTTTATATCTTTTTCTTAACCAAAAGTTTTACAGTTACAGTTTAGTTTTACAGTTTTTAAGCTTGATAAACTTGATCTTATTAAAGTTTTCTAAAATTTTTGAGAGTATTAGATGAATGAATCTCTTTCTCTTATCGATACGTCATTTATTCTCTCCTCTTCTTCTTCTTTTTTTGATTATTCACCTTGTTTTTGCCAGATGAAACGAGAGAAATCGGATCTTTTACTACAGTAAATAAAAGCTTAAAATAATTGACATTTTAGGCAATAAACCATGAAAGGATGGGCGTTGATATTGGTGGTCGTGTTGGGAATACAAGTGACATCAGTGGACACGCGGAGATTCTACGGTAGATCTTGAGATTACTGTCGAAAAATGGGTTCTAAGCTATTCGATAAGCTAAAGCTTTTTTTTCTTTCTTTTTACTGTTTTTTTCCCTACTGTAATTGTTAAATAGAAAATTGTAGGCTCTCGCTGGTTGTTCCCGTTGCCGGATGTTGATGCAGAGAAGAATCATACCTAAACACCCCGATCGAAACTATTGCTACATTGATAAAACGTACACGAAAAGTGGTAGGGGAAAGTTAATTTAAGGGATTCTAATATTCAAGATATTCTATATTCAAGATATTCTAATCGTTAAAATATTCTAATTCTAATAGTCCAAATCATTTCAAAGTCTAGTCTAAAAACTAGCTACCTTAAACTAGCTAAAAACTAGTCAAAGAACTAGCTAAAAACTAGCTACCGTAAATACTATAATAGTACCCCAGCCCCCTCGTACAGTCGGGTAGTCGCTAGTCGCAAAAGTTTTTTTAGTATTTCATTTTTTTCAAAGCGCCCGTACTTTCAAAAAATGCGTCTTTGGTATCAAAAAATAGCCCTGATTTCAGCATTTTTGGTACCAAAGAGGCGCGCTTAAACGGTTTCTTGACACTGGTTTATGCTAAAATGCGCGCTTTGGTATCAAAAAATAGCTAAAATTCAGGGCTATTTTTTGATAATTGTATTGCTATTGTAGCATAAACTAGTGTCGAGAAAAACTCGTTCAAAGCTAGACTACGCAACACTCCGCACCGTCATTATGGGGGTGCGGTACTATTACAGTATTTACGGTAACTAAAAACTAGCTTTTCCCAGCTTTTCAACAAAACTGTACCAATTGAGTGTAATTGAAACTAAGAGAGACCAAAACTCGTGCGCCGTCAGGACTCGAACCTACGACCTTTCGCTTACCAGACAACTGTGCTAACTATCGCACCCCAAAGCAGTTGATCTTCCTCACTCCAGAGGGAGTCTTAAGTAGTCTTTTAAAATCCTATTCCATAATTTCTATATATGCCCAGATTTTCTCATGAACAAGAAATCAATGTTTTTCATTCACTCACTCACTCCCACGTGCCACAAAGCATGGGAGGAATTTCTAAGGTGTGGTTATCACAATTTTCTCCCTTTCATTGAGCTACCGTTGGTTCATCTTTGTGCTCATAACTGACGGGGAAAAAAGGGACACTTAAAGTTTTATGATTAATTAAATAGGTTCAAAATCCACTTATTGAAAAAATTTTAGTAAATCTTTGTCTGAATTCATTCATTATAAATTTTTTTTTTCATTTTTTCAGAAATTTGTCAATATGTACAAGATGAGAGTGATAAATGCGAGGGTGGTGGTTATTTCACGTGGACACGGTGGACTGAATGCGCGAGTAGCTCGGCCAGGGTAAACAATTCGTTTCTTTTTTGGTACTTATTGGTTATCTCCATAGGTTCACTTAAAAATTAGCATTTATCAATTTGCATTTATCAATTTGTATTTATTAATTTGTATTTATTAATTTGTATTTATTAATTTGTATTTAACATTTGATTTTGGAGGTTAAATCAAATTTATCAACTTTGCAAGTCAAAACAAATTTTCAAATTTTTGGGGGTTAAAGGGTGGGAAAAATAGCGACCTTTTTTAAAAAGTATTCCCACCTGGATTCTATTTGTTTTTTTCGCATTTGTTTGTTGGAAATGGCCTTAGGAAAGGTCGTAGAGCTTCAAAAACGTTTTCAATGGAAGGGAATCGCATGCGTAGATCCTGAATTTCGACAAATCTGACCTGCTGACACGTCAAATTTGGGCTAAAAGGGCTGGAAAATGGCAAAAATCTGGATAAGCTAAGTTGCGTATTTTTTTGCCTTTTTAACCCAAATTTGACGTGTCAACGAGGTCTTTTATACATAACGAAATTCAAAAATCTACGCATACGATTCCCTCTATGAAAACTTTTTTACCAGCTCTACGGACCTTTCCGGGAATAAGGAACCAATTCCAGCAAAAAAAGGAACCAAATTTCCAGGGGCGGAACCAAATTTAGGGCGCATAAGGAACCCACCCCAGAGGGGAAGGAACCAAATTTTTCAAATGTTTAGGGCGGAAAATCTCAAAAATATCAAATTTTCAAATTTTCATAAAAATTAGAAAAATAGCAATTGTTTTTAGAATAAAAATATTTTCTATCTGATTTCTATTTGATTTCTTCTTTCGCATTTAGATTGTTTAGATTGTTTAGAAATTTAGAGCCTATTTAGATTGTTTTAGAAAATATAGAAAATATAGAACATATAGAAAATATAGTACCAGTTCTATATTTTCTTAAAACAATCTAAATAGGCTCTAAATTTCTAAACAATCTAAATAATCTAAATAATCTAAATGCGAAAGAAGAAATGAAATTAGCATATGCGCAAAATTAGTATTTAATTAGTATTTAAATGTACCAGCAAAGCGCAGCAGAACATTGGTGGGAAGGTGGGTGGCGGGATTTCAGTTCACTCAATGCTTGGTTCCTTTTTTTTGGAGGAACATAACCATTAAGTACCGATCTAAGATCTAAAATAGATCTAAAATAATATTTCTAGGTTTTCATCATTATTGGAGCTATTTTCTATATGTTATATCTATTCGTTGCCATTTCCGCAGCAGCTGATGATTTCTTTTCACCGAATGTCGCCGGAATTGTAGCCCATCTAGGGATCTCGGAAAGCATTGCTGTTAGTTTAAATGAAGATCTTTTAGAGAGAACAATTGATTGTTTAAACAATGCAACGATGAGATTTTATGCTTTCAGGGTGTTACATTCATGGCATTTGGCAACGGAGCTCCAGATATTTTTGGCGCAATCGCTTCAGTGCTCAGCACTCCAAAGCCCAAAGCTGGGTTCGCTGTTGGAGAGCTTTTAGGTATGAAAATCATATGGAAGATGGCAAATTGTTAAAGGTTAAATGATAATAGTAGGTTGAGGCAAAAAGTCCTCACTCGGCTACGAAAAAATTCAATTTCTATGCGCACTTTAATAACAAAAATAACAACAATTATTCCTTAAAGTATAATCGATTATTATCTATGATTTTCTGCCATCGATTTGCAAGCTTTCGGATCTGGTCGATGTACCACTTCTTCGATTTCGAATCAAAGAAATCTTGGCAAGCTTCTTCAACTTCTTCAAATGACTTCAAAAGTCATCATCATCCAAGTCGTCGGCCGGAACGCGGCAAGTCTGCAAGGCTCGTGTCACCGGAATCAAAGCACCACGTACTAGACATGAGAAATCGGGGCGGATCGGATCGGATCGGGTCGGATCGGGTCGGATCGGGGCGGATCGGGTCGGGTCGGATCGGATCGGGTCGGGTCGGATTGGATCGGATCGGGTCGGCTCAAAGGTTGACCCGACCGGGTTGGAAGAAGAAAAGAATTGTCATTGTCAAAAGAAGAAAGATCTGGATGGTGGTATGCTGACAAACATTGCAAGGTAATCGACCAAGATTCAACAATGGAGAACGGGTCAATCAATGGAAACGATGCGAAAAATTGGAATTTTGGCGTTGACCCGACCCAAACAAATTCAATTTTCGGGTTGCCCCGATCTGGCCCAATTCCCATGTCTACCACGTACCATCTTGAAACTTTTGATTGACTTATAGTTCCGTCGCCGATGCAAAAACATCGCCGCAAATCTCTTCCACGGCGTCTCTTGTTGAAAGTTTTCATTTTTCAGCAATAGCGAATTAAAACTCGAAGGTCTTTTTCTTGGAAACTCTTTCTTTCTTGCAAATTCTTGGAAACTCATCTGGAAAACAAAGATGAAAATTGGTAAAACACTATAAGCAAAGCAGTAAATAAAAAAATGCATAAAAATTGAATTTTTCGCAGCTGAGTCAGAACTTTTCCCTCAACCTAATAATAATAATAATAATAATAATAATAATAATAATAATAATAATAATAATAATAATAATAATAATAATAATAATAATAATAATAATAATAATAATAATAATAATAATAATAATAATAATAATAATAATAATAATAATAATAATAATAATATCAATAATAATAATAATAATAATAATTCAATTCAATTCAATTCAATTCAATTGAACTTGTTCAAACTAAAAACCCTTTCAGGTGCTGGCACATTTGTAACGCTTTGTGTGACAGCAACTATCGTTTTCACAAAACAATTCAAGGCAAGCCACTCTTGGGGGAGAAAATTTTTTGATTTCTTTTAGGCAGCTGTTTTTGAAACAATTCGTGATTTATCATTCTACCTACTAGCGCTTGGATGGATTCTTTTCGTCTTCATTTATGATAAAAACATTTACCTATTTGAGCCTTTAGGTAAAAAAAAAATCTATCAATTCTTCACCTTTAAAATCAAACTCACTTTTCAGTCTGTTTGGGGATTTATGGGTGCTACGTTGGAACCGTTGTTTTCAGTCATTTCTTACATAAAAGAAGAAAGGTGATCAATTATTCCTATTGCAAAAGTAGACGTCAAAAAAAAAATCAAAAATTTTCTAGGCTGCTCGCCGCGCCTCGCGACGATCCAGTCATTTCAGCAGAAATGCGAGCGTTCGACCGAATATCGCCATTAATGATACAGGTTTGGGGAAAGCTCAATTGAAACTGGCATTGAATCTCCTTTAAAGCTCCTTTAAAGCTCCTTTAAAGCTCCTTGATAGTTCCTATTTAGTTCCTTTAAAGCTCCTTTAAAGCTCCTTTAAGGCTCCTTTAAGGCTCCTTTATAGTTCTCAACTTTAATCTTTTCTTTAAGTTTCAAACAAAATTTCAGATAAAAACTATACTGACGGTCCGCCGGTTCATATAATTTCGGCTGCTGTTGACAGAATCGCCGCCGCTAATGGGAATTTATTGAATGGAGTCGAGAAAGAAAACCCGAATCCCGTGCCGAAACCTGGGGATTTAAGGAGACTTTCTGTTTCGGTAGGTTTAGAAACAATCATTTATAAATTTGGAAATTAAAGAAATCCGGTTATTCACACGATAAAAACAAGACAAAAGTAATCAATCTCTGTCCTAAATGTAGGGAAAACAAAACCAATATGGGAAAAAGAGCTAGCTGGAGGATTGAATCTGGCTGGAGGATTGAATCTAGCTGGAGGATTGAATCTGGCTGGAGGATTGAATCTGGCTGGAGGATTGAATCTAGCCGGCGGATTGAATCTAGCCGACTATCATCCAAGGCTCCTAGCCAGTCGACCTCGACAAATCTTTGTCGTTTTAGCTATACGCTAGACGTCGAAGTCAGACGTCGAGAAAATCAACGGACAAATCGAACAACCTTCATCCAGGCGTTTACCACAACGAAGCACATCATGGGGTTTGAAAATTCTTTAAATTTTGACACTTAAATTTCTAGGATTCTGATTCGGATTCCGAAGAGATGATTTGGGTCGGTCATCATCTCATTTCCGCGTCAGCAAATCGCAGTCGAGCGCAATCAATTAGTAAGTCGAATTTGGAGGATTTATATTTAGTATTTGCCTTGTTTTTCTAGATTTTTCGATATTTTTCTATATTTTTCGATATTTTTCGATATTTGCCTTGTTTTTCTATTTAATTCAAGTGTTAAAGTTGATCAAAATCAATCTTTTTTTTTTAGTTCCACCCGCCGAAATTCACTCAGCCAAGTCTCTTTTTGCTGACATTTATCACCATTTATTACCGATTTCTTCAGAAGATTGGGACGATGCTGGCTATTTTGGGAAATTCATGCTTATTATTAGTGTTGGTTTGGTTTGAAAACAGAAACAAAGTCGAATAGAAGTTTCAAGTAGAAAACGTTATAGAAAACGACAAATTTCTTAGTAAACTTTAATACAAAAACATAGAGAAAATCTCGGTCAAAGTCAGACTACCTACACTACTGGACAATGAAATATGATATTTGAAAAACGATCGTCACTTTCGCGCGTCTGTAACTTCGTTGTCTTTGAGTTTAAACTATTAGTGTTATACATTTTCTGAAAGCTCTTTTCAAGGGCTACACAATGGTAATATTAATATCTAGAAATACGGTAAAGACAAGGGAGTTACAGACGCGCGAAAGTGATGATCGTTTTTCAAATATGATATCCATTGTCCAGTAGTGTACCTGAAAGGGTCCATCCATTTAAATGGTCTGTAAGTCAAGATGTAAAAGTTAAATCAACTCAGGGTTACTTTTTTTAGAATCTACATGAAATTTGATAGAAAAAATGTACAATTTGTTTTCGCTTTCAATATTTAAGTATTTCAATTTAGAAAGTAAATTTTGCAAAAAAAAAATGCAAAAACCCGGCAATTCAGGTGCCGCTAACAATCGCTTTCTGCCTGACGATTCCCCTGGTCGATCAAGCATGGTCAAAACCGGTCGCTTTGCTTCACGCTTTCTTTGCTCCTCAATTTTTCCTTTTTGCAATTCAGGGTAAATTTAAATATATTGGATTGGTGAATTGAAAACTGCCGGCTATTGTCATATGGGACAGTTTGAGCACTTTCTTCAAAAGAAACCCATTTTGGTGTCAATGGAAAAGTTGTAGAGAATCAAAAATCAAGCTTATATCCAAATTTCCAAAAAGATACACTTAGTAGTTTCGCTTAAAATGCAAGTTTTGTGAAAATTAGAATATTTTTATTTAAAGCCTGTCTAAATGACTGGGTGTTCTTTGTGCGGCCGCGTAATCGCTCGTCGTCTGGCGCAGGGCTTTTACATAAGCCCCTCCCCTCTCCGCTCTGTAATCGCGATCCTGGCTATTTGCGAATGCTCAATTTCGTCAATTGTCAATGGAAAAGTTGTAGAGTATCAGAAAATTAAGCTTTTTCAGAACGAGTCAAAAAATTTTCAGAACGAGTCAAAAACTGGTTTTTAAGAAATGCCGAATTTACGAATTTTCACAAAACTTGCATTTTAAGCGAAACTACTAAGTGTATCTTTTTGGAAATTTGGCTATAAGCCTCATTTTTGATTCTCTACAACTTTTCTATTGACACCAAAATGGGTTTCTTTTGAAGAAAGTGCTCAAATGCTCAGACTGGGACATCACCAGTCCTCGATTTTTGAGTCTCACACTTGTCTCACACACAAACCAAAATCCTACTACGAAAGAGGAATCCGCAAATTGCCTGTAAAATGGGCAGAAGTCGTCAATAATAATGGAAATTATTTGGAATGAATTCATGGTTTTATGTTGAATAAATTTTAGTTCAAAGTCCCGGAGTTTTCAATTCACCAACCCAATACTAGTGATCGATCTATCCCGATATTTAATAAACATTTTTAGACTGGAACTTGCAACCATTCGATGGCTCACCGGGCCTTTGGGCGTACGCTTTAGTGTTCTCGCTAATCGTCGAGATTCTTCTCATTCTTTACACCACCGTTCAACACGAGCCTCGATTTTATAAGGTAAAATCGAACAAAATAGAAACAATTTTGCAAATTTGATAACCGATTTCTTGGATTCCCATTTAATTAACATCATCTTGGATCAACGAGTGATCAATGAGATCGACAAATGAGTGATTCACAAGCGTTTATCGATCTCTACCCCTTTCCCCTTTTCAATTTTATCTTTACTTTCATTTTTTCTCTTTCTTCTTCTTCTTCTTCTTCTTCTTTTTCTTATCTCTGGAATTCCCTATTCTTCAAAAAAGCTTTCTTTGTCTTTTTTTGATCCAATCTGCGTCACTAATCACTATCCAAAAAAAAAAGGTCAAAGAATAATAGAGTTTGAGGGGTGGCAACTGATTTTTGAGAAAATGGCGACTGATTTTTAGAAATGATTGAATGAATTGATATAATTGGTAGACTGAATAAAATGAATAGCTCCAACCGATTCCCGATCTCGAAAATCCCCGGGTTTAAAGCTGAATAGCTTTTTGTAGATTCTAAAGCAAAAGAGAGCAAAATCACTGTGTAAATGACGAGGTGCTCTTTGTGCGCGCGCACAATCGTTTCTCCATCTGGCAAACCCCCTGGTATAAGGTTTTTCCCTTTTCGATCGACTCCTTTTCGACTTTTTAAAAGCCCAGTTTTTTGGAAAAAATTAACGGCAAATTTGTCACTCCGATTAACGGTTAAAAGTCGATTTATCGAAAATGAAAGCTTTTCAGCAACTCAGCAGCTACGCCGGTTTTCTAATGTCGATCTCATGGATTTATCTGGTGGCTAATGAGGTGGTCAGTGTGGTGACAATGCTCGGTGTGATCTCACAACTTTCGCACGAGGTTTGACTAGATATCAATGTCTAATAAAAATTCGTAAAAATTTCTCTAGTCTTTTGGTAAAGGTTTTTTTGTTTTGTAAAACACTGACGCTGTGATTTAATGGTTGAAAAATAGATCTGTAAAACTGTGATCTGTGTGCAATGAGCTCTAGGCTCTAGCTCTAGGCTCTAGCTCTAGGCTCTAGCTCTAGGCTCTAGCTCTAGGCTCTAGCTCTAGGCTCTAGCTCTAGGCTCTAGCTCTAGGCTCTAGCTCTAGGCTCTAGCTCTAGGCTCTAGCTCTAGGCTCTAGCTCTAGGCTCTAGCTCTAGGCTCTAGCTCTAGGCTCTAGCTCTAGGCTCTAGCTCTAGGCTCTAGCTCTAGGCTCTAGCTCTAGGCTCCTAGGTTCCACGCTGGAATTTTTTCACTTTCAAAAACAGAGACAAACATCTTTGCCAATTGATCCATGGCCTCCTTGCTTCTGTGTCGGAAAGAGTGCTTTTCTGTGACTCTAATTCGGGAACATCATAGAAGAAACGAAGGGAAGCTGATTTTCAAGAATGAAAAGCCTGATAAGGAGCTCCAAAATCGGCACAAATTCGGCTACGTCAAACAGGAGGGGAAAAGAGAGGCCTGATGAGATTTCAGCACTCATTCCAAGATTTTTCACCTCACCACAAATTTTTCCTTGAAACCCCATCCTGCAAAACTGTCATTTTATAGGCTTAGGGGAACAGGAAAGGAATGAAATACTTAGAAATGAAAATATAAATACTTAAAATCACTTTGAGCTTGATTAGCGAGTAATTTAATAACAATACAAACGGTAAACGGTGAAGTTGAGGATCAAAGTTGAGGCAATCAAAAGAAAACTCTTTTTACTGATAAAATGAAATGATATAGCTTGAAATTGAAAACATTTTAGTTACTCGGATTGACGATTCTCGCGTGGGCGAACTCGATCGGTGACCTTATCGCCGATGTAGCCGTCGTAAAGCAAGGATACTCGAATATGGCACTCGCAGCTGCTATCGGAGGACCATTATTCAGTAAGAAAATATAAAAATCTTACAATCTTATTCCTGAAAAACAGTGAGAAATTGCGATTTCAGATTTACTTATCGGTTTCGGACTTCCATTCTCGATCGCGCGTGCAAAGGGGACGCCGATTGAAGTAAATGTAAGTTGATGTAATATTTGACAAAACTCGTCCCACACTCTTTAGTTCTCTACAATCAACCATGTGCTCGTTTTATTCTTGGGTACATCACTCGCATTCAGTTTGATAGCAATGATCGTGCAAAGGTTTGCATTGTTACCGTCATTTACAAAAATAATATTAAATCTTGTAATACTTTCAATGCTTACTTTGAAATTGCCTTTATACTTTACTTTAAATAGTTCAAAACCAATAAAACTTTACTTTAAATAGGTCCAACCAGTAAAATCTTACTTTAAATAGTTTAAAACCGATAAAACTTTACTTTAAATAGTTTAAAACCGATAAAACTTTACTTTAAATAGTTCAAAACCAATAAAAGTTTACTTGAAATACTTTAAAACCAATAAAACCTAACTGGTTTAAGATTTTATCTGAGAAAAGTGTACGCTGCTTGTCTCATCGGCATCTATGCGGCTTTCCTCACGATGGTCGCGCTCACCGAAACGAAAGTTTTCACTTGGGGAGGCGATGATGATTGAGAAGCGGCTCTTTCAACATATGCGAATTTGATCATTTTTTAAGGCATGGGGATTTTTGGTTACGATAAGCCTACTTTTTTTTGGGCTGTCACAAAAAGAATCAGAAATTTTCTAAATTTTGACTCTAATAATACATGTATTTGATTTTATTGTTGAAATTTTGGATCCTTAAAATTAGCTATGAATACAGTTTCTATCAATAACATTTATAGTTCTTCAGATTTTGTTAGAGGTTTAGACTACCGTAAATACTGTAATAGTACCGCAGCCCCATAATGAGGGTGCGGAGTGTTGCGTAGTCTAGCTTTGAACGAATTTTTCTCGACACTGGTTTATGCTACAATAGCAATAAAATTATCAAAAAATAGCCCTGAATTTCAGCTATTTTTTGATACCAAAGACGCATTTTTTGAAAGCACGGGCGCCTTGAAAAAAATGCAATACAAAAAAACTTTTGCGACTACGCGACTGTACGAGGAGGGTGGGGTACTATTACAGTATTTCCGGTACTGTAATAGTACTATTACAACTGAAATTCAGGGCTATTTTTTGATACCTAAGCGCGCATTGTAGCATAAACCAGTGTCGAGAAAAACTCGTTCAAAGCTAGACTACGCAACACTTCGCACCGTCATTATGGGGGTGCGGTACTATTACAGTATTTACGGTAATTAATCTATACTTACAAGTACATCCGCGACTCTTCTAAAATCGAATTCTTAACTGTATCCTTAAATGAAGACTTAAATGAAGGCTATAATGTTCGAAAAAGTACTATTGGAAAATTTTGCTATATCAAAAGTCTTGGTGTATTCATGTTTTGTGTATTGTTTCACATAAAAATTTCATATTTTCTCTGTAGCTTTGAAAACAATTCTCATAAACGGGTATTCTTTTTGATTGATTTTTTGATCTTTGAAATAGCTGAAATATACTTTGCTTTAAATTGTTTAAAACCAATAAAAGTTTACTTTAAATAGTTCAAAACAAAAAGAAATGCTTTCTTTCTCTGCATGTAACTTGCTTGCTTCAAATTAAATAAATTTATTTCAAGAGAAAACACAAAAAAAAAAATGAACGAAAATAGTAAGAATTCACGCGGTATGGACATTTGAAATGAATAGGAAAATGAACACGAAATGATTTTTGGGAAAATTTTACGGAGAATGAGGTCTACGCTAGGTGGCGAGTGCGGTTTACGGTATTTGCCTTTAACTTGATTAATCGTACACTATGAGATATAAGCTTTTTTTTAAAAACCTGGCATCACTACAGTACCGTAATCCCTCTGTCTCTCCACCAATCGACCCTTTGCTAGTCGGCTTGCTTAGTAAAGAAGCTAGTGTCAAATCGAATTTTATATTAAGTAGATTTGAAGATTTAATGAATCCGATTTCTCTATCGTATTCTTCGTTTTTAAATCCCTCTACTATTAAATCCATATCATTTTCTATTTTACACTAAACTTTTTCGATAAGCAAGCCCACTTGGTAGTGATAAATATTTGTAAATAATTTTTCACAAATTCATAAACAATTTTTCTCTAACGAGCGCTAAACGAATTTTTCTCTAGCTGGCTAAAAAAAATTGTAAAAAGAGGAAATTCGAAGGGGAAATGAAGAAAAAAAAAAGTTATAGACTTTTTGAGACGACCTGATGTGGGAAAGAAGAGAAAAAAAGTGGAGATGGAAACATTTTTGGGGAGAAATATATAAGGGAGACGAGATATCACAAGGTAGAGCTGAATGATGTTTGAAATGATCAAAAATGGATTAAAAAAAAAAAAGAAAAGAGGGTAGAATACGGTTAGATCTTACAGATTGGGTCAGTCAAGGGCTAGTCTCGCCTAGCCTGACCAGCTTCGTTCAGAGTCTGTCAATTAAGCCATCTATGTTCTGAATACAATTCACTTTTCATTATCTATAATTCTATAAACCAATTTGCTGGATGTAACCGAATTGTACCAAAAACGTTGAAGAAATTGAAGAAGGGTACACTGGCCGGAAGAGACTGATAAACAAAGAAAATGAGACATTTTTTTCTTTAACCAAAGGGTAAATTTATAAAGAGAATGATGGAAATTTACAAGATTTAAACAAAAATTTGTTTCAGCTTAGGGCTTAGAGGTTGTTTGACAAAAAAAGAAATATCTGGGTTTTTCCACCTGGCGCACTAGCGAAATCGCTTGAGAACTTGAATTTTTTTTTGAAGTAAAAGCAAAACTTTTCCCTCAAAAGCTCTCAGAAATTTTGACTCCTAATGAATGCAAAAAAAATTGCAAATAGAATCGATTTTTTTTCTTGTATTGGGGAGAAGGGTTGAGGCAAGAATGAATTTAAAGAAAAAAAAAACAATGAATCGAAAAAGATGAACCGATAATATTCACATCCACAACAGAAAACACATTTTTTGTTTCACCTCTACACAAAGGAGAATCTCCATTCGATCAAAAAAAAAAAGAAGAAATTGTAAGTATAAATGGGGTAGAAGATTGAAAATGAAACGAAAACTAAGTAATAGATGTATGAAAAGCGAGAAATTTTGTGTACACGAGCGGAATTTGAGGAAATATAGGGGTGAAGGGTCGTGTACACATGGCACACGGGGATTGACCCTGTCTGTCGATATGAGCTGACAATGAGGATGAGTTGCAGGAATCTAAAGATAAAGGAATAGATTTTTATAATTAATAAGTAAGGTATAAAGCTCTGGTGACAACGGGATACGTGCCGGTGTACTAAACTCTGCCGGTAAACGAGAGGTCGCGGGTTCGAATCCCAGCCCCTACCATGTTTTGTATTCCCAGCCTTAACCCATAAAAGAACCATTAAACTCATAGCTACAGTCGACTCTCTCTATAACGAAACTCTAAATAGCGGAAAACTCTATATAACGGAATGGAATTTTGACGCTAAGCTATTTATAACGGCACTCTATACAACGGAAAATTTTTTTGCTCCCTTCCATTCGGTTATAGAGAGTTGACTGTAGTTAGATTCAAGACTATTTCCTTGCCTAGAATAGTTACAGTTTGTTATGATATCTAAACTCTGTCCAACTAGTAAAGAGTTTAGATAAAGTCGGCTTAATTTAGTTGTTTAGTTTTCAGGACAAATTCTAGGGCAAAAAACGATAGAATTCAAGCGTATCCCGCTCGTTTTTATCAAGCTATTGTCCCTAAAATTGACTATAATAAACACGATTACAACTTTATCAATAAAACTTTGTAACCATTAGACTAGTTGGATTCAAAACTATTTCCTTGTCTAGAATAGTTATAGATTTCTATGCGTAGTTCAACATTGCTTTGAACAAAACTTATTTAAGCCAGAAGAAACAAAGCTTTTGCTTAATAAAATAGCTTAATATGATCCAGTCAAAAGTTATTTTATTGTAACCAAACCTACCACAATCCCTCTTGTTTCTCTTTTCGACAGTAGAGTTCCTTGAGCGTCTTGAGCTCCTCGATGAGCGCCTTGTTTTGATTCTCCAACACAGCCACTCGATTCTCCAAACATTTCACATATTCCTAAAGTTTTTAGTTTTTAAAACTTTTCTTTATTTCCTTTTTCCTACCTTTTTCTTCCTTCTGCATTCTTTGGCGGCTTCTCGATTCTTTAATAGTCGAACCTAGAAGAAACGAGTTTTTGGAAAACAATTTTATTTCTAACTATAGCAGATATGAAGCTCTGCAAACAATAACCTATTCTCCTTAAGGAAATAAAACTTTAGCCAACCTGTCGTTTCCTGGTCGACTCATCTTCACCTAACCCTCCAGGGCCTCCAAGTCTCGACGAGACGGGTGAAGGGGAAGAGTTGTATCCAGAAAGGAGTTGTTGTTGCCAGTCTATGATATCTAAAAGAATTTTTAACTTAAAAACTTTAAATCTAATTTTAGTTTACGTTTTAAGAAAATGCAACTCACTTTGTCCTACATGATTGGCAAAAGGGTTGGCGGCCAGATCGCCCATCGGTGGCTTTAATCCATGCAGGTCAGCGCCCGGGAGCAACAAACTTAAATTTCTTGTTGTTTATATTATAATAGATTAAACAAATAATATAACTAAATATTATACTAATAGATACTAAATAATACTAAATAATACTAAATAAAAATCAATACTATATAAAACTAATAAAATATATTATGAAATGTAAGAAATTACTCGGCATTTCCCGACGGGGTTAATAATACTTTACTAATAAACTAAATAAGATTTAAAGAAAAAGAAATACTATATAAAACTAATAAAATATATTATGAAATATTACCCGGCACTTCCCGAGGGGGTACCCTGACCGGGCAATTCGTGTTGAGAAGACGTGGGCGTCAGTTGGCGACCTTGGGAAGCGGCTACCTAAAGAGAGAACGCTTATCTTATCTGCATTTTATCAAATCGATCCCTCTTATGTCGAAAAAGACAACAAAAGAGCTATAGATTTGGGAAAAGAACTAACCACGGCCGCCGCAAGTGCTGCAGGATTGTAGTCTAAATGGAGCTGCGGCTGGAGATCGCCGTTGAGAGGAAACTGAAAATAAGAAAATTAATGATACGTTGAAAAAAAACGAATAAGTTCCTGTAATTATTACCGCGAGACCGTGTGGAATAGCGGTAGACGAGGGCGGTGGGAGGAGCGATGTGCCGAGAGGAGAATCGTATGGAGAAGCTGATGGCCCAGGCAAACCTCGAGCTGATGGGGGGATCTAAAAAAAAAAAATTTTGTTTATCAGAAGATTGTAGACGTTTTTCTAAAAATGAGAAAGGTTATCAAAATCACGATTAAACGTCAAAAGTGAGCAAAGTGAAAAAGAGAAAAGCGATGGGAGAGTGTGTAAAGTGACGCGAGAAAGTGTTGATCAGAGATGGGGAGAAGGAGGCTGGAAAATGATCGGGTAAATGGGTGATCGGGCGTCACTTGGATTCCCGCGGAAAAGCGGTAACACAGCCTACCCAAACTCTCAGCCATTCGAACAACTCTCGAAAAGAAAAACGTTTGCAAATACCCGATCACACACACATGAGAGAGGGCACGTCATAAAGATAAGACACAACTCTCTCTTTCCCCGCATGTGCTTCAATTCTAGCGTTTTTCTCTGCATCATCTTTTCTTTAAAAAAGAAAAAAAAAAGATTTCTTTTTCTTCAAAAAAGTAAATTCTTGGATAAGAAACTTTTCCCGTTTTTTGATGTTTAAATTGACAAAAAATAACTTCTAAAGCCTGCTTCCGCCTCTCTTTTCGCTTAGAAACTGCCTACGCTTAGAAAATTTGAAAAATAAATTTCGGGATGAGTAAGATCGATAAAGAATTTCAAATAAAAAAAATATTGGCTACAAAAAAAAACATTTCTAAAACAGAAAATTTTGTAATAGCAGCTTAATCTAGCCGTATAAACGATAAACGTCACCTTTTCCAATAAAACTGTGCAAATAAAAGCGCCGAGAAGAATTTTCTTCAAAGATTTTTTTTTGTCATATGACTCGAAATTGTGGACTCTATTTAATCTTGAATTGAAAAAAAAAGCAAAAAAAAAGCAAAGAAAAAAAAAGCGCGCCGTCTCGTACAATTAACTTTTCTATAAGCAGAAGGAATCGAGTTTTATAATGAATAAGGCTTCAATTTCTCCTGGGGTCAAAAAAGCATAATGAATATTTAATCATAATTTTCCCTTCAAAAATCACAACGAATTAATCAGTGTTTTGAAAGGAAAAAAAAATTAATAAAAGAGTGAAAAATAGCAGGTGAAAAAAGTTGAAAAAAAGATGAAAAAGAGTGAATTTTTTTTGATGCTTTTCGAGGAAGATGTGGAAAACGGGTAGAGGATTAGCAAAAAAAAAGGGGGGAAAAAGCAGTTCATCGTTTCTTAGTAACCAAGAGCTGGGCATAAAAAAAAGAAGAGAAAAAGGGGCAATTAATGACAATGAGAATTTGTGAAAAGAGATCTAATCACTGCATTTTTATCGTTTGAAAAGGAAAAGGAAATAAACAGCACTTAATCCATACCTTTTTTTTCATAATTAGGGTTGTCTATTGGGATGGACTCGTGATTTTCAGCCTTTTTTTTTGAATAAAAAGCGTTGTTTGATCAAGAGTAAACGTTTTTTTTTTCTCTCAGGAGAGTCTAATTAGAAGGGAAAACTGTTGAGGAAGTCAAATATGAATGATGTCATATGGAAATGTTTAAAGAAAACAAGTTCATTCAAATTTTGAAATCGAATAGATTTTGATCTCATTAAAGTTTCATTTGTTGACTCAATGAACTAGAATGAGTAACAAGATGTTGAAATATCAAAAATTAGAAAAAAATGTCTGTAAGATACAGTAAAAACTCGAATAGAACGACCCTCTAGAGGAGCGTCGCGTAGTCTAAGTTTACTCTCAAACAAACGCTCATATCTCGATACGAGTACGTTTGTTTCTGTGCGCTTAGGTATCAAATTAAAGTAGAGAGGATGGGTGACTTTTTGAGATATAACACTTATTTTTAACTTTAACCAGTGCTTAGGAAAAAATGATTAAAAAGTGGCAAAAGAGCCGATTTTTGCCGATTTTCAATCATTTTTTCCTAAGCACTGGCTAAAGTTAAAAATAAGTGTTATATCTCAAAAAGTCACCCATCCTCTCTACTTTAATTTGATACCTAAGCGCACAGCAACAAACGTACTCGTATCGAGATATGAGCGTTTGTTTGAGAGTAAACTTAGGCTACGCGACGCTCCTCTAGGGGGTCATTCTATTCGAGTTTTGACGATAATCTTAGAAAAGCTATCTAATTGCTAGCAAAGCTTAAACTGGTTGGAAATAAAGAATGGTAAAAGTTGGAGAGTACTCATTTAATTTATGGCTAAATTTATCAAGCTGCTTGCTCAACTAATAACAATAAAAACAAAGCAAGTCAGCTAATAACTATAAAAACGAAATCGAATCTAGGAGAGATGAATTTGAGCTAAGAGAGATCTAGGAAATGATGCGAAGATCATCAAGGGTAAAGAGAAGGAGAAGAGAAGGAGAAGAGAAGGAGAAGAGAAGGAGAAGAGAAGGAGAAGAGAAGGAGAAGAGAAGGAGAAGAGAAGGAGAAGAGAAGGAGAAGAGAAGGAGAAGAGAAGGAGAAGAGAAGGAGAAGAGAAGGAGAAGAGGAACCTCTGTGAATGATGGATGCCCTCTCTTTTCTCTTTTCTCATTTCTCATACCGAAAAGGGTAAATCGCTACAAATCGTCCCGTTTTTCTGCTAGAAAATATCGCTCCCCTTGCGTATTGCTTTTTATGAAAAATGCGGCCGTTTTGTAGTATTTTGAGCAGCAGAAAGGGATCATCAAGTTCCAAAGTTTCTACGTCAAAGAGATTTGAGAATGATTGTTAGAAGATGACTCGAGATATCTATTTTCTATTTTGAACATATCATTTGTTTACCTGGACATGTAGAGGCAAGGGTGGTGGCTCGTTAGATGCGGGTGGCGTATCCTCGGGCTCTTTCTTCAGATTCTTGTCGGCTGTCTCCAAATCTTTCAGAATCATTCTAAAATTTGAAAACTGAATTTATCTCTCAATTACACGCAAATATTGACGTTTGTTTTTCTACCAGAAAATAACTATCGACTTTTGGTTTAGACCTTGATTACAAGTAGCTTTAGATTTTGTTTACAAGTAGCTTTAGATCTTGATTACAAGTAGCTTTAGACCTTGATTACAAGTAGCTTTAGATCTTGTTTACAAGTAGCTTTAGATCTTGATTACAAGTAGCTTTAGACCTTGATTACAAGTAGCTTTAGACCTTAATTACAAATAGCTTTAGACCTTGATTACAAATAGCTTTAGACCTTCTACTGATAGAGAATCATCGAATTTACCAAAACATTTTTCATTTCTACGAAATGATTCATTTAAAAAAATAAAAATCGATAACTTTATTAGTCATTTTTCTTTGAAAATAATTCGATTTAAGGTTTTTATAAGATTTTGTAAAAGAAATTTAACAGTAAATTTAGTCTAATAATTGGTAAAGATAGCTAGAAAAGTTGGACAAAGTCGAGGGGGAAATCTAGATGCCAAATCTAGCCTAATATCAGAAAGTTGAGCTTTGGAATACCTCTGCCACAATAGAGGATTCATTAGTGGACTTTGTTGTACATGGTATGATGCAAGTAACTCGATGAGACACGATGGTGAATCCATCTCTGCTGGAGACTGAATATTCGCGGGCAATGAGGCAAGAGATCGCGGTGATCGAGGCGTTGAAGGGTGCACCACTCCGCACACCGCAGCCATCAACAAAAGCAAGAATTTTGCGAGCGAATTTGGTTTTCTTAACAGGAAATGAATGATTCAAAAGTGAAAAGGAGAAAGGAGGACAAAGAGAAAAAAGAGCAAAAAATGATTTCAGATTTGAGCTATCATCTGACAAATGGTCAGGGCACAGTTATTTTGTTTTTAAAATCACTGATAATTTCTGAGAGATTTCTGAAAATAGCATCACTGTGTAAGTGCTTTTCGAAGGACGAAAAGAAGAAGAAGAAGATGGGAAAAAAAAGGGGGAGTCGATCCCTATGTGCTGATAGGGAAGGGGTGGATCGACTGAAGAGATGACCACCTCTTTAATAGCTTCTGCAAATGGCAAAGCAAAGCTTCATGAAATATTTCATTTTCCCGTTTTCATTTCGATTTTTCCATAAATCAACGAACTAATGTAAAAGAAAAGGAAAAGATTTCAAAACTTTTTTACAATTTTTAACTGGATATGAGTTGTTTAAATATAGGTGAGTAGTTAATGAGTACGCTTTTACGATTTCGAGAGATGAGAGCAAAGAAAAACACTGTGTTTTTGACCTTTTCGATTTCAGTTTTGCACAGAGAATTGTGGAGAAAGTTATTGGGGTGGGGGAAAAGACAAGGAAGAAAACAAGTGATTGGCGAACGGGAAAACTTTTACTCTCATTTTTTTTGCACTCCCAGAATAGCAAGATCATGTTTGGTCAAATGTTGTTGAAAAAATCCGAGAGCTAGAGTTTTGTGGGCTGGTTTTTGACGACTCATCTTTATAACAATGCAATTGAGAGTTGAAAAATGCAATAGACAAGCTGTAGACATTTATAGACAGCTATAGACATCTATAGACAAGCTATAGACATCTATAGACAAGCTATAGACATCTATAGACAAGCTGTAGACATTTATAGACAGCTATAGACAAGCTGTAGACATTTATAGACAGCTATAGACATCTATAGACAGCTATAGACATCTATAGACAGCTATAGACATCTATAGACAACTTTAAAGCTATAGACAACTATAAAGCTATATACATTAGATTTCAAACGAATCTCATGACTCGGGAAAATGGTTAAAGCCGTGAAAACATGATGCTTGGGATTGCGTGTTGTGACCTTATCGAAGGGAGAATGTTTAATGTTAGAAGAAAACGGTAGAGATCTGCTGAAGACGGGGAGGAAGAAGAGAGGAAGACGGGAAGAAGGGAAGAAGGGACACTCGCCACCTTCCTCCACCCCCACAACCCCGCCCCTTCTCCTCGATCTACCTGTGAAGGCACGGCCCTCCCTTGCGTGTCCCCTCCCCTCTCTCCCTTTTTCCCCTCCAATCAGAAAAAAAACGAGCACCGGCATTGAGCTCATGAAAAATTCAGACGATCGGCCGATGGGGGTGGGCTCAATGAACACTCCCCAGAGAAATATTAATTTCTGAAATCTGAATCTGAAAGAAATCTGAATCTTTGAATGTTTTTAAATCGCCTAGCTTTACTTTTCAAGATCTAGTACAGATCAGTTGATGGTCGAGAAAAAGAACTACAGAAAAGACTTTAAATTGCTTTTGGCTACAGCGCGTTTTTGCCTATTCAATTTCATTCATAAATGATCTCAAGGTAGCAATTTGTGAAAAAAAAAAAGTTGAACCGATTCGGTGAAAAATGTTGAAGAAAATTGGTGGGGGTAAAATCGAGGAAGGGAAAAGGGCACTTTCAAATATGGAAGTGCCATTTCCACCCCCTTTAAGTTTAATTTTTGGCCACATTTTTACAGAATTTAAAAATAGATCAATTTTGAAACGTAGTGATTTGAAAATTCGAAAATGGCTACAAAAAGAGATTTGGGGAAAAGTAGGGTGAGATTTCGGTGAGATTTCGGTGACATTTCATCGTGGAAAGGGCTTAGAAAAGTCATCAATTGCCAAGAATGGTAACTTTTACTTATTTGGATTAAGAAAAAGTTACCTGAAGATTAGTTTCATTGGGAGATTTCAGCAAAATCATTTTCTACGCACAAGTTCATTGTCATTGTCATCTCGAAAAGAGAGTTTTAGATTGTAAGAATGATTTCTAACAGATAAAATCTCTCATAGATTCGATTTTGAGCATGAGATTTGGTTAAGGAAAATGTTTAAACTTGAAAATTTGAAACTTTTTAAGAAAATTATGACTCGAATTTGTTTCAATCCCTGCAATAGCGTCAATCATTTACTATTTTTACCGATTTTCGATAAGTAGATCAGCTAGTTTTGTCTTTAAGCACTTTAAGCACTTTCCACTAAATATATCTAACACTTTTGGTTAAGTGAAAAGCTCGATCCTTTTCCCGAAAACGATTCCATCCAGTCGCCATGACCACCTCTCAATTTCTCTTCTCATCATTTTTTCTACTCGTCATTCTTTTTTTTCTTTCCTTAATCTCACAAATCTCTAGAAAAATATGAGAATTCTCATACTTTTTGGAAAATGGAAATTTTTCTAAGTCCAAACTAAGATAAGCATGGCTTAGTCTTTCAGCCTGAGGTGGCCACCTGGTAGGATCAACCAGGTATCTGAACTAAGATATGCATGGCTTAGTCTTTTAGCTTGATGTGACAACCTGGTAGGATCAACCAGGTATCTGAACTAAGATAAACATGGCTTAGTCTTTAACCCGAAGTTAAAAAAATGGGGGGGATTTTGGGATAAGGGGATGAATCATTTTTCTTTTTTTCTTCTTTTTTTTTTCTTCCCTTAATCTCACAAATCTCTAGAAAAATATGAGAATTCTCATACTTTTTACCCATTTTACCCTTCACCAATAATCATCAAGAAAAGCGAATCCTTGGCTTTTCTTATAACAAATATTTTTCTAACGAAAGGGATACATGAAAAGCTAAAAAACAAAACCAAAAAGAATTCTGGAAGTGTGGCTTAATAGAAAAGTTTTTGAATATATTCACTTATTCAGTAATCAGTAAATTAAGAAAACAAAAAAAAAGCGTTACTTGATCTAAAAAATGAAAGCAATGAACCGGAAAGAAGATTTTCGAGAAGAGAAAAGCTCAATGATTTTCTCTTTTCTCAAAAATTCATCAAAATCAAAATTCTCAAAAAAAAACGTTAATGGAAAAGAAATTTGTGAATTTCCGATTTGAATTCAGGTTTAAGAAATGTAAAAGGCCTGTAAAAGTACCAGAAATGTTACCTAAGTCCCTGTAAAAGTACCAGAAAGTACCTGTAAAAGTACCAGAAAGTACCTGTAAAAGTACCAGAAATGTACCTGTAAAAGTACCAGAAATGTTACCGAAGTCCCTGTAAAAGTACCAGAAAGTGTAATCCCTGTAAAAGTACCAGAAATGTAAAAGGCTGTAAAATCCCTGTAAAAAATTAGTTCAAAATGATCAGACGAATGTTTTGTTTTGAAAAAAAATTTTTTTTTGCCTCAATTCAAGGCTTCTTGGGCTTTGGTGTGTTTTTGAAGAAAGAAAAGAAGCCTTTTTTTTTGTTCCCAATGGGATTTTTCATTCAACTCAAAATCTCTTTAATCCTAGATATTCAACTTTTTTTGTGTGTGCGAGTTAATTTGTTGATTTCCAAGAAAATCCCCTTTTCCCCAAGTGAAGCCAGAAAAAAATTTGAATAACAAAAAAAAAATTTCTTTTTGTTGTAAGACAATTTGTCTTAAACGAGGGCTTTTTGTTTTGTGATTATAAAAAAAAACTTCTTTTAGCAAAAAGCTCTTTAAAACCACTTTAAAAGAGTGAGGATTAGAAAAATTGCTTTTATTTTTTAATATTTGTTTAACGAACTGAACTTTAGGACATTTTTGAAGGGGTTTTTGATGGTTTTGAATGATAGTGATGATATGATAATGATATGATAATGATAATTGCTACGGCCTCGCCACGTTGAAACACGGTATCCCGTCAGATCTGCCAAGTTAAGCAACGTTGTCGGTTGGGTCAGCAACGGGCTCGGCTAGTCTCCAGAATCCAGCAGATGAGTCAGGGATATCTTCCCTGAACCGAGTGCTGTAGGTAACCGCACCCAAATGGTGAACTGGTTCCCAAGACTGGTTCCCAAGACTGGTTCCCAAGACTGGTTCCCAAGACTGGTTCCCAAGACTGGTTCCCAAGACTGGTTCCCAAGACTGGTTCCCAAGACTGGTTCCCAAGACTGGTTCCCAAGACTGGTTCCCAAGACTGGTTCCCAAGACTGGTTCCCCTAGCCCCCCTCCCCTCGGGATTGGGATAACCAGGGATCCAAATGGGTAGACTTGTCTAAGGCGCAAGCTCATATAAAGCGGGTAGCCCTCTGCTCCAAAATCGTCTCCTACATCGTCCCATACACAAACGACAGAATATTCCCTAGGTCTTAATGTGCAAATTGTGATTATGTGTGTGCGAAATAAAATCACCGATAACCCCGGTATACTTCTTCTATAGTAAATTGATTTTCATTTAAAGTTTAAAGATTTTTAGAGATTTTTTATTTAAAAACATTACAAGTAGAAATAAATAAAATGTTTTAATGATTAGTAAAAGGAAATTTGTAGAATTTAGAACGAAAGTTTGTTATTTTTTAAATTTTTCACCCGATAATTTGGGGGTGAAGCGGAACTTTGAAACTTTTAAAGTCAAAATTTGATACTGTTTAATCGTTTCATAGATAAAATTTGATACTTTTGATACATTTACTAGTTTAACATTGATATTTACTATAATATTTTGTTTAACAATGATAGTTTATGATTTCCTTTACTTCCTTTACTTAAAGACCACTAAGGTCCGCACAATTAAGCAATTTAAGACATTTTTGAAGTAAAGAAGTGAAAGAATTGGCATTGATTGGAAAGGAAAAAAAATGTGGAGAGGGGATTGAACCCTCGACTTGCTGCTACTTTTACTTCCCTCGGCCAATCGCTCTAACCACTGAGCTATTTGGTCCCTTAATCTGACAGGAAAAAGAAGGAAAGATAAGGGAAAGAAAAGGAAGAAATAAATAAGTAAATAAGTTTTTAAGCACCGTAAATACTGTAATTGAACGGCACTCCCTCATTCAGTCGCGTAGTCTATCTTCTTTTTAGAAAATCATTTGTTTCTCAGTCCCTAGATTTTTCCCAACTACACTTTTGGTACCAAAAAATACTAGATTTCAAGGGCTATCATTTGACACAAAAGCGCACACTGTTAGCATAAAACAGCACAGAGTACGGAGCGTGTAAAGTTCGACTACGCGACTGTAAGCCCGTCATTATGGGAGTACGTCATTCTACTAGAGTATCAACAGCTTCGTTGCTGCTTTACAACAAAAGAAATTTTTGGAGTAAAAAGCAAAAGAATTGGTGGAAAGAGGAGTCGAACCCGCGACCTATCTCTTCCGTTTTCTTTTGAGAGACGCGCGCGTTAACCACTCGGCCATGGTCTTTTAGATGGGACAGTGCGAGCGCACTTGTCTTTAGCCCGCACGACCCGCCATGCTCTGTAGATGGTGCAGTGCGTAGCGCACTTGTCTCTAGCCTACACGACCCAGGTTCGATTCCCGCCCGCGTCAGCACAATATTCCGTCATTATGCGCCTTTCTATTAAAGTATTTACGGTATGTATACAATTTTTATAAAAGACACAAGATTACTGTACACCTAATCGATTTGACTCTTTTAAAACCCTAACTTTCAAGTAGAATAGATACTTTAGCATTATTTTATCAATCTTATTTTCAATAATATTTCTTTAATAGCTGGCTGGCTGGCTGGCTAGAAATGGGTTAAAATCAAGTCTGACAATGCAAAAAAAAATCTAATCTTTTTTAAGAATGGTAGACGAGTTTAAGAAGAAATAGTACAATCATATTATAAAGAAAAAAGTATAAGAATTAGATTAATTAATAGATTTATATTAATTAATAGAATTAGATTAATTCTAATATTTTAGAAATGGATTTCCGACCTGTACGAGGGTCTCCTGTTGAGTTGTTCTCTCCGTTTGCGCGCCTCGTCCTCGCTAATCTGCTCGTCGCCCAACCCAAGACTACCATTTGGCTGAAAAGACAGTTTTATTTATATTTGTAATATTCGATTTAGACTCAACAATATTTTTAACAACAATTGCCGCCTTGGTAAATCATGTTTTTGTTTTTTGACAGTTTTTGATGCATTTTGATGTAAAAGTTACAGGATTTTGATTGGATTTTGATGCAGCTATTGCTTCACCTTTTTTGTAATGATTTGGTTCCCTATCTTTTTAAGTTTGGTTCCCTATCTCTCTAAATTTGGCCAAAGCACGCATCAAGAATTGACTAGACTGAATTTAATTATCAAAGCAATTCTTAAGTGAAAAGCTAGATCCTTGCTTTGCTTGCTTTACTAGCAGACCTTACTAGCTTCTGCCCTTGTCTGGTTTGACCTAAAGAACCAAGCCATGATCAACTCCTTTCTGACTTCTGAGACTTATAGAATAACCATAACAAAAATCCAAAGCAAAATAACGGTAAAAATTGAAACTTTGCTTTATTCAAAATTCAGAAAACTAAAGTTTTTAGACTCTGAAAAAGTCTAAAAACTAAAAAAAAAGAGTCTAAAAATTTTGATTTTCTGAAGAATGAATAAAGCAAAGTTTCAAAATGCATCAAAAATTTGTAAACGATTTAAAAATTCAGCTTTCACAAGTTTACTTATATAAAAAACATGATTTTAGAATTGTTAAAGCAATTGTTAAAGCAATTGTTAAATCGATTGTTGAGTCGAGAATGATATTCGATTTAGATTCTGAGTCTAAATTGGATAAAAAACCTAAATCGAACATAACGGGGTAGTCTTTCCGCAAGTTTTTTTTGCGCAACAGGGTCATTTGTGCAACTCGCCATAACTTTTTTCTAAGTGGGCCAATCTTTATGCTTTTGGTTTCATTTTGTAGATCTCAATAAGTACAACAAAATGAAACCAAAGGCATAAAGATTGGTCGATTTAGAAGAAAGTTATGGCGAGTAGTTGCGAGCCAGTTGCGACGACCCAGTTGCGCAAAAAAAAAAATTGCGGAAATTAGCCTACCCCAATATAACATATTATTTATATTAAAAATACATTTAAAAATGTTTTCTCTTAATTAAATCTTTATTCTCTTGAATCTCTTTATCCTCTTGAATCTCTTTATTCTCTACCTTAAACATGAGCATCATATTCGCTCAGCCTTTTCTGATGATTTTTCTTTATTGACTCTTCGAATCTTTTTGATTTCAAAAAGCACACCAAAGCACGACTGGAAAAAAAAATATTAAATTATATATAAGAAAATTTTCAAAATAAATAAGAAATGAAAAAAAATGAAAAAAATGAATGAAATGAATGGAAAATTGTAGGGAAAAGAGAAAAATTAGACTACAATTTTAGAAAAGCTAGACTTTTTTGGGTTTTAAAAAATAGAAAGTTTTTCTTTTCCAGAAAATATTCTTTAAGTTTAAAATTATAAAATTACATTTTCCTTATAGTATTTTGAAAGACGGAAAAATGCGGTTAAGCGGATTTTGATGCTTAGATCGGAAATCATGATGAGATTTCGAAAATTGGCGGATTTAATGAAAACTTTAATATGAAAGCTTTAATTGAAAAATGAAACAAGAAAAAAACTTTCATTGATTTGTTGACTTTGAAGGGTTCAATCGATGAGTAATTAATAGAAAGAAAAATGAATAGAAAGAAAGAAATAGAAAGAAAGAAATACAAAGAAAGAAATAGAAAGAAAGAAATACAAAGAAAGAAAGAAATACAAAGAAAGAAAGAAATAGAGAAAGAAAAATAGAAAGAAAAACAATGAGTTTTTCTAAATTTCGTCTATGAAAAGTGATTCAAAAATATAAATTTGAGGGTGGGCAAGTTACAGAAATTTAAGAAAAACAAAAGAAAATAAGTTTAAAAAAAGATGGAAAAATAAATCTGAGCAAGATGAGGGGGATTTCGGTGGAAATGTTTGTGAAGGACTCGCCTGGCAACTTCATTAGTGAAAGGTGATATGGGCGATTCTTTTGGATCTTTGATCTTTCTCCTAGTAGGACCCTAGGTCATTCCCCTTTTTCTTACTAAAGAATGGACTTGATTATCAAAGCAATTCTTAAGTCAAAAGCTAGATCATTGCTTTGCTTGCTTTGCTTGCTTTGCTTGCTTTGCTTGCTTTGCTTGCTTTGCTTGCTTTGCTTGCTTTGCTTGCTTTGCTTGCTTTGCTTGCTTTGCTTGCTTTACTAGCAGACCTTACTAGCTTCTGCCCTTGTCTGGTTTGACCTAAAGAACCAAGCCATGATCAAAATTTGTAAACGATTTAGAATTAGAATGTAGATTTAGATTTAGATTTAGATTTAGATTTAGATTTAGAAATTCAGCTTAAACAAGTTTACTTATGATTTACTAATTTCTCCTTGAAATTCACAAAAAAATAAAAGCATTTCTAATTTGTTGAGTTAGTTTTTTATTAAAAAATCTGCAAAGGGAATTATTTGTGAAGATAAAATCAAAAGGTTAGCCGTAAATTAGCTTTGATCGTTTAAAAAAAAGAGTGAAGAAAAGAAAAATTCGTTTAGAAAATGAAATTAGAGATTGAAAATGGAGAAATGGATACGAGGAAAGGATTGGTTATCGATAAAGTTTCTTGTAAAATAGGAAATGATAATTGATCAGTTTAAAGGTTTAAAAGTTCGAACGTTCAACGTTTTTTCGAGATCTGAAGCCAAAGTTGAACTAGACATGAAACGTGACAGAAAACTGAGACAATTGGGCATCACTTGCGCAGCTTTTTGTAAAAAATTCTTGCCTTAAATTTGTTTGTATTTTTGTTGCAAATTCTTGATCCTGATTCGATTCGATTCAATGAATAAAAGAAGTAAAAAAGAAGATAAGCCAACTACCGGATTTTCTCTAATAAGCCCCGCAATCCGATCAACTTTAAACGCCTTGTTCTCAGCTCCATTTTGAGATATTTTCATGTTCAATAAACGAAAAGATAGAAGACATTAAGGGCTATCTTTCGGTATATTAAACATAAAAATATCTCAAAAAGAGGCTGAGAACAAGGCGTCTAAAGTTGGTCGAAGGGGGGCGGGGCGGTTATTAGAGGACCAACTCCCCTCGACTAACTTCAGACGCCTCGTTCTCAGCTCCATTTTGCGCTATTTTTAAGTTTAATATATTAAAAGATAGAAGACATCAAGGGCTATCTTTCGCTGTATTAAACATAAAAATATCTCAAAATGGGGCTGAGAACAAGGCGTCTAAAGTTGGTCGAAGGGGGGCGATTATTAGAGGAAATACGATCTATCAATGCTTTCCATCTACCGCCAACTATTAATAGATAAATTTAGAAGTATGTGGGGGTAAAAATTCGAAAATTCATTTGTGTAATGTAATCATGAAATGGGCAGATGGAGGGATTGAAGTGAAAAATGGACTGATACGCAAAAATGAGCGACAAAGAGTGCCCCGTGATGATGGTTTTCTTCACCGGATTAGAGGGAATGAAAAGGGGGGAAATGCGCGTAAAGAAGAGTTATTGACAAAAATTGAAGCTGAAGAAAGTTTTCGCATTTTACAGAGGATTTGAGTCTTTTCCTTTTAAAGCTTTCTGGGTGGTCGTCTTTGAAAAAAAAATTAAGTAGCTTCAAAAAAGAGTATAGCAAAAAGTGGGAATGCTCAAAAAATTGGAAACTTGACAAAAAAATCTTTAGAATCGACTCCCCAGAGTTTTGAGAGAGTCCAATAGTCTCGAAACCTTTAAATTATCTGTAGATGATCTTGATCTTGAAGCTCTAGTGGATCCTTGACGTTATCTGTGCTACCCATATATTACATGTATTATATCGTGTTGCTTTTTGTCGGCCCCTTTCGTGTTATGTGTATGAATTCATGTGTTTTAATCTTAAATCTCGCGCACTTTATCTCAGGTCCTGAATACTAATCAAAAAAATAAACAAGTGATGATGAAGGTGGAGGGGAAAAAAGAGTGAAACATGAAAAATAATTGGGGATTGATGTAGATAATGGAAAGTTTAGAGTCTCTCAAATACACGTCCGAATCTGAGGAGATTCATTCTCCTCTGAAACGAACGTCCGACTCAGAGATGGACGTCTGTTTCGGAGGAGAATGATCATTCTTCTCGGAATCGGACGTCCGATCTTGAGAACAAATAGTTTAAATGCAAAATCCAATGTTTTGAACAAAACAAATGAAAATGGAAATTCTCTCAATTTACTTTTTTTTCTTCACAAATAACTTGGTAATATGTACGGTTTGGCAATTCTCCTCTGAAACGGAACTGGCACTCAGAGATGGACGCCCGAAAGAGAGTGAAACGTGAACTGGCACTCAGAGATGGGCGCCCGACTTTTTAGGTCAACAATCTTGAGTAAATTATAACTGATAATATCTTAGACCCAGAAGTTGATGGACGTCCGACTCTGAGTTGGACGTCCGTTTCAGAGGAGAATGAATCTCCTCAGATGAATCAGATTCGGACGGATCGGAGATGGACGTCTCCTCAGATTCGGACGTAACATATATATATATATATATATAGATATAGATATATAGATATATATATAAAAGAAATTGATTCTTCTTTGGAAATATTTAAATAAATAAATAAGTTTAAAAACTTAAAAGAATCAATCGATTTTCTGAAGTTTTTCAGAGAAATTTCAGTGAGTTTGTTTTTCAATGAATTCCCTCCGAATCGCTAATTGTTTTAGCAAAATTTAAAAATCTTTTTTCCCAAAAATTTTCAAAGGGCTTCAAATGAAGATATTGTTTTCTTTTAGGTCAACAATCTTGAGACAATTATAACGAAAATCATTTACAATTCAAAGAAAACAAGGGGAGGAAAAGAGGGAATAGACTCACCAATAAACTTTTTGTTTTAATAATCGACTAATCAAAAAAAAATAAACAAGTGATGATGAAGGTGGGGGAGGGAAAAAAAGAGAGTGAAACGTGAAAAATAATTGGGGATTGATGTAGATAATGGAAAGTTTAGAGTCTCTCAAATACACGCGAGTGGAGA